GATGATGATGATGGGTAAACCAGCCAATGAGTTTAGCCCCAATTTGATTACCAGTAGTACCGCACAAGGCGGTGGCGGAAGCTTCAAAAATAGGAAACTTATAGGAGAGGTTGGTTGTTGTGAAGCACGGATGGCAGAGCGAATCCACTGATGGACCGACAGGTGGTTGAAGCTGTCTTTTTTGGAATGGTTGCAATGGTTGCAGTGGTCACCTTACCACAACTGCTGGATGTAGTGTGATGTAGTGCAGTTGCAGTTGTAGTTGCACTTGTAGTTGCGGTTGTAGCTGTAGTTAAGGTGTAGTGACGTGTAGTGGAGCTGTAGTTGTAATGTAGTGTAGTTAGTGTAGTTGCAAGCGCAGTTGCAGTTGTAGCCGTGGTGTGGTGTAATTAGTGTATATAGTGTAGTGCAGTGTAATGTCGTGTAGCGTTGTGTAGTGTAGTGTGGTATAGTGTAGTGTGGTCTAGTGTAAGGTAGTTCAGTTGTAGTTGTAGTGTAGTGCAGTGTAATTAGTGTAGTGTAGTGTAGTGTAGTGTAGTCTAGCATAGCGTAGCGTACGGTAGTGTAGTGTAGTGTAGTGTAGTTTGTGTAATGTAGTGTAATGTAGTGTAATGTAGTGTAATGTAGCGTAATGTAGTGTAATGTAGTGGTAGATGCAGAGGTAGTTGTAGTTGTAGTTGTAGTTGTAGTTGCCGCTGCAGTTGTAGTTGTAGCAAAATGCAATCTAATCAGTGTAGCGTAGTGTTGTGTAAAGTAATGTAGTGTGGTTGTAGTTGTAGTTGTAGTTGTAGTTGCAGTTGTAGTTGTAGTTGTAGTTGTAGCGTACTGCAGTGTAACTAGTGTAGTGTAGCTGTAATTGTAGCTGTAGTTGTTGTAGTAGTAGTTGTAGTTGTTGGTGTAATTGGCGTCCTGTAGTGTAATTAGATGCAATTAGTGTAGTGTAGTGTAGTGTACTTAGTGTAGTGTAATGTAGCGTAGTATATTTGTATTTGTAGTTGTAGCAGTAGTGTTGTGTAGTGTAGTGGTAGTTGTAGTTGCAGTTGTAGTTGTAATTGTCTATCTGTCTATCTATCTATCTATCTGTTTGTCTGCCTGCCTGCCTGTCTGTCTGTCTGTCTAACTGTAAGCTTGAAAACGCAGCAATTCAATTTTTGAACTTGGCAACATCAAAAACGAAGCAATTCTGCGAGACTTCCTCAGTTTTTGAACTTGGCAACGTCAAAAACGAAACAACTTCCTCAACTTTTGAACTTGACGACATCAAAAACGGAAGAATTCTGCGAGACTTCCTCAATTTTCGAAGTTGACAACATCAAAAACGAAACAATTCTGCGAGACGTCCTTCAAAATTGGAAAATTGGGTGCAGAGCTGACGGCCTCGTACCAATGCGTTTTGCGATTTTTCCACTCCACCGGTCTAAAGTATTGCGCCTGCCACGCAAAAGTGATGCCGAAGTGCTGCACCTGTCACGCAAAATCACCTTCCCAAAACTGAGGATCTGATGCTCCAAAATGCAAACCCTCTCAGGAAATCAGGGTTCTGACATCCTAACATCTCTGATGAACATGTCTCTTGTACTGCGCCTGCCACGGAAAATGCATCTTTGCAGATCCTCTTCAAAATGCCCCACGCCTGCCATCGTTTTTGAAAATACTACAAAACCCTCACGTTTTGCTCACTTTTGGCAAGGTGCAGAATCCCTTGCGTGCCAAGCAAAACCACATCTGAACCTTCAAAAGCGGTCCGAGCATGTGGTGCTTTTAACATTTTGACTTGGAAATGTGCTTCGCGCCACAACGGCGTGCACTTTTTCGACATCTCAACTTCCAAAAGTGGTCCGAACATGGTGTGTTTTGTACATTTTGACTTGGAAATGTGCTTCGCGCCACAACGGCTTGCACTTTTTCGACATCTCAACTTCCAAAAGTGGTCCGAACATGGTGTGCTTTGTACATTTTGACTTGGAAATGTGCTTCGCGCCACAACGGCTTGCACTTTTTCGACATCTCAACTTCCAAAAGTGGTCCGAACATGGTGTGCTTTGTACATTTTGACTTGGAAACGTGCTTCACGCCACATCGGCGTGCAACTTTTCATCTCTCATCTGACCACATGGCTCCGCTCCCGCCGCTGTAGCGAGCCTACTTTTCGACCCTCCGGAGCTACAAATCATTGGAAAAACGCAGTGTTTCGCGACTTTCCTACCTTTTCGCGCATCTGCATCTTCTTTCTTCTAATTCTTTCTCTTCTCTGATCTTCTCTCTTCTACTCTTCTCTTCTCTCTGACCCTTTCCATCTCTGCTTTTCATCTGTCCATATTGTCGGAAGTTTGACTTCTAAACTTCCTTCGATAAGTTAGTAATGAGTAATCAGTAAAATGATGATCAGTAATTAAGCAATAAGTTTCACAAATGTCAAGCCATCCCAAGAAGACAAAGTCAGGTGTGGTCATCATCCCAGGATGAGTATTGCTCCAGCTGATGTCGCGCGTGTCGAACGGTACGGAGACACCGCCATTGGTCGGTCTAGAGTCTAGGGCTCATGAATGTATAGAACGGCTTTTTTGGTTTTACGAATGCAGTCAACCAGCTGGAGAAACATAATAATTTATAATAATTAATTAACTAGAATTAACTTAAATGAAGCTCTTTTGGGCTTTTTTCCTTGATTTTTCCTCTTAAATCTCGACCACATCCAAGCACATTGTCACTGTTGTCACTGGTGCTGAGACTCGAACTCCGAGAAGAAATCCAAAGGCCTGGCCCCGGAACGTCCACCGGAAAATCCACCATTGATAGTTGTTCCCAGAGGCCTCCATGTATAGGGGATGTGAAAAATTGCAATGTGTTCATTTTTAGTGGATTTGATGGAAAAAAAACTGATTCCATGGCAATCTTTGAGGACCAACAAGAGGTTTAGCATTCTTATACAATGTTACACAAGTTACACATCTATTCGATAGCTTTTGTGCACATTTGAGCTGAATCTCATAGAGGGTATGAATACTTCGAAAGTTGGTATATTCCATCAAAACATATCAATATATAGTGAGATACGTATAGATATGTTGGGATATGTTGGGACATGTTGGGATGCAAGGCAGGCCATGTGCTTAAACCGTAATCAACCAGACGCAATTCATCCCTGTTTCTTTCTTTCATAGATCCTAAGCAATTGCAGGTGAATCCTAATTTTGTGGCTTATCCGAGTAGCTGGATTTTTGATGATAGTTGCATCCAACTTGGGAAGTGGTTCATACCCACGGGATATACCCACTTATTTATGTATAGTCTGACTATAGTAGATGTATCGAGGTCATCCAGCTGTGGGATGCACAGCCAACACATGGCCAATCCTAGATAGCGACAGCGCTAGTACCCTGCAACAAAAAGCCTTTTTTGGTTGGCATATTCCTCCATTCACCGCCAGAAAGTGTGAGATTCGGCTACTTGGATGTGCATAGTGCAGGAATCCCTTGGAGGTGGGTAATCAGCATATTAGCAGCACGATTAGAGTGGGATCCCCTTGGGTAATCAAACACGGCTAGGAAATCCTCTATAGATGCGGGTTATGGCTGGAAGGAATCATCTATGAATGAGCTATTTTCCATTGCCATGTTTGGTTACCCAAGGGCATACCCTATTCGTAACCTGGATTGTCTACCACTTACTAGTTACGGGTTATACCGTGGGATATTGTTAACTACGTAACTACACCTGTGGACGTCAATGGGGATCATCATCCCACGCAGGATGGAAATTTCAAGAAATGTCAAACCACTGGCCGGATTATCATTAGTTGCATTCCCATCCCCATTATATCCACATTTTAGATTGTTACATCATGTCAAATCCCCATGTTCGTATAATGTGGTTCGTTAAACCGTGAAACCATACTGATGGAGTCCAGCACTCATTTTCAGACACACCCATATTATACATATTCATTATTGCCCTTGTCGATCTTTTTTCCATGCTGATATCCCCATTTTGGCTGCTTGAGCATCCATGTCTTGAGGTTTTTATCCCTAAGTCAGACCACAAGCGAAGCATCGCAATTCAGACATGTCAAAGCCACAATACCCTCCAGCGACAAGTGTCGCAGTTGCGCCACTGTCACAGGGGTCGCCTCCACCTGCTCGGTTTAAAAAAATCAGGGTGGATGGACTTGAAACAAACAAGAAAAGTTGGGGAATTGCCAATAAACAGGCCAAAAATTGGGGGAAATCACCAGCGAAGATGATCTTGATTGAGCAGCAAACATTTGAAAAATGATTTAACCTGATTTAACCAACTTTAGAACGAGCGAAAGCAGGGTAACCCGCATATCCAAATCAGACCCACTGGGGATTTCACTAACAATGAGATGTTTACCGCAGACATCATTTTCTGCCAACCGTAATGGGATAATGACCAGCTGAGATGGTAACAATGAAAGTATTGTAATGTAAGAAACAACCACTCGATGATATTGGAAAGAATCCGTCTTGCAGCAGTTTGCCCAAGATACCTGCAAATACTGGCTTACCAAAAGAGGTAAAATTGAAGCATTTTGGTCAGGGCAAGGAGAACCGCGATGTGGGCACCTTCCCCAGACAAATTGGAGATGTGACAAAGCGTTTGCCACAAGACCCCAATCGGCGGATGGCTATTAACAGTCTGCCCTTTTGGAGCAAAATTGGGAATGGTTGATGGCTTTGGGTTTTCCATGGTTTCCTGATTTGAAGATTGCGCACCCACAAAAAGTAGCCAAGCGACCAAAAAAGGGATTGAAAGGACGAGAGAGGTTGTAGGAAGAATCCACCCTTCAAAATCTTCAGATCCCCTTGTTTTCACATCAAAATAGTTTGTAGGAAGCTGGATGTTCATCTCCCGATGTAGCAAATCGTACGTAGGTGAGATGACCCATCCGCAAATCTCTAGACCCACTCCTGACCCACAGCCCTGTAGCTTCGCAAGCGGACCATTTTCCCCGCCAAAACACGGGCTGACTCCATCGCTCACGGCGACATATTCGCCTAGGATTCAACATATAAGAACCACATTTGGACATGGCAAGTTCCCCCATTGGGCACGACTTGAAAGTAGCATCACTGACTTAGCTCCTCTGACCCGGATTCAGGATGCCGTGAGAGATCAATCAATTGAGGGGGTTAACCTGAATGGAAGGAGAATGAGAACCTGGCATGTTGGCCAGCATCATTAGCCAGAACTGATCAAAGATGTGCCATGCACAATCCATACCCAACTGGAAGAAGAGTCCTAGTGGTACTTCAGAGAACATCATAGACATAGCATTGGGGTTTCGAAGGAATGCCGCCATCCAACAAGTGGTTCCAACCCGGTCCAAAAATGTTCATGAATATGTCAATTGGATAAACATACATAATCATGTATATACGTATACATATATACATATATTACATTATTATATATTTATATAGTCCCAAATTGAGAACCAAATACTCAAAAACCAACAGGCAGATAACTAATATGCTACCAACCGTAAACCCTCCGCAATTTCCCACAAAGGTGCAGTATGAACATCCCCTGTTAGGTTTTTCCGAAATAGGCTACCCAAAAAAAAAACACTGTTTATCCCAGCAGCATCTGCTTCTTCAATCCGCATGGCTTTGGGACCATTGCCCGAAAGGGCATTCATTTCACCCTCAGGTGGCTCCTCAAAGAAGTTCACACACTCCACAGTTCTGCTCCAAAGACCCCCATGTTTCAAAGATGTTCCATGATCTTTTTGAAAGTGTCATTTTGATTCAAGCAGTGTCATTTTGAAAATGTCAACGATTTTAAGATATTTTAAGATATGTTCCACTATTTGGTGGATCCATGCTTAATCTTGGTTTAGATCATAATGATGGATTTGAGGGATCCGCAATTTGATTCCCTACCTCCAGGTCCACCACCATGTGCGGCTCCAACAGGGTTCCTTCTCAATCACTCTTTCGCCGCCATCTTCAGTGATATTCAACACGCTTAACCCCAAAAGAGTTGATAAAATATACTTTAAACCCCGAAAAAATGGAAACAACCAAAAGCATCAAGAAGAAGACATGGCCTAATCCCTAATTACTTTACTTCGGGTGATCCCCGCCGTGGCATTTTAGTGCGCAACCAAACAACGAGAAGAGAGTAGTGCCACAATGGCAATCACATCCGCAGCCCTTTTTCCTTTTTTGACATTCTATTTGGCATCGATTCTGACATTATGTCTGGCATTCTTTCCGACATTCTATCTGACATGTTTTCTGGCATATTATTGACATGCTTTCTGGCATTCTATCTGGCATATCGTCTGACATACTGTCTGGCATTCACATTCCATATGGCATATATTCTGACATACTTTCTGGCATCTATGCTGACATTCTATCTGGCATCTATTGTGACATTCTTTCTGACATTCTTTCTGACATTCTATCTGGCAATCTATTCTGACATTGGTTCTGCCATTCTATTTGGCATCTATTCTGACATTCTTTCTGGCATTCTATCTGACATTATATCTGACATTCTTTCTGACAGATTTTGTGGCATGTATTCTTGACATGCTTTCCGGCATTCTATGTGACATGTGTTCTGACATTCTCTTTGCCATTCTTTGTGGCATTCTATGTGACATTCTCTCTGGCATGTGCTCAGGTCCAGGCATGCCCAGCTGCATCCGGAGCCCGCGGTAGGGTTCGGGCCCAGGCTTGCGATCGGCGCGGCTGGATCGGAATCTAGATTGGTTCGATCGGGACGGTTGGATTGGGACGGTTGGATTGGGACGGTATAGATGGCAACTTTGCGGGCTACCCCGACCGTCCCGACCATCCCGACGGTTCCTAACCAAACCCTAAAAGAAACCCTAAAGAAACCTTGGAGAAACGGTAGAGAAACCCTAAAGAAACCCTAAAAGCAAACTTAAAAGAAACCCTCATCCCGATCATCCCAACCATCCCGACCGTCCCAACCGTTCCGACCGTTCCGACTGTCCGACCAGCCCGGCCATTTATGGACGATGTTGATCCAGGATCGTCGTTCACGCTGATTTTGCAACGCTGAGCCGAACGTTCCGGTGACGCTGATTCGGCTCAATAGTTTCTGATCTGGAAATTACTCGCATCCGAGCTGGAATGGTGTTCGGGTCCAAACAAGGCCCACAGGAAGCAAGGGACAAAGCAAGAAGTGAAGGAGTCTGAGTGGGTGGGGGTGTGAAGGAGTTGCACCTTTGTTGAAATCTAGAGACCCTCACCTAGGAACAATAGGATAACGTATATATGGTTTAACCCCTGACCCTCCACCGTTCGCGTTCCTTGCGCTTGGCCGCAGCCTGTTCTCCTTGCATCCGCAGCACGCGCCAGGGTGGTGTGGGCGCCGGCACCAGCGGCGCCAAGGGGCACTCGGCCATGTCGGCGATCACGGCACCCAGGACGCTGATGAAGTAGTCACCCCAGTGCCAGCCCCAAGCCTTGGAGCACTTGAGGGTATCGCGGTGTTTTCACCATGATATAACTTGAGGGCCCCCATACGGTAGTTGGGAGATGGGGCCCAACTATGCTGAAACCTATCCACGTACTAACTGGAACTGCACTTTCACGTTGGAATGGGGAGATCATGGGGAAATTGTATGGCATATGCTCGTATGTATCTCCATTACATCCACATTTTTAAGGATGGAGATATCCTGGAAATATCCACGCTAAATTAGGTTGGATATAGGGTAATTGCTACATAATAGCTTGCATATCCGCGCATATTCCAGAGGCAAATGATGATGTCTCTAATTATATGGCATTTGTTCATATCTCCAACCTTCATTATATCCACATTTTCTAGTTGGTCAACCCCAAAAACGATCCCTTCCACATGGCATATTTTATATAATGTTATAGGCAAAATGGTGATAAACCATTGGATTTAAAGTATGTCTACCAGCAGAAGAAAAAAAAACTACAAATATTCAACCGATAACGATCTGGTTGGGGGATATGTATATATATATATATACGAATAATATCGATTACAGTATATGTGCCGTGGTCAGGTAATCCCAGGAATCGTAGGTGGGTTTCCTGGGATAGACCTCAGCTATTAACCTGGATCATGTGTTATTTACTACCGGTGGTTGATGGAAAAAGATGAGACCATTTGCGTGTTTCTCATATTCCTTTGGGTAGCACAAAACCATCCACGACCACCGGTTTCCCTATGAAAAATGAGCAATAAACTGGATAATTTTGAGGTCCCCCATTTTAAGATCCCATTTGCTGAATTGTAGAATAAGCATGTGTATGTATATATAAATCATCAAAACCTGACTGGTTAATCATCCATTTTGAGATGCCCCCATTCTCGAAACTGCGGTACTCCAAGCAACTACTAATAATGGTTTCCCCATTCAAAATCACCGAAACATATCAAAGCCGCATTCAAAAACCATCGAGTTGTTTGTCCAGTTTAGGAAACATCCAGCTTCACAAGTTGTAAGAACATCTGTGGCTTCGACGATCCATAGAGGATACCAATAAATCTATTTGGAACGTTGGCATGATGATGTTCCTCTCCATGTTTCCCAAATCTTATCTGGTTGCTTCCACCTCAAAATTCAACAATATGGACTTATAGGATATCTCCAAAAATATAGAAAAGTAAATACTGTGATGCAGATAGAGAAAGGAGTTCCCCTACTATTTACTATGAACACCATGTTTTTGTGAACACCATGTTTTTCTCATACCTAGCAGTTGTGTTTTCCTCAAATTGTTTCCTTTGAAGGCAGATATTACCCTCCAAAAAGGTAGATCCTTAGCTGGTCACATCCTCATCATCCCAATTTATAGCAAAGGTTCCACTGAATTTTCCCACCAACGTGACCTATCATTACTTGATGAAACCTCCGTGTTCGTTTGTTGAAATTCCCATTACTTTGAGTCTTTTGATACTCAAACCACAATGTTTGGTGAAATTCCCATATGTTTGTCAAGTCAAATCCCAACCGAACTCGCTTGGTTTTTACAACGCTTCACCCGCCATGGATGTCCCACCTTGGATCTTCTCCCCACCTTGTCCCAGTGGATGATTCGGAAATCCCAGCGATTCAGCGACAGCTGATCGATGCGGAGATTCAGATGCGCCCAGGCATCCGTAGAACCACTGGAGCCACCCGTCTGACGACAGACCTGGGAACATCCCAAAGGTAAGCCATCGGTGACCGAGCCCACCTGAGCCGAGAATTGAAAAAGGGAGACCATGATAAAACTAAGTCTAGGGGTGGGTTGAGTATGGTTGAGTCATCTATCTAATCTGATCTGAATCTGATCTGATCCAATCTAATCTATCCAAAATTTGAAAGTGAAGGTTAGATAATCTATGGAAAAATTACAAAAACACGTGGGTCCCAACTGATTTTTGACCCACAGCAGATGTCCGCAACAAATGCCAGGGGACAGTGGAGATTGAAATCAGGAGCTCTGCCCTCCAAAATATCCCTGGCCCTGAAATATCCCCGTATCATTGCTGTTTTGATCACCGTTTATAGCCGTTTATACATGATGTTCCCAATAAAACTGGCCATGTATCTAAATATGGATAAATCCACATGTTTTTGTTGGTGGCATTGTTTCTCTGTTGCATCCCCATGGTTGTTGGTCAAATCCAACAATTGTCCTCCCAATGTTTGTAGCTCAAACCTCCCATGAAGTTATTTTTGGGGGTTGGTCTGAAAACCGCGTACACCCAAATTTGATGGTTGAGAAAATTCAAGGTAAGGCCCCGAAACGATAGCTAAGTTTATTTAGAACTTGGTTAACTACTGTTTATGGGGAATATGGGGATGTGACTATAGTTAATAGGTTTATAAACCAACTTATAACTGGGGGGCCTCGCCTTGTAATTTCCGCCATAATTGAATGGCCATAAATGTGTGGTAAAAGCAAGCACTTCCAGGTACCAAAACCACATCATACTGTCGGTGACTGACATCACAGTAAAAGTACATATAATTATGTATATATATATATGATAATTATACAATATACATCCACAAAACTATATCTCAACTATCCCAAACCCCAACTTTTGATATTTTTTGTTGCTCTTTCAACCAGCCATTGTTTCTACGTTTCCCGGAACTGTGGGTGAACCCATGACATGTTTCCGCCCAGTGGCGATGTTGACATAGACGCAGATCGCCGCCTCGTATGGCTGCGGTGCCCGCCAGGCCCGGTTGCGGCGCGCATGTTCCAGGCGACAGGCGATGTCCAGCAGCGTGGCACGGCGGTTGTCGCCGCAGTCGATGGAAATCACGCGCTGCTCCGACAAGAAACCCACCATGGTGTTCTGGTCTGGACCATCTCCTAAAGGAAAAAAAGAGAAAACGTGGCAGAAGATATGAATTTTAGGAAGATAATATATCCATTATAGATACAGATAATTTGGTTCATAATGTTCATAGGTGTATTTGTATGTTTGATCTAATTCGATATTGTGTTCTGAAAGAACAACACTCACCTGGCGTAAATTTTGGCAGATGTTTGCATATCATGGATGTATCATGTTTGAATATGGAGGTTTCCTAAGTCATGGAGGTACCCCCAAATCATCCATGTTAATGGCGTTTTCCATCCAATAAACCATCCAGCTATTGGGGTACCAACCCCCGGTATGATGTTAGAATCTTGGTCGGTGGCCTATTTCTGCCCACTTGAACCAAGGGGAGCGTCTCGTAAGCCCCATTGTTTGGGAGGTCACCAGCACAATGAGACAGGGAAAACGCCATGAGGAACAGGGGAATTCAACAAGAAATGGGAATATGGATGAATATGGCCCGCATTACACGGCATAAAAAAAGGCCATCTATTTGGATTTTCTCAGCTTGGTTGGTGAAACGGTTAGAAACTGTGGTTTGGTTGGCCATCTGATCAGTTCTCAGGCGACATCGCCTTGGCCAACTGGTAGGCTGAATCCCAAAAAGGATCAAAAAGGGACTTTCACCAACCATTTTCCAAAGTGACTCTTGGACATGTTCGGGGAGGGCCTTGTTAGTTTTGCCGCAGCAGGGTACCAGTACAATATTGAGTCAGAAAAAGGAAACACATACTTCTAGCATATCAGTTAACGTCCTACATGCAGGTTGCATAGCTAGTACAGCTAGCAAGGCGCTTATGATAGGCATAATGAATCTGATTAGCAAGGTGGATTGGTATGATATGGAAGTGTCTCAAGTTGTGGCTCTACAAACCCACAAAATCCGCTGGCCTTGGAAAAAATCCAGGGTCGACTCACCCCCAACATACATGGCCACACTTTGATACCCTGCAACTTTAGTTTATTAGTAAGCAATATTTCGATGTCCACGTGTACAGCAAAAGATTGGTCTACCCAGTTAAGGTCCCATTAATCACTACTGTAATTTCTATAATTCTCGTTTTTTAAGCACACATCCAAGCTCACTGGCTCAACATCCTATATGGTTACCAACAACAGTTACCACAAATCATCCTCCAAGCCCCGGTCCACCAACCTCACGCAAGCTCCCCAGTCCAAGCGTCGACAGGCGCACTTCAGAATCAGCGCAACCCGCTGTTCGCTGGGAAAGAGCCGCAGAAGAGACCCCACCACCGCCGTGAGCCACGCCACATCGGCGCTACAGCCTAAGACGTCCTTGGCCTTGGAAAAACGGATTTTCGGCCACCCTTGAAAACTGGGAAAGCAGGGGATTTATCAAGAATATGTCATGGGAAACGGATCTATAAATGGGTATTACATGGGGATAGATACAACTAATATGGTGGTTTAACGTTGTTTTCCATGAAAATGGGGATTGAACGGGGGGAAATGGTGATACAATGGGGATACGATATGATTAACATATTACAAAACCAATTTTGCGTGTATATACCAGAAAATGGGGGATGGACCATGTTTGGCACGTTAATGGCAATATGGTGATAAACCACTGGATGGGGTACCCCATGTTCAGACAGACCTCTGCCTATACGGTAGTTTGACCTTTGGGGGCTCGCTGGATGCAAGATGTCGCAAACAACTGCAAAAAACTGAAATGAACAGTGTGTTCCCCAGAATTGACATATTTGGGACCTAAATCTGCCATATTTGGACAAACCCAGTAAACATCGTATGTCCATACAGGAAATCCCCTCGAAAACATCATTCCCCATATGTTTGCATGCAATGGTTGGGTCTGTGAAGCACTATGAAAATGGGTCCATCCTATAAAGTGGTTTATAATTCCCTCCACTTGGTGGTGCAGTTGCAGTGAACTGGATAGAAATAGGATGGAATAGAGGGCCCGTATCCCAACCTATGTGGGTTGGAATCGCATGTTTATACCGTCTTATACCCACGAATGATCCGAAACTCGAGATGGTTTTGCCACAATCATCCCATAATTTCCCGTAATTATCCCATAATGACTTTCCATCTCCCATTAATCCCACATAAATAAATGGGAATTTCTTAATCCCCCAAGTCACCATAGTTTCAATCTGAAAATTCGTCAAATTTTATTTCGATGAGTTGAATTTCTATGAATTGAACACATATTTATCCCTATTTTAGGAAACCTCCATATTCAGAATGAAAGCCATGAACTCCACAGTTTTCTTCACCAAGGTGCTGCAGTCTGCAGGGCCTCGAAGACACTCTCGTCCAAGCGCACCTTCTTTTCAAAGCCCGGACGACGTCCCCAGTCTTCACCTGGTGAGGTGATGAAAGATCAGGTGAAAATGTAGATGAAGATGTTCGTTGTTCAACATGGGAGATTGCTGACCGACCAAGCAGCCGGAATATCATCATTAGCCCATTTGCTCTCAAAGTTGGTCTGGGGATCGACCATATATCAATCAACCAACCGTAGTGTAGTCTAGTCTAGTGTAGCGTAAAGTAGTGTAGTAGTAGTTGCAGTTGTAGCTGTAGTTGTAGGGTAATGTAATATAATTAGTGTAGCGTAGTGTTGTGTAATGTTGTGTAGTTGCATTTGTATGTGTAGCTGCAGTGTGCTGCAGTGTAATTAGCGTAGTGTAGTGTAATGTAATCGAGTGTAGTTGTAACTGTAGTTGTAGCTGTGGTGGTGGTGGTGGTGGTGGTGGTGGTGGTCGTAGTACTAGTAGTAGTAGTAGTAGTAGTCGTCGTAGCAGCAGTAGTAGTAGTAGTAGCATCAGCAGCAGTAGTTGTTGTTGTCGCTGTGTAATTAGCGCAGTGTAGTGTAATTCGATGTAATTGGCGTAGTGTCGTGGAGTTAGTGTGTGCAATGTAGCGTAGAATATGTGTATTTGTAGCTGTAGTAGTAGTGTAAGGTAGTGGTAGTGTGGTGGTAGTTGTAGTTGTAGTTGCCTATCTATCTATCTATCTATCTAATCTAATCTAATCTAACCTAACCTAATCTAATCTATCTAATCTAATCTAATCTAATCTATCTATCTATCTATCTACCTAATCTATTCTTTTCTAATCTAATCTAATCTAACTTTATCTTATCTTATCTTATCTTATCTTGTCTTATCCATCCATCTATCTATCTACAGTATCTATCTGCAAGCTTGAAAACGAAGCTATTGTATTCTGACAGACTTCCTCACTTTTTCATTCCATCTGCCTAAAGCACTGCGCCTGCCAGGAAAAGTGATGCCAGGTCATACGAAGTGCTGCACCTGTCTCGCAAATTCATCTTAGCAAACCTGAAGATCTGATGCTCCAAAATGCAAACCCTCTCAGGAAATCAGGGTTCTGACATCCTAACATCTCTGATGAACATGTCTCTTGTACTGCGCCTGCCACGCAAAATGCATCTTGGCGGATCCTCTTCAAATGTCCCACGCCTGCCATCGCTTTTGGACATGCTACAAAACCCTCACGCTTTGCTCACTTTTGGCAGGGTGCACAATCCCTTGCGCCTGCCACGCAAAACAACATCTGAACGTCCAAAAGTGGTCTGAGACAGTCAGTTTTTGAACACAGGAGTGTGCACTTTTTCAACATCACAACTTCCAAAGGTGCTCCGACCCCGTCAGTTTTTAAATGTGTTGAACACTTTTGACTTCGAAATGTGCTGCGCCACAACGCCGTGCACTTTTTCGACATCTCAACTTCCAAAAGTGCTTGGAGAATGGTGTGCTTTGTTCATTTTGACTTCGAAATGTGCTTCGCGCCACAACGGCGTGCACTTGTTCGATATCTCAACTTCCAAAAGTACTCCGAGAACGTCAGTTCTTAACACTTTTGACTTCGAAATGCGCTTCGCGCCACAACGGCGTGCAATTTTTCATCTCTCGTCTGGCCAGATGGCTCCGCACCCGCCGCTTTAGCGAGCCTACTTTTCAACCCTCCGGAGCCACAAATCATTGGAAAAACACAGTGTTTCGCCACTTGTCTACCTTTTCGCGCACCTGCATCTTCTTTCTTCTGACTCTTCTCTTCTCTGATCTTCTTGCTTCTTCTCTTCTCTTCTCTGACTCTTCCCACCTCTGCTTTTTCATCTGTCCATATCGTTGGAAGTTTGACTTTTAAACTTCTTTCGAATATATATATATATATATTTAGTTATATATATATAGTTAAATATATATATATATGTATTTATTTATTATTTATTTATTTATTATTTATTTATTATTTATTTATTTAATATACAAGTATGTATAAAAAATATAATATACCCACCGGGTAAACAACTCAACTGTCACCGTTGCTGGCTGCACATGAACCCAAACCAGACAAGCCACAGAGGATCTCGTGGTACACCTCAGCCCAGGATCAGGAGCTACAGTCGACGGTAGCGACAACCTATCATAGCAATGGGTGAATGCCTTGCATGCGCTCAAGACGATTTATTATACAGTATCAACATGTATCAACTCAAGAAAAAGTAGAACATCACTAACCCTCATGCGGCTGCCACAGGAATGCGCAAGTAGTTTTTGTGGTGCTAAATGGGTCTTTGCGAAACAAGACATAAAGCCGTGTGATCAAAAGTTCCGGATATGAGTAATATGATATAATGATAAACATGCGGATAACGTGGACGTGATGACAAACACAGGTGCATTAAGCACATGCAATGCATATGCCATATGCATGGAAACGGGAGGAACAAGCCACTGTTCTGATGCAAACTTTGATATCCAGCACCAGGACATCAGGGTTGAAAAGCTACTGTACTTTTTATGACCGCCCTGTGATTGGCATTTCATTCCCAGCCTTTCGCTATGGAATATACTCTTGGCGATGGAAAAATCCATGAGCATATCCCCTGTATATGCACCATTCCATGTAGATTTGTAGGTGATGGGAAAAGATTGGCACTTCCCATCGCCAGGTTCGATCGCCAGGAACAAAAAAACTTCAAACGCCTCAAAAACTGCTCTCAATTTGACACCCATTTGGCAGTGTGAGTATTTCTTCGATCTCTGTATGATTTAAAAATGATTGAATTGACAATCACACAAACAGGAAAACACCAGGCCATCATTCACATGCGTACCTGGACTATCTTCCCGGCTAATAGATGCTTGGACACGTTTCCGTGGGTGTTACCCAGTTCTGAGGGACAACTTGCTAAGCATGGTCACCAAACACTTGAGAATTGGAATGATGTGGGTTGTGGTCACCTGTTGTATGTGCATATATGATATCCTGTTTGGTGGCACGGGTGGAACTGCCGTTTTTCGTGCATTTTTCTCCGCGCATGTCACGTTTCGGGGTGGGGTGGGGGGGCTGATAACGTTCCTAGGCACTTGCACTCACGTGATGCTAAGTCTCAGGTTAACTTGCACCATGGGTCTTACGTCACGAATCTTGCTAGAGATGTCCTACGTTACATCAGGGGGGTTCGGGTACCTCTCATTTTCACCTGTACATGGGGTCTTACGTCACGAATGTGTCGTGCTAGAGATGCTCTAGTTACGCCATGGGGTTTATAGTACGTCTCATATTAACTTGTCTGGTTTGGATGGAGAAGTGTGTTTGAAACAAGATGAAGCTGTTTCGATATAAATGTTTTCTTCTATTGGGGAATGGTTGGCCATGTGTGTGTTTGCAACTAAGATGAATATGTGATCCAGGGATGCAGAAATGGTCCCCCCAACTTCTGGCTGGTTCATTAAAGCCACAAACCACTATCGAATAAATCATCCAAAGTCTTAAAGTTTGGATGGTTGGCTAGAATATCCTGAATTGGTGGGCTCGGAATACAATATCAATATTCCCACTAGATTGGAATAGAAGTGATACAATGAACCACATACATTCAAATCCCTTGCCACTGAATATCCAGAAACCGTGGTGGATGTATGGGATGAAATCACATACTTAAAGGAACCATACCCATTTACGCTGTTGAATATGAACCTTACAGATGGGATTCATAACCATTCTTCACCCACAGCCACTACCAACTATATCAACGAATATCAACATGTCAGCCATCTGCCATCCCTTAAGCCATCTAAGCCATCCCTTGGAAATTCCGATGGAGGATGGCCATGGATGGCCCTCATCCGCGGCACGTCGTCGTTGGCCTTGGGGCTCTGCCCCGGCAGCCGCCCGCGCAGCGACGCCTTGAGCCTTCGCTGCAGCAGCGCCATGGGCTCCGGCGGCGCTGCGCCAACGCCGCCGGGACCGGCGCGGCCCGCCTCCTGGTCATGGAACGAGGGCGCCAAAGGCCAAGGAAACCTCGAAAAATCTCCGGAAATCTCCAGAAATTGGGTGTGTTTCATGGGCAAAATGGGTTGTTGATGTTTGAAGCAAAACATGGGGGAGAGACAAGCAAAAGACAGAAGGTAGTTGAAGCAAGAAACATGGCCGAAAAAAATGAAACTGGAGAGCGAAGCATAAACCATTTACTAACTTAGATGCACCCGCAAGTAGAAGGACATGGCAGATTTTCAAGGGTCATTATTCCCAAATGTCCTACCAGTCTTACCATTCACAGCGCCACAACTTCAATAGTCCTCCAGATCCTGCCTGCAATCCCTGAAAATCCCTGAAAATTGCTCAAATGTATTTAAATAATGGTAAATATGACAAATATGTATTAATTCTATTTAATTATTACATATCCAATTTTTGAGGCTGTCTTTTACAGGGTTTTACATCGGGATAAATCGGGATCAATCGGGAGTATCATCATATGTCTCAATTCCTCGCTTTCACCATCCCAAAAAAGAAGCTGCTTGACTTGGACAACACTGCTCCCTCCAGGCCTCTGCGTAGAGTCTAAGCAAGTCCTGGAGCAAACCATTGCCAGAGGCGCCGTCGCTGTAGGAGTGTGTGATGCCGGTGTAGATGTACCAAGTGACCTAAGCTGGAGTCGGGGGGGGTCCAGGGGATACAAAATCATTGATGTCCTTAGTATGATGGACCTGAAATTCTTGGAGTTTTATGGTGATCTTGGTGGTCCCCGAGCTTTGGAAAAAAAAAAAAACGTATCATGGTATATCATATATCATGATTGTTAATGATCTTCTTATGTTTATCATTTATCTATGTGTTCAGATTGTTGACCATCGCCCAATCTTACTCGCCATTTGGGTTTTCAGCGCCAAAAGACATCCGAAGGTGCCAGCTGCCTCACTGCTTGCTCCAACGGCAGGTCGCTTGCTAGTTTGATACCAGATCTCACCAAGGGATAGACGAAGATATGGAAGGGAGAGCCTCAGAGATCGATCCATCACAGAAAATCCAACACAGAAGGGAGGATGACACGAAGGTTTTACCCTCTGGTTACTAACAGTTTGCCATGGAAGCCATGGCCCATAGAAACAGATGATTTCCCAGCTAGAAACCTCCATTTATTTTGGGGATTTTCCATGGCTATGTTAGATAACCAGAGGGTAATTTTGAATGGGAAATTCCATCTATAAATATCCTCAGAATGGAGGATCCATTCCAACCCAACGAGATCCAATTGGACTGGAGACCTCAACTAGAGCCGGGTTTCTTAAACATCCTAAAGCATATTACTGGATGTTACTGGATCTTTGGAGGAGTCACTCTGTGGTGATTCCCAAGGGACATTTCTGGTGAATAACATATGATAAAATCAGATGTAGATGGGAGATGATAGAGGGTCTGGCTTGTGATTCTTCCTATGTTTCCTTTCACGGGTTGAAGATGCCAAGATACATGGCCCACATGACTCTGAGCGGATTGCACAAAAGGTCCCCTGCTTCGGCCAAGCAACGTTGCTTGTTGCGCAGTGTGGCGGAATGCTTGAACATGTAGTCGTCATCCGAGAGTCTCTCCTCTGGATCTTTCACCACATCACTGTGCAGTGGCAGGTCGATCTGCACCTCAGCACCATGACCCAGTAATAAGGTGGTTAAACATCAGATCCCCGATCCCCTACGAAAAACTGGGCTTTTAGAGGAATTTATTGTAAGCCCATCAAATGGTGTAAACCCAATAGTAAACCTCCCATTTGATCTGGTGTTTGCAAACTATTTCTCGTAAATGCATGATAGTTTCTTTTCGAAGAGCAGATTCCCAAGTGTATCCAAGTGTTTGATTCTAAAATCCACATGTTTGATGGTTAAATCATGTTACAATCATGTTACAATCATGTGAAATCATGTGAAATCATGTGAAATCCCCGGTTTTGATGCTTACATCCTCCGCAGTCCCACCATCTGCCGCGGCGCCCGTGTGTCCGGCTTCAGCAGCGTGCGAGGCCAAGCGCCAAGCAGGATCGGCTCCACGAGGCGGCCGGCCACGGTCCAAAGGGGCGAGGAAGAACCGTAGGAGGAGCAGATCCTGGACGTTCCAGGATCCAGATGGACCGATTTCAGGGAAAAATCCTGGGAAAATCGCATGAAAAAGGATATCATATGATGGATTTCAGAAATGGGAAAATCATGGTATTCTTGATGGGGTGCTTATGGGGAATGCCATGACCAATATTTTCATACGGATTTCGGGGAATTTTTCAGTGGGATTTTTCATGGGAACCCAGGTATCGCCATCCCCTGTTCATATGGTTTCACAGCCTAAATGGACATGGTTCCTGACATATGTAACTTCATCCACTACATTGACCATGGTTTCCGGGGAATGTTTAAGATTATAGCGGGTGCAATATGGTAATTACCCGTTTACGAACTGAGATGCAACCCCAAGTGCCCCAAGTAACCAGGATTAACAGGTATGCATAAAGGGGATATAGCACATACATCATGAGATATATAAAATGTTTTTTTATACACTATATCATATGTCATATATCATATATCATATATCATATATCATATATCATACATCATATACATATATATATAATAATAATATTATCTAAATGTGTATAATATATAGTGTAAATTATGAAATATATCAAATATCATGTATATATATACCTATATAATATATAATATATAATATATAATATATAATATATAATATATAATATATAATATACAATATACAATATACAATATACAATATACAATATACAATATACAATATATAATATATAATATATAATATATAATATATAATATATAATATATAATATATAATATATAATATATAATATATATGATATAACATATATCATATATCATATAAACTAAATATAATATATGAAATAAATAAAATAGAATTTAGAATAGATAATATAATATAGAAATATATAAACAATAATTTAAAAATAAGTTATTGTTTAATAATCTATAATTCACAATATATGAAATATAAAATAAATATATATGTAATATTTAGTATCGAATATATATATATATTAATATTATATATATATCATAATTAAATATATTTTATCATATATCATATATCAAATATACGTATATAGAATATAATACATGATATATAATATAAAATATAGAATATAGAATATATCATATATCATATATAAATAACCCGGTAATCCCTCCAGGCCCTCCGCTGAACCCTTGACCTCCTCCAGGGAGGCAGGGACCCCAGATCTGTGTCCATATGTTGTGTCAGAAATTTGATGCATATGCTGCATATATGTGTATAATTTTATTCGCATTTGCCAATTTAACACAACAATGTATAAATGTCATTAAATTTCTTGATTTAGGCATGTTGCAAAGAATATACAGTACCGTCTTGAGTCTTACATATGTAATGTATGTAAACTTATGAATGTACATGTTAATCCAATCGCTACCCCAATTTCCTTCCCAGAAAAGAAAACCACTGCAGTCCCCAGGCGAATCATAGATACCCTGCAAAAACACACTCAAAACACACTCCTTTGGTTTCGTATGAGCGTCTCCCCATTTGTATCCACTACTACTCAGTTCCAGTATTAAGTCAGGCATGCCCGCTTAAAGTCAAACATCCGCACGGGCACAGCAGGAACGCGTGAACTCATCCAGACAATGAAAATACCGATATCAATGATACAACACACTATCTTTATATGAGGTTCAACTCATCTTCATACAACATTCCACATGTTTCCCCGCAAAACATCTCTGTCCATCCAAAAAATCACCAAGCATCAGTTGCCACATGCCCGCCGCGCGGTCCATGGCTTCCCGCACCGCGGCGTCCGGGCTCAGCGTGGTGCGCAGCGCCGAGTGGCGCTGGACCAAGCGATCCACAGCGCGCTGCAGGGCCGCCAGATCCAGGTGCTCCGCGCCGCCGTAGCGGACGTACCAATCCTGGGTGCCCCGGGCCGGGCGCGATGTCGATGTCGATGTTTTTTTTCCCCATGAAAAATGGGAGACGACAAAGAGTGCAAAGCCAGAAAAATGAAGCTTTTAGAGTTGAGATATAGCTGCTGACCAAATGTGAAGTTGTTGCAAATCACTATATATAATAGGTGTTGGGGTGGAACTGGTTCATCGGGGTTTATGAACCAACAAATACAACTGGGTGGCACCAGCCCGATAGAACAAAGAAATGGTGTGATTATAGAGGGTTGGAGCAACCAACAGTTGAGTCACGATATATGTTGTGTTTGGAGGGAACAATCATTGGGGATCTGAAGGAATGAAACATTGGGCAGATGCAGGTCGGAGCAACAGCTGGCAACTTGCGGCAACTTGGCTGAAAGATATATTTAAAAATGGTGTGATGTTTATGGGAACAAAAAGTGGATCTGATGTTTTCTATTTGCTTGGCAAATGATGGTGTAAATCCTAAACTGGATATACCCGCCAGCAATTCAACAGGGCTATGGAAAATCAACTATACGTTAAGTATTGAACTAAATGGGCCATGTTCAATAGCAAACTGTTACAGTATATTATCAAAACAAACGGTAAATCACCTTTTTTGTAGATGATGTTCCCAGCTATTAACCTCCATTTAATTCGGGCATTGTCCATTTTTACTCAGACATGTTTTCCGGAAGAATTCACCCAGTCTAGTCCTTCAAAAGCACGTTATAACTGTATAATAACCATCCTCTGTATAAAAATTGGAAAATGGTTACTATATAATCAATATATAATCTGTATAATAACCATATCATAATCATCATTAATATTACTTTAATACCAATCTTATACCAACATATACCAACATCATCCCAATACTGTTGGGCCAGCGCCAAGGGACCACTGGTGCCTTCCCAAACTCCATCATGTAGAGACGATAGGCGCCCTCTTCGTCCGGAAGCTCAGGCTCATCTTGCTCCTCAGGGTGATGGATAAACTATCCCTTGTTCAGGTACTTTAGATATCTTTAGATACCCTCTGAAAAAATTTAAGATAGCTAATTTAACATAAAATGACCATTTATAGTTGATTTACCCATTGAAAATGGTGATTTTCCATAGTTATGTAAACGTTTACCGGAGGGTAGTGTATATCTAATCCGTGGTTGTTGATCGGCCCAAATCCCATTCTTAGGTTCACACGATTCACATCCCATGTTGACTATGACTATCCAGTGACTTGACTCCCCCGTAGCAGCATCCCGTCCCCACTCCTGGTTCATTAAATTCCCCGTGTGGCTGAGGTTGATCCATCCCCATGTCGCTCTGGGCCCCCTAGTTCTACCACTTGAGGATCTGCTTAAGGACCCTAAAACCCCCAAAAAAAGATGCCCCATTTCTAGTGGATTTCCCAGGCAAATAACAAAAAGAAACTCAGCAACTCCAGGACCGCCTAGTGGAACTGCGCCTCGAAAACTCAAAAGCCGGGTGATTCGTTGTGTCCCCCATTGCAGTTAGCCCATATTTATCCATATTTCAGTGGCTTCCAAGTGAACGAACCTCAGTTCCTCACCACGATCCGAGGCCAAGATCCCCCAAGGAGCAAATCCCCACCTCCGTCCCGGGCATCCCGCTCCTGTTGGCCCTCTTCCTCCAATGCCCGCGCCAAGCTGGTCACGTCTCGACAGCGCAACACCAGCGCTGGGGAGACGCGAAGGCCCAGCTCGTAGCGAGCCAACTCGGCGAACCGAATGGCTTGCCTTGGAGAAATGGTGGAGGTTTTGGGGATTCACCATGTGTTTTTGGGAGGAATTCAGAGGATCCATTGTATTATTCCACCAAAGATTCTTGCGGGAGTGTAGATTGCATAGGGGGCGAGGGGATTTTTAAGTTCTGCAATTCTGCAGTTTACAGCTAATCACTGCAAATCATCACTAATCCCAACTAATCAGCAAGGTTTTTTTCATTCAGGAAATATATGTTTCTTTCCAAGAAAAAAACTCTGCAGTTCTTCAGCTTCCCCAAGTCCCTATCAAAACAATGCCCAGAAACAGCGAGTCCAACGCCAGCTGCGGTGCTTCTCCCCCCACTCGCGTCACCAGCAGTGCCAGCGCCCCTGCCAGTCCACCCTCTGCTGGCCCTTGGCCACCATTGGGCGCGGGGGTTCCCGCGGGGATTCCCGCGGGAGTTCGCGATGCGGGCGCAAGGACGGCGGGGCGGACAGGTTCCCAGAAGCTCAGGATGGACAGGTTGCCGCCATGTCTCCTGGGTCATTTTTTTGGAGGGAAACAGGAAAGCAACTAGTTTCTTGGCGGCAGTGGTGTCTCAAATTATATAATTGGGTGAGACGTGGTAAAACACAACACATTTAAGCGTTCGCTCGAAATTAGGAGGAAGAAAATGCACTTTCGGCTTACGGATATTTAGGTATTGTGAAAGAGGGAAATCACTGGCATTTTTTGGACAGTATAGTGACCCATGAAAGGTGCAGGGAAAATTTTCAAACTACGGTTGTCCCGACTTCAAAATATTCTATCTATCAATCTATTCTGATCTTGTCTTATCATATCATGTATAAATAACTATATATATATCGATATATCAATATCTATATATATAGGGCTATGTATGTATAATATCTGTATATATATAGCTATATTATATTATATATATATATATCTCTATATCTATATCTATAATATATATATATATTATACTCTACTGCCGACTATACAACAAAAACTTTGCAGCCGTGTTCCGGAAAATTGCCAAAAATAGATTGATAGTATAAGATAAGGATAGAAATAGGCAATACGCAAGATGCAATATGCAATAGACTAGGCAATATGCATAGGAATAGGAATAGGAATAGATAATAGAATAGAATAAATAGATTCAGTATCCATAAGAAAACCAATTTGTAATTGGGGAGACTCCATTTCTTCCAGCCCATTTGGGCGCTAAACTGAAAACTGTGGCTCAAACCGTGCGGAGTTCCTCAGGAAGACGATGTTCCAAAGAAGTCTCGGAAGAAAATGCTCCAAATGCTCCAAATCAAACACTGTTTTGGGTGGAACCATTCTAGCCAAAGCGTCCCAAATCAACAAATGGAAGTACCTCCCATCAGGGTGCCCCCAAAGTACACGGTAGCTGGTGGCTGTCCAAGTTTCGAGTTCATGCACACATTGACCCATCGGTTTTCAGATCCCCAGTCATATGCCACCTCAGGTCTTTTGGTCCATTGGGATCAACATGGATCAACCACATTTTTCCATGGAAAAGATATGAAAACTTCAACCGCGGACCAAGGCACATCGTATTTATTGAAGCGCAAACTGGCATCAAAGGGCGGCTTATCCAAGACCGGCAAGCGCCGCAGGATCCAGCGACGGAGATAGGATGCATCCCAGGTGGACCGGGAGATAAACTCGTCTCGACACCATTTTGGAAAGCTGAAGACATAAGCTAAGGGCCTCAGGCTTCGGGCCCAATGTGATGATGCCTTTGGCTGCTAGTGAGATATTCATGTTTGCTGTTTTTTGGTATAAGGTCATATTCTGATCAACAGCAATTTGTGAGTCAGTGACTGATACTTGGTGGCAGGAAGATATAACCAAAATGGGCTATTGGTGAGATATCATGGCAATATACTCGGGTTTCCAAACCAACAATTGTTGTTTGATGAGTGATCGCTGGGGAGAGCGAGATTTTGGGTCATGCGAAGCCAGGATTCACCGCCGCTTACTATTTCCAATAGACATTTATAATCATGTATGTGGATATATATATAGTATAACATATATATATATTATATTATATTATATTATATTATATTATACTATATATACGTATACACACTTATGACTTTGGGGTACCCCCCTGTTTGCTTAACCAGGCCTCATCAATCACGTCAAAACGCTACCAACGGCCCTGCCCTTCAAAAAACAACTAGAGCATATGGCTTCCGACAACCATCTTACCTTATTGCATCTGCTTGTTGAACTTGCCGAGTTCGTATCCGGTCAAAATCTCAAGCTACAACCCCAACCTGCATCTCTACACAAAGACTTATCTAAGTGAGATTCCCATCTTTCCATGTGGATATGGTCCAAAATTAGGTACCTAAATTGGATTACTGACTGTATTAATACTCCAAAACTGACCAAAATCTGTGGTCTGCTGGTCAATTTTGGCACATATGGGTGTGGCCAAAGATCCCAAGGCCATGTCCCAATCCCAGGCACAAAGCCAAGAGGAAGCGCAGTCTGCTTGGCAGAAACCACACATATCTGCTCAGTAAGCCCAGTAGAATGGCGGAAGCCAGATGATTTCCACTCCTCTGCGATGATTTCCACTCCCATGCACCCGTGAGACATAATGACAAAAAGCCTGAGGCTGAAATGGCATCACCTCAGTGGAAAACATTCAGGACCCTAAAATGGAGGTATGGTTAACCATATAAAGCCATAGAACTTGTGGGGCATATCCCCTTACATAACCCTAAAAAATAGGCCTTAAGTGTGGTAGCTACCTCCAATCAATCGGTACCTGAAATGGCCATTGATCAGTGACCAGCCGGTCTGGTCAGTTGGACCGTTTTGTGGAGCGCCAAGGTTGACTCCAGCAGAATCGTCTTGGATTTGCTTAGGGCATCCAAATCAGACAAAAACATACTCCCTGTAGATTCTTGAACGGTGAAATTAGTGTGAATCATATGGTTCCGTCGGGAAATGCACAATGACTTGAAGCAACCCAGATCATACTGTGAAGCGTTGCCTATTCCATCGGTTGAATGAGATCATGATGAGGGGTAGGCCAACTGAACCCCCCGGCAATTGTCTATCCATTTGGACGATTTACAATAAGTCCAGAATCTGAATCAAGGGAACATACCCGGTAGACTAACATAGCTATGGAAAATCCACTCTTTTTAGATCATTTTCCTACGGAAACTCATGGTTTTCCGTCGTTTTTTTTGTACGCTGGAGGATCTCCATCCAGCCCAGGCACGATCTCGCAACCAAGAGATGGTCGCCAAGCACATGAGAATTAATGGCCGCAGCAGAACATTTGGCGTCAACAACGCCAGTAGCAAAAACATATCCTCACTCTTCGGCCGTTCATGAAATATGTATATATATGTGTATATATAATGATATAATTTTATATATATATAATGATATATATATAATGATATATATATATATATATGATATATATATATATATAGCAATGGCAATGGGATCCAAGATCTAAGAATCTAAGCAGTAAAGATTGAGTTGAGATGTTGACCAACAGGAATTAGTTGGTGAGCAACCCCCAATCTCTGCAAAGCCCTTCAGATGAATCTCTTTATTTCATGTGTGGATTGAAAGAAAACTCAAATATCGATAAAAAAAAAGATACGAATGTGGTAAAAGCAATCATAAACACCATCCCCTATCCCCAATAGAGGTTATTGGCTATACCAGCATGTGAAATGGTGTAAAACGAGCCCCAAAAAGGTTGGTTAATGGGATGGAACCAACGCCCAGTCTCCGGTGGCCCCAAGGGCATGTGGAACACCACCCACTTGTGTCGAGGCTTTCCCAGTTGATGCCACACAAACAAGAACGCCGTCCTCACAAACGGGGTCGCATCTGGCCGGCGGCTGACTCCACTAGGATCAAAATTCCCGTGGATAAGAATCATTAGGCTCATTCAAGGGAAGAACAATCCAGAAAACTTTGGACGGCCACGATTTAGTTGAGCGAGAGTCCGATGACAATGCCTGTACAACCGTGAGTTCGAAAACTAACACCGAGAGCTAACATGGACAAGTCTGGTTGCTTTCAGAAATTTGACCCACACTTACGTGGTGATGTATTTAAAATGATCTATAAACTTGGAAATCCCTGCATGTCCCCACTAAAAAATGTGTGGCTTCTACAGGTACCTGTAGAACACAAGCATTTCTTGTGGAGTCATGCCGGGATCAAGTTGATGGATCCTTTTGCAAGAATACTCGAATTGGCATAGGTTCGAAAAAAAAAAAACATAAACATAGTCGGTTTATTGCAGGATGACCATATATAGTTTTATACGTGCTTAATCGTGCTTACATGTGCTTATGATAGGATTTTCCATTGTACATCAACCATTTTGGGGATCCCCCATTGATGGAAGCCCCCAATACAATGCAATGTAATGCAATGTAATGCAATGCAATGTAATGCAATGCAAGGGAATGGAATGGACTGGAATGGAATGGAATGTGTGTGTGTGTGTCTGGATATGTGTGTACATACATAGTCCCACCAACTATATGTTCCCCTTCTTCCTTCGCTGATTGCCTCTCATTGCGGATCCACTTCAATACCCCGTGAACAGGTATACAGATCAGCATCATCCAAAATCATCAGCTACTACTTCCCCAAAAAAAAATGTACCAATGGTTTGTCTAAAAGCATGGTACTTGGGTACCCAAGATCCAACGCTGGAGAAAATCATGTTACCATGAAAACCACCATGTATTGGAGATGAATGACCAAAAATTTTGGACAACCCCGAATCATAGTCTTGGTTGTAGTATCCATAATCCCACAAAATATTATTTGTCGCAACAAATATTCCCACATAAAATGCAATTCCCATGAAATGGTGACATTCTCCCGCCCTCCCCCGATTTTGCAGAAATGGTCTTCCGACATTTCTCCGTGGCCACCAAATCCAGTGGTGTCCAACATCATTTACCGTCAAAATGCCAAGTTTTCTACCATGTTACACCAAGATGGCCTTCAACGGACCGCCAGACCATCCATAGCTACGAAGATCGTGTCCCACGTTGTTCCCACAAGTCCCAAACCAAAAATTCCTCCAAGCTCAGTTTTGTCTCCAAAAATTCCTCCAGGGCTCCAAAGATACGGCAACTTTAAGAGTCTCCAGAAGATCATCTTCCAGTTCCCCTGCAGCCGTCCCACCGCCACCGCCAACACCAGGACGAAAACGTGCCAGGCTGCATAGCCTGGGTGGTTTGGAGGAGCTGGGGTAGCCACCAAAAATATGAAAACAGTGGGTCTCATTTGGGCTGTGATGATTTGGGTTGTTTTGATTATATTGATTGTTTTGATTGCTTTGGTTGGTTTGTTTGTTTTGATTGTTTTGATTTTTTGATTGTTTGATTAATCATTGTCCCAACAGATCCAACACCTTCAAAGACTGTATTTGGGGTTGGAACCAGCTTTTCGGAAGGTATTTAGAGCGTAAGGTATCAAGGAATCCGCGGACCCAAGCCTAAGCAATTAGATCATTTTGGGGGTTGCCCAGAAATGAAGGATTGCAGGCATCCACTTGCCATGGATGATGGAAATCTTGACAATCCATTGACATTTGAGGCATGTGCATCCCACGACAATCCAAGTCCTTCATAACCATGGACATAGCCCAGTCATGGGTTTCTCCTATCACCACTGAAAAACATGGATGATTGAGCAGATACCAACTGGCGGAATCAAAGTGGCGGATGTTCTTAACCACTTGCCGCTGTTTGAAGTGCTGCTCGGGATAGAGGGAAATTGTGGGGATTTTAATGAACTGGAACACCCCTTGCGCATGTTGCTTTTGTATATGGGGGACGAAATAACATCATATATTCTATATATAATAGTTTAAAATCATTGTTTGGTACTAGTTTTATCCCCATCCAGAAGTTGCGCCGCCAAAATTCGTGTTTAGGCAACAACTAAATAGATTAAATACATTCCACCTAAAACGGCAATCTATTTCGAGCCTCCCTCTACTTCGGACCACTTCGAATAGTACATTATCAAACTCCAGCTTTTAGATCTTGGAATCCTGTCCATGTCCCGCCTCGGTGATCTCCGATGGTCATGTTGACGGCTTGGATCATTTCCCTAGAGATTGTCTCCCCAACTCTTAAAAATCATTCCCCTGTTACCCTCTGGTAAATAAACATAGACCCTGAAAATGACTAATTTTTAATGGAAACTAGTGTTCCAATCCCTATTTGCCAGGGTCTATGTTAATTTACCAGAGGGTACATTTATAACTTTGTGACACACATCATGATGTATACTACACCAGGACAAAGTTGTGTTTCCTCTTGGGAACTTCCCACAACCATTCCCCCGTGAACGTCCCTTAAACTCTGTTCGCCACGCAGCCCACACGAAATGACCCTTGAAATCTGATCAGAGTCATGAGATCATGTTTTGTGGCGTCATTGACGGGAAAAACTCTATTCCTCTTGATGTGGATGTGCTTATATATATATATACATATGTATATATATACATATATATATATACATATATATATACATATATATATACATATATATATATCATGTACAATATATATATATATATATACACAGATATGATATGCATACATCCTCCACATAACCACAACCTTTCAGCGTGGCGTCTTCCTTTCGGTATAGAGATGGAGATATGTATAATATATATATATATACACATATCTGTATAGCTATATCTACATATATCACTTTATAGCTATATCTAAATATAGCATTTTATAGCTATATCTATATATAGCTATGTAGATCCCATCTCCACCATCCGTGGCGTGGCGCGCAACCTTTCACCATCCTCCTCTGCACCATTTGTAGCTCTCGGTTCCACTTCGCCTCGCGCGCCTGACGTTCGCTGACATCCTCCCGCAGGGCTTGGCGATCCACCTCAACGAGGAGTCAACACCCAATGGAGTGGATGAAGAAATGTGTGGATATGGTGTGTATACATATATAGATATACATACATACATACATACATACATACATACATACATATACGTATATATATATATATATGTATAAATTGAAAATAAAATATATATATCTTATCTAATAATAATTAATAATAATAATGTATATATATATATATAGAGCTAACCATATGGGATTTAATGGGATTTAATGGGATATAATGTTTTTAGGTAAATTAATAGGTATATACATTTAAACTATGGCATTTGTTAATATATAGGTAAATCAACGAACTAAATGGCAAGGTTCAATAGCTATGTTAGTTTGCCAGAGGGTAATACCTATGAGGATGAAAGAAGGAATGGGTTTTTTACCCAATACAAAAACAAAATAATGTGGGTTTATTATGGTTTGTCTTCTGACATCCAAGTTCATTTGGTTTCACTCATGTCAGAAAATAAGAGGAGCATGTAATGCGGTAAACACAATGCCATAGTCACCATCTCCAGTAGAGGTTTATGAAATTGGTATACTCCTAGTAGGATCTCACCACCATACTCGCCACACGTTGTTTGCCGAGATCTCACGGGCTTCCAGAATTACTGTCCGTCAATGAATCGTCCACAGCTCATGGCAGGACTTCAAATATTGTGCAACAACCACAACCCATCAGGGCAAAGTAGAAGAATTCCCGATTCTGCCTTTAAAATGCCCAAAAATTCCTCAACTGGATATCTAGAATCTAGAATACATAATATATATATATATTACACATATATATATTATATATATAACATATATGCCATGTTTAAGGGACATATTAGTGTTCACAATTTTTAAACCATGTAGAGTCTCCATACCCCGGATGGCACCTTGGAGGTGACGGGACGTAGGGGCAGGGAGGACCAGAGCCGCAACTGCGAAATGCCGAGGCCCAGTAAGGTCTGCATGGCCTGTTCCTGACAGATTGGGAAAATGTCAGGTTAATAGTGGTTAATTAATAGTGGTGATAGTGACTGATAGTGGTGATTCCTGGTTAATCAATAATGTCAGACAACTAGTGCTAACAATGGTTGATTTAATGGCGAAAAAAAGTGGTGATTCCTGGTGATTAATGGTCATTTGGCCATTGATTTGATGCTGTGATCACTCAAGTGATAAGGGGAACCTGTTGACGTCCGCGAGTTCACTTGAGCTCAACGACATCGTGGTGATGATCATCTCGAACATCTTGAAAAGATCAAACGACTACCACTTTTCTCAATGGTTTATCCAGTATCCATTGTATCCAAAGGTTTCACTACACATATAACTAAGTTTCGTTTCGGATCATTTGGGGAGCCACTTCTTTTTTATATAAAACCATCTGGGTAAATTATAATATTTCACTAACCTGAATTAAGGCAATTTGGGGATGATTTCCCTTACTAACCATTATTCCAGTGAGGTCGCAGTGAGGTCGTTATAATTTACCCAGAACCATGGAAAAACCCATAGAAAACCTTCCATTTCTCCACCTCGATCCGCTTCAGGGGTTGGCTGCCCGTCACTGCCCCGCTCGCGTCGCGCGTGTCGTCCAGCTCCAAATACGCCACCAGCGCGCCCTCGTTCTCCGCGACGATGGCGGCCTGTGCTACACCAGGGAGCTGTCCCACCTGAGGCAGGGCCGGAGATAACCAAAGTTGGCTAAGACTGTTTTAAAAGCAACTCCAATGAGGAGAGAAACAAGAAATGGGTATGGATCAATACCTATTAATACCATTTTTAATGGGATGAACATCCATTTACCAGCTATTTTGATGTTCGCCAGGGGTACACGGTTTTGACACACTGCCAAATCAGAATTCAGCTCTTTTCAACCAGCATGAACTAGGACTATAATGATGATGTCCCATTTGTTCAACAAGATTTGGCCAGCAAAAATTAGGATTCATACCTCTCAAGAAAATGAAATGGGATGACATTGAGCAAACAAAATGTTGGGTTTTCACCTGCGAACATACAGCTACGGGTATTCTCCAGAAAATCCGGCTCTTTTTATACCAGATTTCAAGGGATTTCTGTCTCAGCATGACCCCCATCTCCCAAAAAAAATGTTTTGCCACCTTAGCTCCCCCACCTGTGCTTCGAAGGTGGCCAGATCTCGATAGGCTCCTCCCACCTTCACCAGGGAATCGGCCCGGCCCAGGCAGGCATAGCCGCCCTCTTCGAGGCGCTTCAAGCGGTCCTGGGTGGGGAAGTAACGCTTGCCCTGCACATCCACAAAGGGGCCATTGATGGAGCCAAACTCGTCCACATAGCCTGCGAAGACCGTGCTGCCACCTCAGTGGGGAATTCATTGTGCCACCATCCCCGATTTCTGATTTACCATAATAAATAAATAAATAAATAAATAAATATATATATATATTAGTATCTTGGATTGACATTTGGGGAGATTTTTGCGAATCCCACTTTGAAGATTGAAAGAAGATGATCTTGAAAGTCAATATCTCGGACGTTGACATTGTCTCTTTATACTCAAACACCATCTGTCATCTGTCTAGTCCTCACTTCGAAAACGAGAAGAAGGAAAAGTTCCAAGAGGCTGAAAGTAGGAAACAGGATGAAACAGGTAGGATGTTCTTGAGGCAGGAAATGGCAGGAAAATGAAGATGTCCTAAAACAAGGGACCCCAACAACCCGCCCAAAATTGTCTTTTTTCGTCGAGAGAGCATGGTTTTAGCAAAACACTGACATCGTTCTACCCATTCACCAGTCTTGCTGCCACAAAAAATCAACCGTTCACAATCGATTTCATTGGTCAATTCAGTACATCCATCTGTTCCATTCTGTTCCCCCATTTTGAGGGCAACTTGGTTAACAGTGTTGACCTCCAGGCAGGCCCCATTTACGGCATCATTTCGGGCTCCATTGGTACTCAAATTAACTCAGAGATGCATCCCAACTATCGCAAGTACGTGCTGAAAAACAATGGCATAACTTGTAAATATACCAGTAGTACCGCAGGCGGTGGCGGAAGTTTCAGAATAGGAAACCTATAGGAGACGTTGGTTGTTGTGAATCACGGATGGCAGAGCGAATCCACTGATTGACCGAAAGGTGGTTGGAGTTGTGTTTCTGGAATGGTTGCAATGGTTGCAGTGGTCACCTCACCCACAACTGCTGGATGTAGTGTGATGTACTGCAACTGTAGTTGTTGTAGTTGTAGTTGTAGTTGTTGTTGTTGTTGTTGTTGTAGTTGTAGCTGTAGTTGTTGTGTGGTTGTAGTCGTTGTGTAGTGTAGTTGTAGTAGTAGTAGTAGCAGCAGCAGTAGTAGTAGTAGTTGTTGTTGTTGTTGTTGCTGTTGCTGTTGCTGTTGTTGTAGTAGTAGTTGTTGTTGTTGTAGTTGTAGTTGTAGTTGTAGTTGTTGTGTAGTTGTGTAGTTGTGTAGTTGTGTAGTTGTGTAGTTGCAGTTGTAGTTGTAGTTGTTGTTGTTGTTGTTGTTGTTGTTGTTGTTGCTGTTGCTGTTGTTGTTGTTGCTGTTGTTGTTGTAGTTGTTGTAGTTGTAGTTCTAGTTGAAGTTGTAGCTGTTGTGTAGCTGTAGTTGTAGTTGTAGTTGTAGTTGTTGTAGTTGTAGTTGTTGTGGTTGTTGTTGTTGTTGTCGTTGTTGTTGTTGTTGCTGTTGCTGTTGTCGTCGAAGTTAGGGTAGTTAAGTGAGTCAAGTTAGTTAAGTTAAGCAGTGTCTACTTTTTCGACATCTTCACGTCAAAAAAGGCTCAAAACCCTCAGTTTTTTACACTCTTGACTTCGAAATGTGCTTCGTGCCACAACGGCGTGCACTTTTTCGACACTTTTTCGACATCTGAACCTCCAAAAGTGGTCCGAACCCCTAGTGTTTTTAACATTTTGACTTGGAAATGTGCTTCGCGCCACAACGGCGTGCACTTTTTCGACATCTCAACTTCCAAAAGTGGTCCGACACTGGTGTGCTTTGTACATTTTGACTTGGAAATGTGCTTCGCGCCACAACGGCGTGCACTTTTTCGACATCGCAACTTCCAAAAGTGGTCCGACCATGGTGTGTTTTCTACATTTTGACTTCAAAATGTGCTTCGCGCCACAACGGCGTGCACTTTTTCGACATCTCAACTTCCAAAAGTGGTCCGATCCTCTAGTGTTTTGTCCATTTTGACTTGGAAATGTGCTTCGCGCCACAACGGCGTGCACTTTTTCATGTCTCATCTGGCCAGCTGGCTCCGCACCCGCCGCTTTAGCGAGCCTACTTTTCGACCCTCCGGAGCCACAAATCATTGGAAAAACACAGTGAATCGCGACTTTCCTACCTTTTCGCGCATCTGCATCTTCTTTCTTCTGATCTTTTCTCTTCTGACTCTTTTCACCTCTGCTTTTCAACTGTCCATATTGTCGGAAGTTTCACTTCTAAACTTCCTTCGACTATATAATACTATATATATATACATAATATATACATACATATATATATATATATACACATAATATATATATATATATGTGTGTGTATTTATATAATATATATATAGGATATCTTCGGTTTGTACTGGGTTATGAACTATCTATCCCTGCAAATTGCGATCAGAAACCCAACAAGAATTTTGAAATGACCAGCCATGTGTGGGTCCACAGATGTCTGGCATATGTTCCATCGAAATTGCCATTTCGGTATGTTTCAGTCATGGAAAATAGTCTGGTACTGCCATATCATTGGAAAAATACCCGTTACGGGGATGTTTTACCAAAAATGTCCTGGAATCATCCCGGCTATCCCCCATTTTCAGACACACCAATTTTCATGATTCTCAGTTTTTTCCGTTGTTCATCCCGATCTTTATGCTTCAATCCCCATTTAACCATCATTTATAGATCCTGGTTTACCCTCTGGTAAACGTTTACATAACTATGGAAAATCACCATTTCCAATGGGTAAATCCACTATAAATGACCATGTTCAATAGCAAACTGTTACATATGTTAAATAACCAGATGGTAAATCTGGTTTTAACCTGGTTAAACCGCCATTTTTCGTAACGTCCCCCGTGGAAAACTTCCCGTGTTTTGGACAGCGAGAGGCTGAGGTGAAGCTCCCCGCAGTCCCCCGGCTCCACTTCCACGCCATCCTTCAACACCTGCCAGCCCCAAAAAAAATGATGGGAATGAAAATTGTAATATATATATATATACACACTATATATCCTATATATATATATTCTATATATCCTATATAAATATTTATATATATACTATATATATAGGTATGATGTATAGTTTCTAGAGAATCTAGTTAGTGATTTTGAGATTAAAAAATATATCTATGGCAATAAGTAGCCAATAGATAATAGATTCTATGTGAATTTTCATATATGGATATAGAGCTGGATATAAATATATATATATTTATATATATATATCATTTTTCAAGATACTACATCAGAGCTCCGTGGTTTCAAACAGTGTTTTGCCTCAAGCCAGTGGATCCAAACTGGTTATTTACCGATGAGGGAACGAATGGACCCACTCATTGTGAATAGGATGCTATCCCTCCCAAGTGAGCCGACCTTTCAGCATATCCGTTCTTAGAGAAATTGTCTATAAAAACTGGGGATGTCCCACTCAACCAAGTTCAACCGCCCAAAAAAGGACTCAAGCAAGTCTTGGGGTGAGCCAATTTTGACCACCTACCCACAGGTTGTTCCATCCAAATCAAGGAGTCCTGCTTTTAACTCTGGAGTGGATAGAATCTCTCAGTTTCAGTTGTTTAGATATTTTTCCTTGTTAGGGCAGCGGATGGTCATGTTCTACCTACTTCAGGATGGGTGTACCTCTTGATGTCATCCCGCTTGTTGAGTGCAATCCGCCATGGCTGACAGACATCATGCTTTTGAAATGGCAGATTGCTCATGGGTTGCCCAAAACGAACAAGCCGCGACCCATAGAACCGCCCAGCACTGGTTTTCACCGTACGACCGAACGGTAATGATTTCTTCCGAGAAAAAGATGAAAGATCTGCCATCTGGTAGACAAACCTGACGTCTCAAGTCCCCATGTTTGATGGAAAAACCATCTACAAAATGCCAAAATTGGTTTTAAACCAATAGGGATTTATAATGATTTATATGCATGTGTCTATTCAACATAGAGGTTTCTCCTGTTCCTCACAGCTCAATTTTTGAATAAGCACGCCTTGAAGTCCAGGGAAGGCAATGGATGCAGAATGTGTTGTTCCGTGCCATCTGTAGGGTCCGTCCACGTAGCACAGTCCGAATAAAAGGACAACCAATACTCACCTGGGCATGGTCAGAAACCGCCGAAACACGGAGCTTTGCTTGAACAAGATGAACAAGTATATAACAAGGTGGTCATCCTGCAAACACCGGAAAGCCATTGAATAGATAGAAAATGATAGAAACAGATCCCGTTCGTCGTGTGGCTTCGGAAAAAAAAAGCGAGCCTCGATTCGAATGATCATTGATATCATCGTAAGTGCTGCTGATTTGACTTTCATTATTGCTACCGTTACTGTTGTCACCGGCATCGCCTGCGTCGTCATCATGATCGCTGCCCGCATCATCATCATCATCATCATCATCATCATCAATAATGAGTCAATGAGTCAATGAGTCAATGAGTCCATGAGTCGATGAGTCGATGAGTCGATGAGTCAAACAATCAATCAATCAATCAAACAAACAAACAATCAAACAATCAATCAATCAATCAATCAATCAAAACAATCAAATCGAATCAAATCAATCAATCAATCAATCAGTCAGTCAGTCAATCAATCAGTCAAACAATCAATCAATCAGTCAGTCAATCAAGCAATCAATCAATGAGTCAGTCAATCAATCAATAATTCACCCATCATCAATCAATCATCCACCAATCATCAATCATCAACCATCAATCATCATCCTCAATCGTCATTCTCATAGTCTTACCTTTCCATTTGAGCTGGAAAAAGCGTCTTCCCTACATCAGAAATTGATAGAAAATCTCCGAAGAAAATGCTTGCTTACAACTTCCTCCAACTTGTAATATCGGGAATACTTCGTAATACACTCCAATAGTCGAACATGGCGTGCTGGAAAATCATCGCTTGGTAAGGTTTGGTATATAGATGATGCTCCCTTCGAATGCCAATATTTGTGATTTTCTCGCCAATCCAGAGAGCACGTTCCCATGTCTTGAATGCGGAGGAAAAAGATTTCAAAAAATACCAAGGCAGCATCTTCTGATCAGAGCGAGATTGTGGGGGTGCTCAGCCCTTTCCTACACTTTTCTACCCTGATGGTTTTGGCAGGAGGAAGCCTATGAACATCGCTGAGAAGTTTGTTCCCAGTGGCTGGCAATCAACAGCTCGACAACTGCAAGTTCCTGGTCAAGGGGCCCCCAGGGCCTCCCCTGGTGGAAGGATGAATAACCCCTTGTTGTATCAGCTTCCGGGCTGGAAAATTCCCATGATTGGATATGTTCATGGCAATCCTGGCACGTCATGTTCGACTACCAGAAGGTCCTTGGATCCCAATTGGGAAATGGTTAATTAATATTCTTGGCGCGAGAGTCTTTGAACTGAAGTTCTCCTACTTATAACTGGGGAACAAAAATTGTTGCTTCTCCAGATGCTAGGTGATATCTCTGTGTGTATTGTGTATGCGTACGTGTCATATATATATATAATATGTTGATAGCCTGTGGTGTTTGACAACAAAAATAGGTGATAATAGGTCGGTCTTGCCAATGGAAATGGAGATGTCCCTTGCTTGGCAACTATGCTATATACTACATTGTCTTTTAAAGTGTAGTTTGCAACTTCCGAACAAGGGAAAAAAGCATGTCAGAAAGAGTAATGATAAAGATTGGGTGCGGTAATTCAAAAATTTGGATCAACACTGTCCTGAAATGTGTTTTTTTTCCAGTAAGGGCACGCCTTTGAACACGCAAAGTCATGGTCCCTGAATCTGGATGCAACCCATTTGAAAACAGGCACCCTTGGTGCCCCACTTGGCAAATCCACCTTTGGCTCACCATGAATAAGCCGGTATTGGTCATGTCATCCACTGTCTTCACACTCCAAATTCTAGGGAATGAATAGAATGCAAATTCCTCTGCACACTCTTGGCAGTACAACTCCATTTGCCTTGCATATGGTAAGCTCAACAGGTCTGATCGCCAAGCATTGGTGATATCCCCAGGACCTCTTCATGACAGCGTCACAATGGCACTAAGTCAATAAGAGCAAGAAGAATAACAAAAACAGCGATCAGAAGAATCAGAGTTTCACAATATCGCTGTCTCTGTAAACATATGGCAGTGTGTCAAAACCTTGTACCCCTGGTGAACATCAAAATAGCTGGGATTTATGGATGTTCATCCCCTAAAAATGGTATTAATAGGTATTGATCCATAGCCATATACCAGAATTATCATATATGCCATACCCAAAAAGTAAATTCACATACAAAAAAAGCCCTCTTATATCGTTCCAACGGAAAACGATCCAGAAACGGTGGCTTCACTTTTGGTTATAATTTACCCTCTGGTAATGACTAACATAGCTATTGAAAATGACCATAGAAATAGTGGATTTTCCCATTAAAAATGGGTGGATTTTCCATAGTTATGTTAGTTTACCAGAGGGTATGGTTGAATGCACAGTACCATTTCTACCTAAGCAGGATGATCATGGATGATCCTATTCTCCTTCCGAATCTTAGATACCCTGTTTTTCTTTGCCGGCTAATATGTCCGTTTACAACCAAAGAGTAGTTAGCACTAAAGTACCATCCAGTTGGTTTCCCCTGGCACAACTATTTGCGAAAAATTGCCATTCTCAAGACTCATTCTTGTCAATCATTCTAAAGCCATCCTAATCCAGCAATGGATTCAAAAAATCTGGCCATATTAACCCATAGGGTTTGGGAATGTCCTACGGTGGATGGAAGAAACCCTGCACCAGTTCATAGGCGCTTTATCCCATTATTTATAGGAGTTCAACCATCCAAGGTGATGCAGGATTTCTTCCATCGACAGTAGTTAAACATCACCCAACTGTTGGGCATATACTTGATCTTCAACAGATACAGTTTTTCAAGTGATGCGAAACAAATCTCCATGAGAACCAGGACATGTTTCAAAAAAATACATGTGGGTCTGAAAATGAGGTATAACCGCCTAATTATATATAGTCACGTACTAGGGAACATAATGATACAACCATAAAACTTGGGGGGTCCCCTCAAATCTTCAGACAAACCCCATGTAATGCTAGTACAGCAATAAGATCCACCATCCCCAATCTTACCATTTTTATGAGTGGCATCAACCATTCAAGATACGGGTTACTTTATATCTTATCATTACTTATCATATCTAAACATATCTAATCATGATTACAATGAACATCCAAGAAAAACCCAGGGTGAAAAACCTTTCCAAATCCCAATCTACTCCATCCTTGGTTACTTTTCCAAGGCCTCTTTTCCAAGGCTTTTCCTGGCGGCCAAGGGATCCAAGGGTCTCTACTCCACTCCCGGGCCAACTTGGGTGGCGTTCGTTCCGCCCAGGTGATGAGCAGCCGCAGGCTGAGGGGCTTGGCGTTGGGCCCCTGCCAGGCGCGGAGCTGGGAGGGCACGATGCCCAGCACCGTGACGCCGAAACCTGGGGGCTTTAGGCGGCCGGCTGCCGGCATAGCTGGGGATGATGTTTGTGTTTTTTTCGTAAGGATCATAGATGTGTTTTAGATGATAAGATGGTGGTCATAGATATTGGGGATGATATCATAGATGAGGATCACAACAAGAATAGAAGTTTAATTGATGATAGATGATTAAAAATCATTGATGATAGATATAAGTTCGTTCACTTCGAGCAGAAATCACTATGGTCAATAATGGTCAAAAGTAATGATGTTTTGAAATATAGAAATAGTGAAAACAAATTGATAAATAGTATGTTTTCAACAAAAAAAACTGCGTAGTCATAATAGTAATATATAAAAAGAAATAATCATGAACAGGAATGATACTCTTCCAGGTCCGTCAAACGAATCCAAGCCCGCAAAAGGACCCAGTTCTGTAGAGAAAGGAGGTTCCGAAATGTGCCAAAACTACCATTGTCAAAAGACTTGATGTTGGGAATAGGAATTTCAAAAACATATTGGAATTTCCGAGAATCCTGCTGCGAAAGTTCAATTTGCATCGGAAATGTGTCACTTCCATCAAAATCATAAAATGGAATCTATCGATATCCTATGTAAAATTCAATATTATCCTGTATATATATATACATGATGCACATATATATATACAGTATATATATATACATACATATCCTTATCTAAATCTCTAAGTCACTCCAAAGAAAAAAAAACTCCACGCGTAATCCCTTCCATCCATGGACGCACGCAGGTGGCCGCGATGTCCTCCGGTTGTGGTGCCTGGCAGATCACGTTGCAGGCACCGAACGCCAAGGCTAAATCCATCTGGCCGAAGATGGCGGCGCCCCAGTATGGACTGCTATACTGCAGCCTGGCTTCGGTGGCCCAGGATGGCCCAGGATGGCCTGGGGTTCGGGATGGGAAAATCTACAGGAAACCATGGTTTCTACCATCAAATATAGGGCTTTCCTGTAAATTTTCCCATCATCCAATTCTATGACAATCTGCTTTGATCTGTTTTGATCAGCTTTTTGAGATGATCAGATGATCTCTGAGAACATCCCAAGTTGATTTTATTTTACCCGGGAGGTTGACCCAGTTGACCCCCCAAAATCTGCATGCTCAGCTGTTTTACTTCGCCCGTATGGGGATGGATCAAAGACGATTACACCATGATCCGGGGACGTTATTCATACCAAATCCCAGCGATTTTTTGTGTTTACCAGGATATTTTGGTGTTTACCAGGATACCAAACTTGGTTTTGACACAGTTTGCCATATCAAAAACCACCTCCCAGATGTATATGTGAATGGTGTTCCCATTAAAACCTCCATTTTGAGGTGAAGTTCAATTGCTATGTTTGATGACACCGGAGGGTAAGCGCAATGCTTATCTTATCCACAGGCCCTCACCGCCCTCACCACGCCACCAAGGCACATTCGATCCCGGTTGCTGGCACGGCCTCTTAATGCAATTTGGTAATTCTCCACCTCCCAGATTGCCATCCTGGGCCACGTCATTGAACCAGAAACCAGATTTTTTAGGCCCCCAAAACGAGATAGAATTCAGGTTCAATTTACCATTATCCTTGTATATTCTCGTTAAACTTGACTACTTGTCTATCTTTCTTGGGGCTGCTATAAATTGATGGTCATATATTCAATTCAAGCAGAAAACCATCCCTTTAGGGTCGCATTGTCCGAGTTTCGTAATTTCTCAGGATCCCACGTGTCTTTTTCACCAAGTTTGAAAGACTGCAAACATCAACTTCGACTTTGCGGATCTACGTATGCGGATCTTCGCTCGGTGTAGAAACCCAACCTCGCCAAGTATCCCATGAGTCACTGCCACGCACTTGCTGAGTTGAGTCGTGCCACCTGGCCATCGAAAGTAAGCGAGTCAACATGATTCAACACCTAAGGGGACGGTGATATAGCTATATTAGCTGTGTTAGTTCTTGCAGTTGTTGCAGAAACCACAGATGCCCATGTTTCTGTCTTTGCTTCGTATGTGTTTGTGGTCTTAAACTCGCGCCCACCCCATGGGTTTGGATTAAGGTGTATACACCACTGTTTGGGGCAATTCCCCATCCCTTCCCATTTTATACACACATTCCAAATAGAACCCACAAAAAAAACGGTCCAATCCTAGAACCATCCAGGGAGGACCCCAAGTGTAAGGCTCCAACTTGAAGTCTACAGGCTGTAGATCGGTGTATATCCCGTGTTTCTTGATGAATATATCCGGTCTTTTGACTTATCCAAATGTCTCTTGACTGCTTCAACTTCACAATTTTGGAATACCCCAATTTTCCACGTTTCCAGCCTATCATGCGGTTGGAAAACTCTGAGTAGCTCCTTGGCTCCCCATTCCACTTCTTAATAGGGAATCTGGATATCCCTTGCTCCAAACCGCTCTCTTCCCACTGGATAGCAGCAGACTTGAATGTGTTCTAAAATAGGGCTACCCCCCAAATCATCCTCCGATTTTCCAGCCAACCATCCAGCCATTTTTGGGTAATCCCTTTGTAACCCCTATGACTTTGCAAACGCCCCAGGCCGACCAACCAGTTTTTTCACGTGACCGTCGCCTGTGTAGACGTAACACAGCATGGTGTCTTCCGCAATGGGCGCCGAAGGCACCGGAGGCCCTGCATCTGCATCGGACTGCAGAATCGACAGGAGCTGCTCCAATGAAAGGCTGCAGCAGTCAGCAGACGCCAGCCTGGGCGTCCCGTGGCCAAAAAAAGGTGGATTAAGATGGGCTGAACATGGTTTGAACATGTTCGTTTGAACATGGTGGAAAGCAACAGAAATGCTGGCTTAGGCAAAAAAAACGTTAAATCAGCAAAACTCAGGCAGTTGGTAAAAGTATGCTAGTGGTTTTGTCAACAAAGACCCAAATGTTGTTAAACTGCTATGATCTAAATGCCAAGCTCCTTCAATTCCCATTGGTCGAATCCCCAGTGTTGTGGCTGCTGAAATTCCCATAATATATAATTCTGTTTGTCAAAATCAGCTTGGTGTCCGTAACAAAAAAACACTGAGAAAAAAACAATCTTTTCTGTATGGCTTCAATCCTCATATCCATAATCTTTATCTCAAAAGAAGGAAAATCCTCTCAATCAGGAAAATCATCAGCCTCATGTTTTCTCCCGAATTATTCTACTTCCCCCCCCCCGTCATTTCTCGCTCAACCAGGCAACGGTGTGGAAGGTGCGCCCAGGACTGCCTGAGGCAGCAACTCGGCAAAGGCACGTTCGGCACGCCTGCGAGGTGACTTGGTGACGCCAACTATGGCTAGAACCGTGGTTGTAAACCGGAAATCATAGGGGATATGACATGATATAACTAAAAAATATGTAGAAAAATTGGGATGTGATTCGATGGAATAAAAGTGATATGGGATTAATGGCTATAAACACGGGAATTGAAATCCCATAAGTTGGGATATAACTATAACGCCCCAATAACTATAGTTATATATGTATACTGTATACTTGATTATACTTGTAACTGGAACTGTACCATTTCCTCTTCACCTAACCCTGTTGGGTGAAGAGGAAATGGTACAGGACCTAAGCCATCTCAATCCAGTAAAATACGCATGCCCAATATAGGGGGAGAAAAAACGACGCCAGTTTTTTCGGGACAGGTACCAGAGGCACCACAATTATGCCGCACCTGATGATTTTCAGAGGCACCACTACGGTCACTATGATTCTGTCGTAAACCTGCCAAAGAACCTTTAAGAACAAATAAATACAATTTTCTTTGCATTTGTTTCTCTCAAGAAACGAAGTTTCCAGGATCCGGGCTCTCCCATTTTTGACCAATTCTTCCTGACCATTCCTGACCACTGCAGCGCCTCTGCTGTTCAGGCTTTGACAAATCATCCACCAAGGGCACAACCGGGATGCCCAAACGCCAGGCGGCCACGCAAGCAGAGTACCACACTCTACCAGGAGGCAGGAAAACCTGGGTGGAACTTGGTGGAATCCAGAGATGGAAATTGTGACCTAAATTGGACTCCAAAAATTTGGAGGTCTACCAACACGGGAGGAACATGTCCCAAGGGAATCTTTGGCTTCACCAACTGGGAGTCGCCAACCCGTTTTTACGAAGCCACAGTCCCGAGCATGAGATTTCTCATCCAGAAGTGAGGATGTGCTAACTATGGTACCCGAAGGTTTTTCTTCTCGAGACTCCACATGAGGTCATCTCTGCAAAGCATCTTTGGGGATCCAAATGTTCACAGATCACCAATTTCTATTTACAGATGATTTCCAAATTAAAAATGACCACATGCGCCACATGCGCCACATGCGTCACATGCGCCACATGCGCCACATGCCTGAAGAGCCATCAACAATTTGCATCCCCATCTCTAGTGCTTAGGCTTACAACCAATTCCTACTTGGAAAATCCTTGCAGACATGAGTTTGTCTAAAAAGTCAGAAGAAAACCCCCCAAGTCAGCTGCTTGATCATCATTTTCCGGCCTGTAAATCCCATCATTCTCCCCTCAAAATCTAGATTTTTGGGTTGACAAATCGATAAATCCCATTTTTCGCCCTAATTTCTCCCAGCAAAAATGGGTCAACCCTCTCATCCACTCAGCCGCCAAGCCACAGCGATGGGCCTTGGGCAGCGCCCGCAGTTCTCAGCCGCGGCCAAGCCCACCTCCTGGAAATGCCGCGCTAAAACGCCCGAGAAGTGCCACAGCTCCTGGCTTTCAGCGGTTTTTCGCGAGTCCTCTGTTGGTATGGCAATAGTGATGGATTATACCGAATTATACCCATCAAAATGGTAAATGATTCATAGTGATCCAGGCGGCCCGATTACCGGTCCACAAACATGTAATGACGACAGCACCACAACGCCAAAATCAGATCCCAAAATCAGGTTCCAAAAAATGAAATTGTGAACCCTTGTGATGTTTTGTGCTTCAAGACGTTGCTGATTCGTGTCCACCTTTTTTCTAGCAACGTAACATGATCCGTGCACGTAACATGATCTGTGTACTGCTGTGTCGTGCCTGCTAAACGCGTTGATTAAGTGTGCAACTTGTACTCTTGGTCAGTATGGGTTCAGAACGGGATGAAACTGAGATTCCTCTGATAGTCATATTCCCACATGATATTCGGAATGGATTGTGATATTCCCCACATGGTATTGGTTCGTAATGGTTGGTAGAATCCCCGAAGTCATCAACCGGGGCTTTGTGTCGACACAGCGATGGAAGATTTGGATCAAAATATGGCCCATTTAGTGAGAAATGATGTACCATTAGCATGGTGATTTTACATAGCTAGGAATTCCCAGAGGGCGCCCCCCAAACCCTCAGGACATTTCTACATTTCTCCCGTGAAGATCATCAAAGTGGGGACATAACACCAACCATTGAATGGGGGTATAGCAGGCCAAATAATTTCGTATTAATGGATTCCTTTGAGGGAAATTCTTACTGGTGCGTTTTACGTAGGGAATGGATGGGTTGCTGGGGGTTGCTGGGATGACTATTGATAGTTATTGATAGTTAGCCAGTGGATCATTCCCGAAAATTCCCTACGTTTAGCACAAGTAAGAATTTGAAACCATGGCTTTGACCCCCCCCAAAAAAAAAACAACGATTTCCGACAGATGGGATGGGATGGGGATGTGACCATGAAAAATCTGGCAACCAGCAACGGGGATCTATCTAACCAAGAATAGGGACTTAAAGTATGTTAAAGTGATTTCACTAAGAAAGTTAGGGAGGTACCCAAAAAAAGACAAAATGGGATTGTGTTGCACTTAAGAGTGACCAAATGATAGAAATCCAGATGTTTTGTTCAGTGCAACATGCAAGACCAGGAAATCAACTACAGGTTAATCAGTTGAAGCAACCAAAATGGGAACACTCATAGTTTGGAATGTTGTACACTCCCAGTTGAGGGGCTGAGTCAACGGGATGCCGGCTGAAGGTCCAGGTGAAGCCAAGCTGTGCTCACAGTCTCAGCAATCCCTTCGGCTGCCACGATTTTTCCGGGTCGTGGCTCTCATGAGCTCGTTTTGAGGGCTGCATCAATTCTTACATATATTCTTTCTTTAAACCCTGTCAACTACCAACAAAAGGTTGGGAGTTATCCCTATGTTTTGTTGGTTAGATCCCCATACTATCTCATCTTTGAGAGTTACATCCCGAGTGTATTATTATCATTATCATGAAAAAATGTCTCTATTGTAATGGGTATCATTATTCGTTGTTTTTATCCGATTTGCAGCATCACCGTCCGATCCAATCATATCCCACTACATATATATATACATAATATCTTTATATTATACAATTTTATACATATATCATATATCATATATATATATACACATTGTATGACATATATAAAAATATATAACACATATGTGTGTGGCCATATCATGATTGCTTCTGATCGGTGATCTCTCCGAGCTCCTGGTAAGTCCACTCCCCCTCCGGATCCACCACAGCAGGCCGCTCTGGCTGCACGTGAGCATAGCGTTCGAAAACGCCGCCCAGGCCGCGGCAGCCGGCCATGGCGAAGCTGACCGTTGCGTTGAAAAAACGGGACCTTTCTGGCAAGAAATCACTTTGGGGTTTGGCATCAAACATGAAAGACCATAAAAGACCTGGAATTTCGAGAGGTTTTGGGGCATTCCTAAAGTTGGATGGGTCGAGATGGGGGAGAGATTCTACAGACCCTGTCTTTTGAACCACTGGGGTTCTGAATTGAGGCTGCAAGCACCTGGCGTTATCAGGATTGGCATCACCTATTTGGGGCCATCTGCATGGTTTGGATTCGGCAATGCCGGAGTCCTAGGGCCCACTAAGTAACCATTCCCATCAAGCCATCAAGTAATGCCTGATCCATAACAGGCTGCGGGGAGTCCCATGCTGCCAGTGTCCACTGGATAGCTCCTGTCACCTCACCTGGCTTTGCCTCCGACTCGCCGCGACCCTCGCCATAGCGACCCATGACGCGCCTGCCCATCTCTCATGCTTTGCCTGAGCTTCTTTTCACAGAGTCCAGGGAAAAGAAAATTACATGAAACCATGGTGTTGCATAATCAGACAAGAATAGGTGGTTCTCTAGATTTCAAGGTCAATTCATTTACAGTTTCATGCCTCGACTCAAATACCGGAAACAAAAATCCATGTGCGCGGAGTCTTACGTGGTTGCACTTACACATTTCTTCAAGTCTTCAAACAAGCCACTGCCCCTTTTTACTGTACCAGTAGTCGTTACTTCTTTTTCCAATGACTGTCCACCACCGAGACCCTGCCAAGTCGGTCCAGAGAGATCGATTTTTAGTGGCGGCAAAATGGGATGGCCGTGCAGTCAACTGTAACACAACCAGTCAACATTGGACTCCCAAGTCCCACAACATTCACTTCAATTTTGGCGCCAAAAATACAATCCCACTGCATTTATATTGCTAGTGCAGGTTAAAAAAAAAACTATGTTTGAAGTTTGCTGGTAGTTGAGGCCAATCTTACTCCCCATTCTTTATCTTTTTCTGGGTGTGAGTCAACATTGGAGAAAATCTGGAAAAATTAAAATAATTCACTGACCTTATATTTCAGGCCATTTAGGGCAGCGATGGTTTCCCTTATGGGAAATTCCAATGACGTCGCAGTGAGCTCATTCTAAGTCATCCAAATGGGATGTTTGACAATCCCCTTTACACTCGTTGGTTGAGAACGGGTTTCCCTTAATGGATTGTGACGTTCCGCAATATATTGGCTAGTATAATCCCCGATTTAATCATCAACCAATTGTCATTTATCAATGATATCCCCATATGTTTGATAATTCCTCAAAAAAATCGAACAAATATATACATGATGGTTAAATCCCCCAAAATCATCAACCAGCCATCATTCATCATATCCACATGATATATCCAATATGTTGCTTAAAATCTGAAAAATGACGAACGAATCAACGAATGGCACCTGAGTCGCTGGAGGTCTGCCTCTGAACCAGTGACCGGGCCAAGCACTGCTTGCAGCCTGGAGCATCTTTGGCAAAGCCCATATGCTCCATGGTGCTGGTATATTTACCTACAAAACTGGGCGATTTTTGGGGCACATGTTGGTAAATATTCCATACATGGAGCATATGGGCTACAGAGTTTGGATGTTTATAATATACATATATTATACATATATATATATATACAGTGTGTGGGTGTGCAGCTAACAGCATCAACCCCAATTGCGTCTACCTGCGCGACTGCGCTTGATGGGCTTCGCCAATCCTATGGTGATGGAAACTGCCTTTGCTGCCAACATTTCCTTGCAGACGATCCTTGCTTGCTGTACTGATCATTGAAGAAACTCCCATCACTTGTGAGAAAATCCATGTAGACTTACCCGAATCTTCATAAATCATGTCACATGTCACCAACCTGAAAGGTTCCTGTCTCTAGCTTGCGGATAGTTTCCCCAATCCAGTTCCCAGCGTTCACTTTCCGACAAACCCAAATTTCATATAAAATTCATATTCCATATTGCTGGTGAAATAAAATATAACATATATATATATCATATATTCCCAGTGTTTCCAATTTGGAAACAATGGCAATGATGTAGTCCTTATGTCCTTATGGCTTCAAAATTTGCCTATGATTTCTCCCCCGCCTCTGCCATAGCTCAAAGGGGTCACCATAGAGTTGGGCCACCTACCACAAATATAGGCAGGTCAAACCCTGGCAGATGTACAGGACTCAGATTGCACATGGTGATGTCTTTGGTACATAGTATAAGTCACTCGTGTATATATAGTCATAGTGTATGCAACTAAGGATATACTGCATACTAGTGGGCGATTTCGACACCCAAACATACTTTTTTCAATGAACTCATGACCTCAGGGATGGTGATAATCCCAAACCATGCGTTTCCCATTTAAAAGATCACTTTAAAAAAAAAAAAACGTGTGATTTTGGGGTCTCCGATTAAGAAACCCCCACTAATATGGATTAACCCAGCTTTGCAATCAGCGTTGCGGTTTCCCGGTTTTTGGGCTCGGCAAAAAGTCCGACGCATGGGTCAACCCAACAGCCATTTTCCAATCCATATTGATACTCCAGGATTGTTGTTATAATTATTGTAGATGGTATCATTGTGACTGTTATTATTATTGTTACTGTGTAATTACTATTAGTAGTATTGTTGTTACTATCACCGTTATGGTTGCTGTATATATATATATATACATATACATATACATGTATATATATATATATACATGTATACATATACATATGTATATATACATATACATATACATATATATATATATACGTATATATATATATACACACATGTATACATATTCATATATATATATACGTATATAATATATATATAATGTTATATAGAATTGCATATACACACACAAATGTCGTATCCCCCACCATCCTTACATCCCCCGCAAACAACAATCATGACCTGGTCTTCAATCGCTTGGTGCGTCTCTAAAGACATGCCAGAAGACAGCAACGACACCTCGCTTCACGTCAGCTGAAAGTCGGCTGCCCAAATGGATATTGATGGGATATATAATGGGAAATATATGGGAAATATAATGGAGATATATATATATATATAACCTATATATACAACCAACAAGAATGGCGATACAATGGTGATATAATGGGATATCATGGGAATATATTAAAACTTGTCCTGTACACTCTGGGAATTCATTTAACATACCCTCCGGTAATCAAACGTGGCTGGGAAATCCCCGAACTAGCCATAGAGGTTTACTTATAGCTGGGAAAAACATCTACAAATGGGTGGATTTTCCAGCACGCCACGTTTCATTACTGAAGGGCAACCACGGAAAATCATCATGTTTATTGTAGGAAATCATCTATAGATGGACCATGTTTTCCATATGTCAAATGACCAGAGGTATGGCTGAAATGTTGAGTTTGGGGTACCCTGGTGAGGTCGGCAACCAAACTCGTTGTACTGAAGATCCATGGACTCCATGGACCACAGACTTTCCATCGCTGACTTAGGATGCCTGATTTTCCAGCACGCCATCTTCGATTTCTAGAGGGTCTTTCAATGGAAACCTACTTTTCAAACATCTGTTTTAACTACTCTAAAATTCACCAGAGAACAAACGTTCAATAGTTCTCACATGCTGGAGTTTCACTTGATATCCCAATTCCCTTGGCTCGCTTCGCTTCGCTTCGCTTCGCCCTTTGGATCACCGTGCCTCTTCGCTTCCCAGCTTGGTGACATAGTCACTCAGACTGCCGTCCACCTCCGGGCCCCATGATAGCCACGGCTTCAGTAGCTCTATGATTACCAGCCGTTCAAAAGTAGGGTACCTTTATGATCCTTTATGGACCCACAAAAGGCTGGTAATTGCGAGGATATCATTTTGATTCACAGCTGTTTCGGATCCTTTCAGATCATTTTAGCATCTGTATGCGTCATGAAAAAACATGGCAGTTTTCCAGGAAAAAACATTGAACAAACTATACATGGAGGATTCTGAGAATGTCTGAGAATGTCTACATCCCTGAGACCTCCCAGCCACAACCCGGCTCAAATTGTTTGCGGCTCGCGGCAGCACGGGAGTCGTCAGTTTCTGAGGTTCGGCCGTCCGCAAAGCCCAGGTTGAAAATCGGCCATGGTCGGGGATCTCTAAAAGGTCCGCTCTCCACCAGGGGGCTGAGGGCTACAAGGCCACACAAGGGTTGGACCAGTTGGGTCTTGGGGTTTGGAAATCCCTGGTACTTCACCCTGAGTCAAGCCCGGTCCAGCCTGGTTGGGCTTAGAAATGTCACAATATTCCACTTCTGTGATTGAAAACCTCTACCCTTTGGGGACACAATACACTAATTTGCTTGTTTATTTATTGACTTGTTTTCAGATAATCAAAATATATCAAAATATTGGAGGCGAAGTTTGCGAAGTTTGTTACCCTTTAAAATTGATAGATCTATTGGTTCCTGATCCCAACTGGCCTTTGCAGCTTTTAGTCCCAAGGAAGCCATTCAGCACCTCCTTATCACTCACCTTAATTGCCGGAAAATACTGGCACCCTCGCCTCATTGGAACACCACTTTAAAACTACTTCACCTCCACGGCAAAGTCCCGAAGCTCAAGGGGACCCGGAACCGCACTGCCAATGTCGCCGGGTTCCCGGGTCGGAAGGATCTCCTTCTCCTCGCTGTCGCTGGCGACACCGCGGCCCCAGGCGATCAGCTCACCGTCCGAGAGGGCTAAGAAGCTGCTGGCACTGCCTGGCCGCTGATCTCCAAATTTGTGGAATCCATAAAGTTGTAGACGTGTCTTTTTTTTGACCGGAGATAGGCAAAAAGCATCTAGTATTGGGTACTCTTTCTGTAACAAAAGCACTGAACCGTGAATCATTGGCACAGTATCTCCTGAAATGTTTGAGTTTCCAAGATCTTGGGCCATTTTAAGGAGCAATTCTGCACATGTCAAGTTCACCATGGCAGCATTGTCAGCGACTAAGACTGCCATGAGATTTGACATGGCAGAGTCCACGAGTGTCAAGCGAGACATATGACTGGTTTTTCACTAATCGGGTGCTGGGCGCCGTCCACTGGCAAATAGGACATCTGTCACAACCCTCCAACTTTGCCGCACGGCCAGAAACAAATTCAAATAGCTAAGAATTAACAGAGCATACCCTCTGGTAATATTCATGGCTATGGAAAATGGTCCCGGTTAGTTCGATGATTTACCCAAATTTACTTATTAAAAGGTGTGATCGTTCATAACAAACTGTTAAATTGCCAGAGGATAAAGTTTGGTAAAGACTATTTGGGATGTTAATAACTCAGAAGATTGTGAAAAAATAATATCATCCCCCCCACCCCCTTTCGTAAGGAGCCTTTCAAGTCCTCAACTCTGCCCAAAGAAGCACAAGCTTCTGGGTCTCCACCTGCCAGCTTCCGCAGGTGAGCTGTTGCCATCTGGTATGGCGATAAGTTGTGACACCGCAGGATTCTTGCTTACAGTGCAATATCTGAGTGAGTCTGCAGCGTTGCCCCACTACAGTCTTTGAACTTTGAGAAAATTCAACGCCCATAAGCCAGAACCCGAATTGTGAGCAGTTGGTTCACCCCATTCCTACAGTACCTAGTAACAGCAGTAGGCACTTGCCATTCCTGCCCGGGCATCCAAGTGTCTTTTGACCAACAAGCTCCTTAGACACAATGCTGCCCAGTACTGAAGTTCTTGAAGAATCTCTCTACCTCTTTTCCTCTTCCTCTACGAAACATATATCCATTCATCAAAGCAATTCACCTGAAACTGCCAGTACGTATAACTGCATATATATATATAACTGTATATAACTATTTTTTTTCCTTCATGGCACACAGAGACAAGCTGTCGCGGCCAATGCTTTGAATTCTGCCAAGACCCAGTCAGCCAGCAAAGTCCGGACCAATGTGCTTACTATAGTCGGAAACCACCATATCAGCACACTTGTCCCAAAAAGAGGGGCTGATGGAAATGTCTGGGTCCACTGTACTGTGTGCGATTGCACTGGCAAAGCTAGCAGCAAGTGCTCGACACATTGCTGGGGGATATTCCTTGAGGCTGGACGTCTGCCAACGCCCCAAGGCATCCCGGCCTATGGAGGCAGCCTGTGGCAAATCATCACACACCCTGCCTTGCCTAATCTGCCTCGCAAGATCAGGGAGACGCAGGGCCAAAATCGAGGTCGGCTTAGGAGACTTAGCACCTAAGAGCCCCTGAGCAAAATCTATCCTCTCAAAACCAGGAAGTCGGCTCAGCAGCATTGCAATCTCAGTACGCCAAATCGATGCGGAAGTAGGATTGGACGGAGGCGCCGGATGTTCCAAAGCTCCAACTGCACCCGTGGCATGCAAAAGGATCATCATGCGAAAAGAGAAAAGAAGCAGCTGATTGCCCACAAAGACTTGCAACACTTCTCGAACCGCCAGACACTGCTGCCCCCAGAGCTCATCCAGCGTGCGAAGCACTCGCGGTCCTCTGGCGCGTTGATCAGCAGCAACATCAGGAGCATCACCCAGAGAGTGCTCACGCGCTTTGCTCCAGGTTTCACATGGTGGACCGGCTAAGTATCCAATCACAAATTTGGACTTAACCCCGTGGAACCAGTAGTTTTGACAATCAGGACTGGTAACATCGCCCCAAGTGGAGTTCAAAATGATATCAACAGAGACCACATGAACTACAAAACCTGAATGTTTGGAGACAATGGCCTCCAAAAACTCCTGGAAGTCACCGGGACGCCGGCGGCCCGAGAAGGCATGCAACACAAGGCGATGCACCCCAAAAGCTCGCGGCGCTGGTGCAGCTTGAAGGACTTCAGCATCTCGCATGGCCTTCTCCAAATCCGGTAGCGCAGGGATCGCTTCTTGCGGCACAGGCATATTCAAAAATGTCCATGAGGTTGAATCCAACAGAGAGTCGATAAAGAGCTCAAAGTCCACCTGAGAAGCAAAACCAAACGCTGTCACATCCTCCATTGTCGCATTGAGCTTGAAAGCCCGCAGCAAAGCAACGCAAGAGCTCCAGGAAATGGGACGCCTACAAATTGCCTCACGCACAGCCTGCGAGCGACATTCTGGTAATTGTTGGATCAAAATTTCAGTGATCTCACCATAGAGTTCAATGTCGTAGTGTTGTACATCCCTTTGAGGTTCTGGGCGAGGCAAAGGGCCAAATCCCTGCAGAGGATGCTGCAAGCCATTGGCTCGTCTCTCTTGCTCATCATTCACTGCTGAACCAATCCCTGCGGCAGGCTGGGCCAGGGGCCCTCGATTCTGCAGCTCGTTTCGACAGTGGTCTTGATGGCGTAAGTGTGCATGAAGCCGTCCAAATGTGTGAAATTCACGCAGACAAGAAGGACAAGAAGTCGTATCGAAAAGCCAGCGCAGATTTGAAATCAACCGATGGCAACGAAACATATGCGCACCCTCGCCAGCTCTGCTACGAAACATCTTTTGGCAGCACATGCAGCCAAATACTCCTGCCGTAGATGGTGACCGCAGATCTTGAGGAAGAGGTCCTGGACAAATCACTCGATGTTGCGTCAAATCATCTAGGATGTCCAGATGAGCCTGGCTGACAAGAAGAGCATTTTGACGTTGCAGGCAAGCATGTCGAATTGCACGCCTGATCAAGCCTTTCCAATAGCTGGTATGATACTGCCAGAGATAGCGCCAAGCCTCCAGACTTTCCGCAGGATTAGTCAGCGATGAGCTTCGCCGCAACTGATGCCACATCCAGAGCAGATCATCCTTGATGAGCTCACACCACGGAAAGTCCGCATGTAGCAAGCCCCACGCCACTGTGCCCTCACACCTATGCAAAGTGCCAATGTAGCGCAATCTCGCACGTCGGAGGAGCTCCGTGGGCGTCGGCAAAGATAGGGCAACACAAACTTCCTCATCTGTCCAAGCACAATCATGAGGCACCCTCAACAAACGCTTGTAAAGACGGAGGACTGCGGAGTGGAGAAAACTCTTGGAGCGCTGATCGGCCAAGTGCCACGACTCACATCCATAGAGGAGCTTCGTGAGCACCAGTGATTCAAAGAGCTGTGTACGTTTAATGAGCGGTAAATCTTGGTTTTGGAAAATCTGTCTTCTGTGTGAGGAGAAAGCTTGATGTGCCAAGGCAACTCTCTTCCTCATCTCTTTGCGATGATCTCCGGTGTGATGGAGGAGTCCTCCCAAATGCTGATATTCACCAACAACCGTGATGTGGCGAACCATATGTTCTCCTACAATTGGCATCAATCCAGTGCAGCAAGGACCAAAGAAACGTGCTTTGGCAGCTCGAACACCCGGTCCACGCAAAGAGATCAGGAGCTCAGTCTTCCCTTTGCGAAGGTTTGGCAACATGGCATGCTCCTCCAAAGTATCCATCAAGAGTGAGGAGATCACTCCTGCCTTGTTCAGGGCTCCCTCTGCCGTACCTGAGCTAATAGTGACACACAGGTCATCCATCCACACAGGGCCAGTATGCGCATGCATTTCCCGCTGTTGCAGATGATCCATAGCAAAAGGGTCAAAGGCAGGGTCCACCCGAAAATATTCTTGCAAATCTTGAGCTTGGAGTTTCTGTTGAAAATTTTGGAGCACTCTGGAAAACAAAAATGTGAACACTATATCCGCAAATGAGTCTCCAGGTCTGGAGCCTACTGACGTCCTACAAACGTCCTCTTGACCTGGCATCTGGAAAAACGTGTCCTCATGAATTGCTTGAATGGCTCTCTGGTAGTGCAATGGCATTCCTGCAAGCATAACCGCAGAAGGTTGTGCCAAGTGATCTCTCAGTTGATGCAGCACCTCGTGCGGCATCTTGAGCTTTGCAACAAGGTGAGCAATGTCAGAATCAGTAAAAGCCGAGCCAAGTGCAAGTGGGCGTAGCACCCTGTAAAATGCTTCAACCAAATCAACCATCAGCAAGACCGCTGAGTTGCGCTGGCACACTGCTGCACGCAAAAAAGCTCTAGCTTCATGTAGACCGAGAGTCACCGGGACTCGTCGTTTCCCTCCAAGTTGAGAACGTGCCATATACGTCTCAAGGAGTGTCGCTTGTCTTTGACGGACTGTCCTGTGCAAAGTCTTGCCAAGGTGAGAGCTCACCAATAGGCTGCGGTATGCTGCTGGATCAGTGAGCGGACCCTTGCCTTTGTGCGCCGGGGTAAGTATACCCCCCTTGTGCTCCAAGCTCTCTTGCCTGTGCAGGACCAACTTGAGCAAAGCACCATACATTTGGCGGGCAAGTTGCGCAGGACAGGCACTGCAAAGTTCAGACGGGATGTTGTCCAAACCGCTAGCCTTGTTGCGAGGCACACGTCTAAAGGCTAACTCCAAGTCCGTGAGCGTTGGAACATCCTCCACCGTAAGCACAAGGTTATCATTGCGAAATCTTTGCAAGTTGGTCCTCCATCTGGTCCATTGCTCCTCTTCATCGATACGCACTCCACCTTCCATGTCACCAAAAAAGGTGATCCAGCGGCTTAAAAGCTGAGCTGGTAGACCGCATGGTTGTCCATCTTCATCGAGAAGCATCGGCAGTGTCTTCTTCTTGAGATGTTTGACATTTGTGGGGCCTACAAAGAGCTTCACAACCTTCAAGATGTCATTGGCAGATGCTGTAACAGGAAGCTCCTGCAACGCTTCTGTCATTGCAGCATGGCGAGACTGTTGAAGAAGCTTTTTGAGTTTGGCTGCCAAAATCTTGAGCTCAACGTAGTATTTGAGACGCCAGCACCACAAAGTGATCGTGTAATTGAAAAACAAGACTGGGGAAAGAGCCTCCACATGGTTCACAATGCTGTGCCATTGTTGGAAAACAGCACGTATGCATTCAATCTTGTATCGACCTCCAATGGCAGTGACCTTCTTCTTGGCCGCAAGTTTTTGGTCTCTGAGCTTCCACAAACTCAAAGGAAAGAAGGTTTTCTTGCCTGCTTCCTTGTTAAGAGGACAACGTTCAGCAAGGCAATGATGGAGATCTTGCGTATAGGTCTCAATGTGCTGGGCAATATCCGCAGTCCATGCAGGTGCTTGGATGTCAAGCAATCCAGGCATCACGGTAGAGGAAGTGATGGAGGAACGATCAACTTTGGGCTTTTTCTTGGAATGGCGCTGATACCATGTGTGCTCTTGCCACTCAAGTTGTATGGCGACTACTCTATGGTCAGCGTCTCCATTGCAAAGATCAAAGTCTGGCATCACAGTGGACAACGTGCATGTGGGCAATAAAGCACGAGGGACACAAACAAAATCAATGCAATGTTGTGCCCCCCCCGTCAAGGAAATCCAAGTAGTTGTCGAGCCCTGATGGCAATCAAAAGTACAGGGAAGGCAAAGGTCATAGGAATTCAAAAAATCTCGCAGAAACCGCGTGTTCTTAGAGGTTTGAAAATGATCCGATCCAACCGCGCAGCCATCAGCTGGCCCTGGGGCCGCATTCGCATCAATCATGAGGAAAAGTGGAGACCCATCATGAAATTGTTGAATAACATCACCAAAGTGCTGCCACCATTTGGCTCTGTCAATCTCGCATTGTCCACTTTGTGGCGCATGAGCAACGACAACCAATGCACTCCACAGCCAATGATCCACTCGAACCAGCAGTAAGCGTGGAGACTTGAACAAGACTACGATATCCTGCTTGGAGAGATAGATGGGCTGTTTGCGCACGTATGCAATTGGGCGTGCAAGATCAATCCACAATTCCGTCCCCCAATGACCATGATCAGCTCCACCTCCCAAACGATAAACATCGTCGACACAGCTACAGATCTCAGCACACCGTGCTTCTTGTAAACCCAGGAAGTTGAAGCCAAATTGCCTCATTTGCGTACGAAGGAAGTGAACTTTACCTCTGCCAGCATCTTCTCCGGCATAAAGAGAATTGACATTCCCAGAGGCAAAACTGATGTGGCAATGGGCCACACTCCACTGTCCAGAGACAGCAGGTTGTGCAGCTTTGCGCTCAGGAGGGAGAGCAGGTGGGCTGACATCAAAGAACGATCCCTGGAAATTCGGCAGGCTGTTGTCAGCTCCAAGCACCATCCAGAAATAGGGCAAAATTTTCCGCCACTGGCGCAGATCAATATGCTGTCGTGCATGATAAAAGCTTTTCAGTCTTTCTTGCTTCGCCAGCAGATCTACAAGATCGTTCCAAGGGTCGCCGCTGTGCCCAGCAATATGAGCACTTGAAAGAAAAGGAGGTTCAAGGGCCGACTCCAAAGATTGAAATGTGCTTCTCAACATACGGAATGAGAGATGGTCATCTGCAGCTCCATGGATTCCAATCCCTTGATTTTTTGATGTCATGGAGTCAGTACAGAACGTCGTTGGGACGTTCATGTTCTGCGCTAATCTCCACAAGGAGCACCAGAACAATGCTTCTCTCTCACTGGTCTCACTCCCCACTTTGTCAGAGCCAATGAAATGCTGAGCGTCCGGTGTAAAGATCACTGGTTGCGCTGTCCATCCAACAAAGTTGACCTTTGAGGTGTGTTCCCCTGTGTATTCCTCCGCAAGCACTAAGAATGCCCACGTGTCACCCTTGCCATCTTCATCAACACGCATGGGAGGGCGTCGACGTTGATCAGGAATGGAACTGCCATCACAATAGATCAGCAGCCGGTCAACGCGCTCAATAGGCTCACAAGCAGCCAGCGCTTGGGCAATGTGATCAGGTAGCTCAACACCATCAAGTGTCGGACATAAGACATTCTCAGCAGAGCCAAAGAAAGCAACAATATCCTGGACGGTGATTCCAAGCTCCAAACGGCATTGTGGCAGTGGTTGGGCATGCTCACTTTGGACAAAAAGTGGTTGCACAGGCGATCGAACAGGCAATCTTTGCGGCCACTTGAGACCCTGGGTCAACTGAGAGGTGGGCTGTTCCATTACTGACCAGTTGTAAAATCCAATCAAAGAGACTGGAAGAACAGAATCTGTTGCAGTGAACGAAATGGAGGCTCGCCAAAAACCCTTGGAGTACAAAAATCGCATCATACTCAGTTCATCACGCGCAAAGTGTGCATTATCCAGAAGGAAAACATTTTCATGCTGTCCACCAAGCTGTAAATAAAGTGCAATAGCGGGCGCAGTCTCTGGTCGAAGGACTTTTGGATAGCAAATCGCAACATGCCAGTCACAAAAGACAGCGCAGAGACAGTCATGCCCCCATCTTCGCAATTCTTGCTCCAGATCAATGTTGGAAAATCCCACAGGCAATTCAACATGTGTCGGAAGCATCAAATATGGTACACCAGCAAAAAGGCGCACAAAAGTAGTTTTAACTGGAGGGAGGAGAGCATCGTCAAGCATTGCATCCAAGTGGAGTCTTCTCTTCTCCGCCTTGGTTTGCAATAATAGCAGTCCGGATGAAGGACTCCATGGACGTAGACCCTGTCTTTGCACAAAGACATTGAGACTGAATCCATGTGAAATTGCAAAAGGCTCAACAATCTCATCATCTCCATGCCAAACACTGCAAACAGCCGCTGGACAAATAGGTGGGCAAATCTGCTCATATCCCATGAAACGAATGACAGTGGCAGAGTTGACTTGATTGAACAAAGGTAGAGCCCAACGTCGCGGTGCTCCACTATTGATGGCATCGTCCAGCACACTGACAACAGCCGTCTTGAGCGCAGCATTGGGCCTCTGAAGGAGGACAATATGTGCTATGGCGTCAGTATGATCTTCAATAGGATGTGGCGCAACCAGGAAGAAGTGGACCTCAAACGAGGGGTTACACAAATCAAGCCATGCTCTACGCAAAAGAGCCCTCCATTCCATCACATCCTCAAAGAGTGTCACCATACGTGGGGTATCGCAGAGAAGAAGTCCTTCATGGTCGTTGAACCACGTGTTGACTTTCGCTTGTCTTTCCATGCCACCGGGGCCAAGCATTGCATGAGCGCCAATATAGATACATAATTATATATATATAACCAATATAACCCATCACCCCAACTTCCATCGCCATCGCCTGCGAAGACGCTTCCCCAGGTCACCACGCCCTCCGCCAGCACCGCCGCGAAGGCGCCGTTCGTCGCCACCAGCTGCGTCACGCCCTCGAGGGCGGGGCAGACGCCTCCCAGGTCGCGGTGGCCCCAGCAGAGCACGGAGCCGGTGTCCAGCAACGCGGCAAAGGCGCCTGGAGCCATGAAACCACCAGGAAAAAGAGGAAAAACATAGGAACTTAGTAAGAAATGGGATTTTGAAGATACCAAACTATTTTTTGGGGTGGAAAGAAGAATTCTTACACTTAGGGCTGGGATTATAACGTAGAGCGGGGATTATAACCATGCTGAGAAAGATGAAGCACCGAGTCCGGCTAACCCCCACTCAAAAAATCGACATCTTTGATAAAAACGGAGAATTGTCCAGCAAGCCATGTTGGATTGCCGGAAAGGAAATGGATGATGCACCGCTGGGGGTGTTTTCATTATGCCAAAAAAACACCCTCGTCAGGGTAGAAAATGCTATGACATGGTATGACACAGCTCTTGTAAATGAGGTTTACTTGACCCCTGTGAAGTCCAAGCTTCTCCAATTATGGATAGTTGTCCTATCAGAATATCTGGTGATGAGTTGGAACTCGTAGCTATTCTCGTTAAAAAAGGTATGTGGCTGAATAGATCCCTTCGAACTGCCAGATTCATTGGCTGAAAATAGGGTAACCTCCCTTTTTTCCCCACAAAAATTGCTGTGTGGAGGGTACCAAACCCATATATATATATATTGATTGCTGAATAGTTATATCCCCTTAATTATATCCCCATGGCCCATTACTATATCCATGAATCATGATAGATCCCGGATGTTTTTCTTTGGTTCCCATTCGTTCCTCGCTGTGATCTCCCCTACCTGCTGTGGCTGACATCTCCAATACTCGGGCATCTCCCGTCAGAAAGCGACGGTCGCCCCCGAAATCGGGGTCGCCCCAGGCGACCACCACGCCCGACTGCTTGGAATACGCCGCGAAGGCACGCTGTGACGCCTGCGTTCGCCCAGGCGACTTAGAGACTTAAAACTGGTCAGAGAAACTGGTCGGTGTGCCGCCATAGCTCTATTTTTCACTGGCATTTTATATGGATTTATGGTAGTTTATGATGGAGATATCTGCAGTTGGATGAGGGGCAGCCAACTTAAAACTGGTGCGTCCTCTAGGGAAATATGAGTGTCTCATGGATGTGGTGCGAAGCGTTTTATCGCTTCGTGGAAAAGGCCCTTCAGCTTCAAAGACCTCATCTACCATCCGCACCCAAAACCACTCAAAAGAAAACGATGCCCCTAATTCTTCGGCACCATGAAAGAATGACCAACAACCTATGTGGATATGGGTAGATATCAAATACCAAAAAACTGGGGAGTTTATTCAGATCCGAAAGCAGTGAAAAAGTTGTAAAGATCGTTGAAATGCTCACCATGGAGTCTTTTGCCAATGGGTACCTCGATGTACCTGGGCAATCAATGTTGGTTCAAATGTTTTGCCCTGAGGTCTCCACCATTTTGTCAATAACAACCACCTGAATTCTGGCCGAGTGTTGGATGTTTTTCCTTGGCTGCTGGCACCTCAGGTCATGAATTATGCCTAGATGGCTATGGTTCGAAAATCGGGTTTCCCAATGGACCCTGAAAATTTCTCCAATATCGAGGCTCAAAGATGTCAAAGTTTCCTTGCCAGTACGGTATTAATAACACATATTTTGGTGGTGTTCAAACTCAAAAAACTGATCAAAAAAATGGCAGCTCTACTTGGATCTGCATTTTAGGAGTCGGATGTGTTTCATGTTATTCTGGCTATTTCTACTTGCATATGCTGCATATGGGACCAAGTTGCATTAGCTGTTCATGACAAGGTGAGCACTCTTATGATCATTTTCCCATCAAACTTGCCGCGGATTGGTGGGAAAAGGATGATAAATCCCATCATGATGCACCATCATATTCCTTCTTAAAATTGCCATAATAATTTGGGTGCGAATCCAATATTTTCAGGAAAACACCTACATTGATTAATCTTGATTATACATATATATATACATATATGTAAGTACTTTCGCGAATCTTTCGTGAACCCCGCGTTTATCTTTCGCGGGGGGTCTCATATTAAAATCGTTCGCTAAATCTTTCGCAAAAAAAACAAAAATGTCGCGAACTCAGAACAAAACTGTCGCGGGGTCTCATGTTGGATAATCTCTACAGGGACCTTTAGATCGACAATCATATATCCATTGGTGTTATATCAGCCTTTCTGGTGGCGAGATCCTCCGATGTTTTGCCATAAACCGCCCCGATCTTAGGATACGCGTCCCAGTTCATAACTACTTTTAATGACCTATATCAATGCACCCGAAAGAATTGTCTATATTATATATATAGACAACAATCATAAATATTAGCATATATAAATAATTTCAGCATCTTCCGTGAAAAATGTCGCTAACATCTTCCAAAAACATCCCGCCTGCACCATCTCCACATGGCTCAGCTGCCCCTTGCCCCCATAGGCCGGGTCGCCCCAGGCGACCAGCTGCCCTGAGGCCGTCAGCGCGGCGAAGGCGCGATCTGTGGCGAAGAGGTCCACCACGTCGCTTAAAAGCGCCTTGGACGAGAAAATGCTGGGAAAACCCGAGAAAAATGCTGGTTGAACATGGTTGAACATGGTTGAACATGGTTGAACCATGACAAATGGCTGGTTTCATGGGATTTCGAACTGGGGATGAATTTTTGGAATTTCAAAAATAGGAATATATAATAATTATATATATATAATGGAAATAGAATGGAGGCTTTCCTGATGGGGATTTAATGGGGAAATCATCAAGGAATTATCATGATGCATGGATGATACATCCATTCACCCTTCAACAGTATATGACATGGGCTTGGCAACCGAAAATTCACCAAAATGCAATTTTAATAAATGATTCACCCTTGAAAAATGGAGGTTGCACCAGCCAAAGTTGTGATTTCACCAACAAAAGTTGTGTTTGTGACCAACAAACATCATGATTTCAGCGGCCAAACTGGAAGTTTAGCATGAAAAGTAGGGATTGAAACCAGTTACAACGGATATTGCTAGACCAATGTGTGCCATGGTCGACTTACATGGGATGTTGCAAACACTATGACTTGAGTTTGTCAGGTGCGGCACTGAATCATAGCGAAACTGATTTTCTCAACCAATGTTTTGCGGGCGAAATCCTCATGTTTGTCCCTTAAATCATCTCAAATCATCTCAAATCATCTCAAATCATCTCAAATCATCTCAAATCCTCATTTTTCCTTCGTTTGTTGATCCGTTTTTCATTTTTCTGAACCCTGGTGGACCGGCGACCATCGCTTGCTCCACAAATCGGCACCTCCACGTGTCCCGGATCGGCACCAAAGGCCGCATCGCCCCAGCAGACCACGCGGCCGTCCCTGCGGCGTGCCGCGAAGGCACGGCGTGTGGCCTTCAGTTGGCAGACCTGCGAAATCGCCCGGTGGATCATCCCAGTTAGTAGTTTGTAATATGATTGTAATATGATTGTAATATGATTGTAATATGATTGTAATATGATTGTAATAATCATAGTAATAATCATAGTAGTGATTATCACAATGATTCTCATATAATGATAATGATAACCATAATCATATATAATAACAATAATGATAATATCTATAGTAATAACAATACTTGGGGATGCCATCCTGACAGATTTCCAATAGTGCCTTAATAGCCATCCCGCGGTCCCAAATAGATGTAAATCCCCTATTACTAAACCATGGTTTATTGGGGGTGTTATTTTTGGGAAGGGACTAATGTAACCATAGTAGGAACCCCCAAAAGTAGTAAGTGTGTAATGGTAGTATGTCATAAGAGTCATGAGTCACGGGTATTAACCCCCAACAATGGATATCAATGGGGTACCCTCTGGTAATTTAGCATAGCTATGGAAAGATCCACCATTTTTTAATGGAAAATCCACTATTTCAATGGCCATTTCCCATAGCTATGTTAGTTTACCAGAGGGTATATAACTTAAAAACAACCAACAATGATGGTGATACAAGGCTGGAAAATCCACGAGCTACAATTCCTGGAGGGTAAAGGTTATGATGGCTATGGTATTCTACGGCAGAAACCAATGTGATACTAGTAACAATAGTAATGCTAGTAATGTTTGTATCGATAGTAATAGTGCTAATAGTAATACTAGATCGATGGGTATGGTATGATCCCTGAACTCCAGTTCTATTTGATAGTGGAATTACACATACTTGTGACAATGGGATGGGAGTGTTTAAGTATGGTACTGGTATAGCTATGATAGCAATTATGATGATAGGAGTAGTCATAATAATGCTTGTGATGATAGGAAGGAAAAGAGCAAAGAGAAATAGTATATAGAAATAATAATAACAATGGCACTAACAGCAAGAATAATAAACATATATCAATATCAATAATAGCAACAAAAGCAATAATCGTAATACTAGCAATAATATTAATAACAGGATCAATAGTAACAATACACGTAGCAGGAACAAGAGTAATATGTAACAGCAATAATCGTATTAATAATTACACCGGCATAGACCCCAGATAGAAAAGGTTGGAACTGATGGTTCCCAACGTGGGAACCAAAGGTTACCATGGCAATGAACTGCCAGTTCCCAGACCTTGAAACTTACGGTTCCCAACCTGGGAACCAGAGGTTACCATTGCAAGGAATTGCCGGTTCCCAGAAGTTAGAATTTATGTTTTCGAAGCTAAGTAACTATCATTGTAAGGAACTGCAGATTCCCAAAGTTTGAAACTCATGGTTCCAAAGCTGAAAAAGCATACGTTACCAGTGGAAGGATCTGTTGATTTCGAAAAATAGAAATCATGGTTCTTAAGGTTGTTTTGTTTTGTTTACTGAGCCGGTAACAGAACCTTTTGTTTTGCTCAATGGACCGGTAGCGGAATCTTTGCGTTCGGCTGCTGGGCCGGCTTAAAAATGTTTTTGCACGAAAAAGGTGCATGTTAAAATGATATGAAAACAATTTCTTTACAACTTTATGGTTTTGCGTAATGGACCGGTAAAGAACGCTTTGTTTTGCTTAATGGACCGGTACCGGAATGTTTGCGCTTGGTTCATGGCAAGGAACTGCCGGTTCCCAAAGGTTGGAACTCACTGTTGCCAACGTGGGAACCACAGGTTACCATTGCAAGGAACTGCCGGTTCCCAGAGGCTGGAACTCCTGGTTCCCAACCTGGGAACCATGGATTACCATTGCAAGAAACTGCCGGTTACCAGAGGTTGGAACTCATGCTTCCCAACCTGGGAACCATAGGTTACCATTGCAAGCAACTGCCGGTTCCCAGCGGTTGGAACTCATGCTTCCCAACCTGGGAACCATAGGTTACCATTGCAAAGAACTTCCAATTCCTAAAGGTTGGAACTGATGGTTCCCAACGTGGGAACCAAAGGTTACCATGGCAAGGAACTGCCAGTTCCCAGACCTTGAAACTTACGGCTCCCAACCTGGGAACCAGAGGTTACTATTGCAAGGAATTGCCGGTTCCCAGAAGTTGCAATTTATGTTTTCGAAGCTAAGCGGCTATCATTGTAAGGAACTGCAGGTTCCCAAAGCTTGAAACTCACGGTTCCAAGCCTGAAAAAGTAACATTACCAGTGGAAGGATCTGTTGATTGCAAAAAGTTAGACCTCATGGTTCTTAATGTTGTTTTGTTTTGTTTACTGAGCCGGTAACAGAACCTTTTGTTTTGCTTAATGGACCGGTAGCGGAATGTTTGCGTTGGCTGTTGGGCCGGCTTAAAAATGTTTTTGCACGAAAAAGGTGCATGTCAAAATGATATGAAAACAGTTTCTTTACAACTTTATGGTTTTGCTTAATGGACCGGTACAGAACGCTTTGTTTTGCTTAATGGGCCGGTACCGGAATGTTTGCGTTTGGTTCATGGCAAGGAACTGCCGGTTCCCAAAGGTTGGAACTCACTGTTCCCAACCTGGGAACCATGGGTTACCATTGCAAGAAACTGCCGGTTACCAGAGGTTGGAACTCATGCTTCCCAACCTGGGAACCATAGGTTACCATTGCAAGCAACTGCCGGTTCCCAGCGGTTGGAACTCATGCTTCCCAACCTGGGAACCATAGGTTACCATTGCAAAGAACTTCCAATTCCTAAAGGTTGGAACTGATGGTTCCCAACGTGGGAACCAAAGGTTACCATGGCAAGGAACTGCCGGTTCCCAGACCTTGAAACTTACGGTTCCCAACCTGGGAACCAGAGGTTACCATTGCAAGGAATTGCCGGTTCCCAGAAGTTAGAATTTATGTTTTCGAAACTAAGCAACTATCATTGTAAGGAATTGCCGGTTGCGAAAGCTTGAAACTCATGGTTCCAAACCTGAAAAAGCATACGTTACCAGTGGAAGGATCTGTTGATTCCAAAAAGATAAAGATCATGGTTCTTAATGTTGTTTTGTTTTGTTTACTGAGCCGGTAACAGAACCTTTTGTTTTGCTCAATGGACCGGTAGCGGAATGTTTGCGTTTGGCTGTTGGGCCGGCTTAAAAATGTTTTTGCACGAAAAAGGCGCATGTCAAAATGATATGAAAACAGTTTCTTTACAATTTTATGGTTTTGCTTAATGGACCGGTAAAGAACGCTTTGTTTAGCTTAATGGACCGGTACCGGAATGTTTGCGTTTGGTTCATGGCAAGGAACTGCCGGTTCCCAAAGGTTGGAACTCACTGTTCCCAACCTGGGAACCATGGGTTACCATTGCAAGAAACTGCCGGTTACCAGAGGTTGGAACTCATGCTTCCCAACCTGGGAACCATAGGTTACCATTGCAAAGAACTGCCGTTTCCTAAAGGTTGGAAATGATGGTTCCCAACGTGGGAACCAAAGGTTACCATGGCAAGGAACTGCCAGTTCCCAGACCTTGAAACTTACGGTTCCCAACCTGGGAACCAGAGGTTACTATTACAAGGAATTGCCGGTTCCCAGAAATTAGAACTTATGTTTTCGAAACTAAGCAACTATCATTGTAAGGAATTGCCGGTTGCGTAAGTTTGAAACTCATGGTTCCAAACCTGAAAAAGCATACGTTACCAGTGGAAGGATCTGTTGATTGCAAAAAGTTAGACCTCATGGTTCTTAATGTTGTTTTGTTTTGTTTACTGAGCCGGTAACAGAACCTTTTGTTTTGCTTAATGGACCGGTAGCGGAATGTTTGCGTTTGGCTGTTGGGCCGGCTTAAAAATGTTTTTGCACGAAAAAGGTGCATGTCAAAATGATGTGAAAACAGTTTCTTTACAATTTTATGGTTTTGCTTAATGGACCGGTACAGAACGCTTTGTTTTGCTTAATGGACCGGTACCGGAATGTTTGCGTTTGGTTCATGGCAAGGAACTGCCGGGTCCCAAAGGTTGGAACTCACGCTTGCCAACGTGGGAACCACAGGTTACCATTGCAAGGAACTGCCGGTTCCCACAGGTTAGAAGTCATGGTTCCCAACCTGGAAACCATAGGTTACCATTGCAAAGAACTTCCAGTTCCTAAAGGTTGGAACTGATGGTTCCCAACGTGGGAACCAAAGGTTACCATGGCAAGGAACTGCCGGTTCCCAGACCTTGAATCTTACGGTTCCCAACCTGGGAACCAGAGGTTGCCATTGCAAGGAATTGCCGGTTCCCAGAAATTAGAATTTATGTTTTCGAAGCTAAGCGGCTTTCATTGTAAGGAACTGCGGGTATCCAAAGCTTGAAACTCATGGTTCCGAGCCTGAAAAAGTAACGTTACCAGTGGAAGGACCTGTTGATTGCAAACAGTTAGAACTCATGGTTCTTAATGTTGTTTTGTTTTGTTTGCTGAGCCGGTAACAGAACCTTTTGTTTTGCTTAATGGACCGGTAGCGGAATGTTTGCGTTCAGCTGCTGGGCCGGCTTAAAAATGTTTTTGCACGAAAAAGGTGCATGCTAAAAAGATATGAAAACAGTTTCTTTACAACTTTATGGTTTTGCTTAATGGACCGGTAAAGAACGCTTTGTTTTGCTTAATGGACCGGTACCGGAATGTTTGCGTTTGGTTCATGGCAAGGAACTGCCGGTTTCCAAAGGTTGGAACTCACGGTTGCCAACGTGGGAACCACAGGTTACCATTGCAAGGAACTGCCGTTTCCCAGAGGCTGGAACTCCTGGTTCCCAACCTGGGAACCATGGGTTACCATTGCAAGAAACTGCCGGTTACCAGAGGTTGGAACTCATGCTTCCCAACCTGGGAACCATAGGTTACCATTGCAAAGAACTTCCAGTTCCTAAAGGATGGCACTGATAGTTCCCAACGTGGGAACCAAAGCACAGCACGCTACAGCACCCTGCACAGCACCTTTCACAGCACCCTTCACAGCACCCTGCACAGCACCTTTGCGAGACTTCGCCACCGCAGTCTGGAGAGCGCACCTTTGCCAGACTTCGCCACCGCAGTCTGGACAGCACCCTGCACAGCACCCTGCACAGCACCCTGCACAGCACCCTGCACAGCACTCTGCACAGCACCCTGCACAGCACCCTGCACAGCATCTGCACAATACTCTGCACAGCACCCTGCACAAGCACCCGCACAGCATCCCCCGTCTGCCAGACTTCGCCACCCGCCAGTTGCGACAGCACCCTGCACAGCACCTTTGCCAGACTTCGCCACCGCAGTCTGGACAACACCCTGCAGAGCACCCTGCACAGCACCTTTGCCAGACTTCGCCACCGCAGTCTGGACAGCACCCTGCACAGCACCCTGCACAGCACCTTTGCCAGACTTCGCCACCGCACTAGTACAGCAGCACCCTGCACAGCACCCTGCACAGCACCTTTGCAAGACTTTGCCACCGCAGTCTGCACAGCACCCTGCACAGCACCCTGCACAACCCTGCACAGCACCTTTGTGAGACTTCGCCACCGCACTCTGGACAACACCCTGCAGAGCACCCTGCACAGCGCACTGCACAGCATCTTTGCCAGACTTCGCCACCGCAGTCTGGACAACACCCTGCACAGCACCCTGCACAGCACCTTTGCCAGACTTCGCCACCGCAGTCTGGACAGCACCCTGCACAGCACCCTGCGCAGCACCCTGCCCAGCACCCTGCACAGCACCCTGCACAGCACCCTGCACAGCACCTTTGCCAGACTTCGCCACTGCAGTCTGGACAGCACCCTGCACAGCACCTTTGCCAGACTCTGCCACCGCAGTCTGGACAGCACCCTGCACAGCACCCTGCACAACACCTTTGCCAGACTTCGCCACCGCAGTCTGGACAGCACCCCGCACAGCACCCTGCACAGCACCCTGCACAGCACCTTTGCTAGACTTCGCCACCGCAGTCTGGACAGCCCTGCACAGCACCCTGCACAGCACCTTTGCCAGACTTCGCCACCGCACTCTGGACAACACCCTGCAGAGCACCCTGACAGCACCAGCACCCTGCACAGCACCCTGCACGGCACCTTTGCCAGACTTCGCCACCGCAGTCTGGACAGCACCCTGCACAGCACCCTGCACAGCACCCTGCACAGCACCCTGCACAGCACCCTGCACAGCACCTTTGCCAGACTTCGCCACCGCAGTCTGGACAGCACCATGCATAGCACCCTGCACAGCACCTTTGCCAGACTTCGCCACCGCAGTCTGGACAGCACCTTGCACAGCACCCTGCACAACACCTTTGCCAGACTTCGCCACCGCAGTCTGGACAGCACCCTGCACAGCACCCTGCACAGCACCTTTGCCAGACTTCGCCACCGCACTAGTACAGCACCCTGCACAGCACCCTGCACAGCACCCTGCACAGCACCCTGCTCAAAAGTTCGCCACCGAAGACCCCACCTTTGAGAAGTAAGAACCCCTATAGCTTGCCAGCTATCTGGGGAACAATAATAATCTTACTTAAAATAATTGTACTCGTAGTAATAATAGTAACAACAATAATAAGAATACAGAATTGGATATGATATATGTAAATATATATATATATACGTATATAATGATAAAATGTAATTGTTATCAGTAATATCAACGGGCATGATGGGTATGATGGGTATGACATAAATCTGGTCTGTAATAGATGGCGCAATGGGTTTGTTTTGTGTGGCATGATGGGTATACATGGCTTTAAAATGGGTACGTTGATGGGTATAGTGATATTTTTCTACTAGCAAAATGGGTTAATTGTGTGATTGAGGGGTTTAACAGTGGTTTGGGAAGAATGTAGTGATGGATAATCATCAACGATGGTTTATAGATGTTTAAGTACCATTGGTGTATCATATCTTAAACTGGGGTATGATATGTAATTGGTCAGCGAGGTTTATCGCCCATCACTCATGACTGGATGGAACACCCCCAAGTAAAAGCCAGAGAAAAATAACTTCTAAACGTGCCTTGTTTACAGTTGCCGTAGTGGGAAGCTCTTTTGTCAGAAAAATGTGTGTTTTGAATTTACAGTACAGATCATGAGGATATTATCACCAGCAAAAAACGCGATACCATAAGGACATGAAAGCCAAAATTGTTTCTGAGTGTTTCTGACATACATCGGGTCCCTCTAAATCAGTTCAGTTGGGCCGTTGGGCATCATTGTTTCAGGTCATAAAATCGACTGGGCGTATTCCTAACATTTCCTAAAATTCGGATCAATGGGTAAAACCTAGTTTATATCCCATATAAACATCTGTTGTAATTGTAATATTCTTGTAATATATGCATGCTAGTCCCCGAGATCCCTTGATTTTGGAGGCCCCTGCTGACGACGAAAACGACCCATCCCCAGGGAAATTGGAAAAAAAAACAACCTCAACTCCAGGTTCGTCATGTTAGTTGGAGGTAAGTTTTATGGAAATACATATTCATCGTATGATACTGCCATTTACGTAGTTGTTTTTTCACAATTTATGTGCAACCCCAAGAAAGAATAGAAAAGCACATCCCTGCCAAAATAGTGATTATAGTGATAATTTACCTCCATAGTCAACTATAGTTGCAATTCTTATATTTACCCCCCATTGTGATTACTATAACTCTCACAATTGATATCACTACAGCGACTACAGTGATCATTGGCTTCCCCTAGTCATAGTAACCCCCAACCCGTTATAGTGATCATTTATTTCCCGGAAAGATTGACTTTTTGGGGTTACTAAGTGTTTCGCACCCCTGAAATCAGCACCTCGAAGAGTTCATCCGCCACCTCGCTGCTATCACCTGCCATCGAAGCAAGGATGCCCGCAGGATGCGGCCATCGAAGTGCTAGTTTTCAATGGGGAACCAAGGGATGTTGGATGGTAACAAATAGATACAAATATGATCAAATATGTAGTATATAGAATAGGGGGATCTAAGAAAAAATGGTCAAATCTGGGAAATCCTTGGATTTGGACCAACAGAAATCCCAGACTTGATGTTGCACAAATTATCGACTTTCGCCCCACAAAGTTGATGGTCAAAACCCACCTATGCCAATGCCCTGCGACCAGCTTAGGATAGTTCATCCATCATTGGAATATTGTGGGAATGTCACCAGGAATATACGAGGCATGCAGAGGTTATCCGACCAGCTTGAAGATCATAGAACAGCACAGGCATTGTACAACAAGGTTCAGCCTGCAATGCCCGCAATGCAGATAAATAAACAAAAAAAATGAGCATGTCAACAACACATTGCTATTCTTGTCGGGATGTGTTTGACGAAACCAAGAGATACCAAAAGCAGAAAGTTTGACGCTAAGAGTTGGGAGGCGGTCAAGAACAATAGGTATGGGTCGAGCACGGTCGAGCCCTTGGGTCCTAAATCATTGCCGGACGGCCAGACGGCATGGGACGTCTCAAAATATAACCCATACTCGAGACCCATACTGGAATGGTCCGTAAGCAACAATGAGGATGACCGCATGACCAAAAATAGTGAGGGATCAGCGCAAGCATTTTGCAAAGGCTGCCACCCTTGAGATCTGCCTCATTCAGATCCTTAATGTTGCCCCTCCCAATAAAAACTGTACCTGAAAATTTAGGGCAAAACCCCCAAATCCAATGGATGATCACATGTCTATATATATATATATAGTCAGTGTATATATATATATAATTATATATAATACATAATATCATAAGTATATATATATATATTGCCTTCTCCTGAAAGGCATTTGGTTGGCGGTGGCAGTGACTTATCATTCTGGTTCAGCTGCTCTGGAACATCCGGCCATGCCATATGATGCGGAGCTTCCATCGATCTGGAGGAGTGGCATTTTGCGCCTTTTGCTTCGTGGGGGAGTACCTTTCCGTCGAGTGACCATTCACCAATGGCGCTTCGGCGCTGCCGGAGTGAAACCCACGATGCTGTTATACAGCAATGGAGCATTACCTTCAGCGTTGGAACGCTGCGAGCTCAACGACGTGGTCAAGCCCGATACGCCGCTGCTGGGACGCGATGCTGAGGGGCATTTCAGAACTTCCAAAGCGAAGGAATACCCTAGCGCGCTCTCTCGAGCTTTTGCGCTTTGCTTCAGTGATCGCATGGCACGGTTGCAACTGGACAACCGCCCACAAGAAGCCGATCCGAAGCTATTTGATTTTGTGGCGCTTGCCTCCTGCCTGGATGGCGGATGCATGATGCCGGACTACCAGCCGATGTGAACATCTGCTGGTCCGCATGCAAGGGCACGAGTCTCCACTCACATGCCATGCAAAAAAAAAACATAATATCATGATTATCCCCATTAACATGGTCCTTTGGAGGAAAATTCTCTTCAGGCCCAATGGGACCCATCTTCAGTTTCCGCACCTCCGAAAACCACATCGCCCCAGGTCACGACTCGGCCGTCGCCCCTCAAGGCAGCGAAGGCGCGGTGGGACGCTTCAATCTGCGTCACCTCATCGGATCAACAAAACGCCCGGATGAACCCTAGAATCCTAGAACTGGGATAAATTGAGGATAGAAATCAATCAACAACTTTAGGATATCATACTATATCTACCATTCGCAACGGATTTCCATGGATTTCCACTTGTGTGCAGCCTCTTGAGACCATAGCTGCAGCCGCACCAGCTTTGGTGGATTCGTCAAAAGCTGGTGACAAATCCACCATTGTTAAGCTTGAACCTACGATATCCCGGCTATGATTTCCTATCCCCCCATGTTTGTCACTTTTGACTCACCATTTATAGCCAAATCATTATCAAAATTTCCAAAAAAAAAGACAAAAACGTTTTAGGCTCATTTAAGCGTTGATCAATATACTCATAAGCCATGTAAATGCCATTAAACAACTAAATCATCAACTATAACATTAATTTACTAACTGTTTGATTTTGATCATTTTGTTGATGCCCTTCCCCGCCTCCCGCAGCTCGTGTCGCGCAGCACCTAAGTGACCACCCGAGAAGAAGCCGCCCCATGCGTAGACCGAGCCGTCCGCGTTCAACGCCGCGAAGGCGTCTGCCACAACGGCAGTGAGAACTTGGATAATTTTGTGGGTGGAATTTTTGGGGGAAAACTCCCAAAAAAAGGACCTGGGAAGTTTTTTCTGATTTTTTTTTGATTTCATAACTCCCTATCAATAAGAAACCTGCTGTTTTTTTGTTGCTCGAAATGAATCCAAGTGATGGGCTCGGTTCTGGGCCTCCCAGGGTTCCAAGCAACTAACATGTCACTGCCTCCCAGCTTAACTAGGGCTAGTTCACATATTTCTTTATATACATGCATATCTCATCATCGGTTACAACCCAATTCAGCAGTGTTCAAACCCGCAATGTCGTCTGTTTATACTGGTTGCGGGTGTCCCATCATTGGTCAGATTCCCAATAAACCAAGTAGTACAGTCCCCCAACAATAAAGAATTAACAAGGGAAAAAAGAAGTGGGAGGGACGTGGATGGGGATTGGTCTGAGCTGGGCTATATAACAACAAATACAGTTTCACATTGACAAATCATGTTTGCTCCCAGTCGTCCAATGTTTGGGTTGCCCAAGTCTGACCAACAAAACTGAGATGCGATGGGAACTGCTGGTAGTCTTACCATGTTACTCTCAGGATATGATCCACCAACTATAGGAAGGGATTTTACGGGTGTGTCGAGGTTCACTCTTCCCGCTTCACTGCTACCACAAGCCAATTATGCTTGACTTCGTTCGTGGGTCATTCCACCGCCAAAACTGGGGTCATTTATGGGTTCTGTGCATATACATATCATTATATGCACGTATGCATACACATATATTCAGTCTCCCAACATGTTCACCCTACGCCGCCTTTATGTGACTCCCCAATCATCCCAACTATAGATTCGATTCAGATTCGCACAATATTCAAAGCTCAGATTCGCGATCACCTTGGGGGGCTATCCCATGGGCTATCCCATTCTATCCAATCATTTTTGGTTTCAAAAGACATAGATAGAACTTATTGATTATAAAAACGGATGATCCAATCTGACATAAAATCCCATATGGCAGTGTGTCAAAACCTTGTACCCCTGGTGAACATCAAAATAGCTGGTAAATGGATGTTCATCCCCCTAAAAATGGTATGTATAGGCTATAGGTATTGATCCATAGCCATATTATATCCAATATAAAGGAATATAAAGGAGATAAAACGATTGCTTCGCCAAAATCTCCCCCGCCTGCGGAGATTTGAACTTCCCGGACCTCGGGCAGCTCCAGGCGTTCCCAGGGTCCACACAGCGGGTCGCCCCACAGCACAGCATCGTCCTGGTGGAACGAAGCGGCCAAGGCCAAGGGCAGTTCCACCCAGGCACCCAGGTATCTATGATATTAGGAAGTATATCCAGTAGATCCCCTACAAAAGCTGATTGTATACAAATATCTTTATAAAAAGCTTTCCAAGTTTTCTTTATGATATTTACACATGAATGTTTTTTTGGAAAGCTGATTGGTCTCTAGGGCTCAATACCTTGCCAAATGACTGAAGAAAACTTGGCGGGTCCCAGGATCATCAGCAGGTTCCCTTTGAAATGGCCAGTTGGGGCATCCACTGCTTTTGGAGAAACCCAGGAGTCACATTGTCTCCCCATTATATTATCCAAGATCATATATAAGTGTCCCAAACTAATGATATCCATCTATATATATATATTCCCATGACATTCCACAGCGTAGATGGTTGTAGAATGTTCACATGCGCTTAATAAAACCCACCACAATTAAGTACGCCGACATATTTTGGTTATCTTTATGGCTGCTTCATGTCTGTCTGTTTTGCCTATGTGTCCCTTCTGTTTTTCTTTTAATCTGACCTCCAGATCCTGAAGTTGTACCTTGTTTCAACAATGCTTCTCAACAAACTCGCAAAGGGGGTAGCCGGGGTAGCCTAGAAAGAAGCGGGAACCTCAATTAACCCAGCTTTGCAACCCAACAGCAAAAGGTTCCAGCAAGGTTCCAGGACTGTTCCGGATTTTCGGGGCGTGCATTTTCGTGCCACCAGTCCACGGCCCCAGAGATTGAAACCCAACATATTCGCTGTTGGGAATAAACGGCATTGTGTTACCACTAAATAAAGTTATATTTTTTTAGACCTTCCTGAAAATATAAAAAAAAGTACATTCAAAGTCAACTTCAAACTAGTTTAGATTCCATGTCACGTGCTCAGAGCCCCTCATTTAAGTTCCACTCCACTTATCGAAGTCAATTCGAATTCAAATTCCAGTAAGTCAGTTCAAAGTTCAAATTAGAATAAATTGAATGTTCAAATCAAGACCAGATTCGTTCAAAATCAATCAAAGTTCAGTTCATATTCAAATCAAATCCAACCAAGTCGAAGTCGACTTGGAATCAGTTCAGGTTTAAAAACAATATCCATCTCCATTACAGCTTTCTATAAATACGTGTCTCGATTTTCGAAAGCTGACTTCTCCTAGCTTCATGTTGAGTCCCTATTTGTCGTTTGATGTCGATCATAGGGGCATCATCACCTCTGGGGGTTGGATCCAAGCATCCGTAATGAACGCAAAGGCATCACTGTGGCGACTAGAGCAAAGCTTTGGCTGCCAAACACTGGCACTCACCTTGCACGAGGTGATCGTTGAAGGGAAAAACTACAGGAGACAAATGTGGTTTTACTATGTCAATGTTGAAAGGGAATGAACATAATGTTCTTCCATTGAACTTGAATCAATTCCAAGACTTTCAGCCCATTGAACTGGTAGATACTGTAAGCCCAGTGATTAGGGTATTCATTGGATTTTCATGGTGTTTCTGCATATGCATTTCACCCGATTGATAACTGGAAGTCTGCCCCCCCCTATGTACCAATGCACATGACCCTTAAATGGGTCTGGGGGTCTGAGTCAAATCAGGTAAAATGGTTTTTTAGACCACCTCATTGCTTGGATATAAGTACATGCATAAATAAATACATAAATGTTATGTATGTATGTATGTATGTATGTATGTGTGTATGTATCGTCTCAATGTGGACCGAACAGAATCTGTGAAAACGTGCAAAACCTTCATTGCAACCATCCCATGCACTTGCATCGTTCTCATCAAAGTGCTGATGAACCAATCTCAAACCAAGAACAAGAGCTGAGGACCCTCCAATCTTCTGCAGACGGCCAATTTTAGATATCCTGCACAATAAAAAGGGAGCCTTTTAAACCAAACCTCCAAGTGATGGGGATGGTGTACCCCAAACATGTCTGATCAACTTGGTGATGTTTTATGAAGTTTATTGTTTTGGCTTTACCGCATCACAGTATTTGGGTGTTTCTCATATACTAAGGGCATCCAAGGGCATCCCAAAATGGTGATGGTTTGTCATTTTCCTCATTGAAACTAGGGCATCCCCCATTGTCACACAAACTATGAATGTTCAAGACATTAAAGAAAAGAAATTATGAAAATCATCAAAACCTTTAGAGAAAAACCATCATTATAGGAAAAACCATCGATTTTCCCACCTTTAGTTAGAATGGTCATATGGAAAGTTCCCACCATGAATCTATCGTGTCCCAAGATTTTTCACATCTTCCACCTCCAAGTGACAACAGCGCCAGGGCCGGACTGGATCTCCAGATCTCGGAGACTTTTCCAGGGTTCCAACTTTCGATCGCCCAAAAACAGCTCCAGAAGATTCACCTCACAGGGGTTCCACAGGGGTTCCACTTAGATGGATGACCGGGTGTCACCGGGATACCCGGGATACCCCAAAAATGGATGGTTTGTTAATGGAACATCCATTGAACATCCTATTAACTGATTACGAGGAGGGAAAGTAGAAAATGAAACTTGAAACCACCAACCAAATCGGAACTTGGAAATTGCTGCGCTCAAATCAGTGAGTGACGCTTTCTCAAATCAAGAAGCACCTCACTTGAATGGCAGAACATCAAGATTAAGGTACCCTCTGGTAATCAAACGTGGCAATTGAAAATTCTCTGTAAATGGAGGTTTTGAATGGTTTACATGGGAAAATCATCTTTAGATAATTAGTGGGTTGTCCATTGCCATGTTTGATTACCGCAGGGTATTGACACATGAGGCTCCATGCTACCCAGCCTGCAGTTGTTGCTGTGCATTTTGCCGCAGCTCGTACACGGTGAGATCCGGAGTTCCCCACACCCGGGCACTTTGCCCACTCAGCAGCACCACATCCACATAGAGCTTCATTGGACGAGGCCCGCGCGCGGGGGGGTCGGAAAAAGCTGATTCGGCGGAATCCCGACTTTGGGATGGTGATCATGTCCTCAACTGGTAACGGATTCAACAATAGTATAGGAACCCAATAGATAGAAAAGTAAAATTCCACTGAAATAGTGATGAATTACATGATGATCTTTTTTGGGGCTACTAGAATAAACATGCCACACCTACACCAGCAAATTCCAAAAGGCATGGCCTCGCCCACGGACTTTTCAAGCGCAAAGCGCCTCGAACCACGGTCGAAAATCCCCTCCAACCATCCCAAAATGGTATGTCTATAGCATTGGGTTCCCACATTATGGGAAAATGGACGCTTTAGATAGTGGTTCAATCAGTTAGAAATGTGATGTTAAACAAGCAAAACACATGGTTAGCGGTCAAACTTCAAGAAATCTGGGAGCCACGATTGGACTTGCCGATTGCACTAGTTAACCTTTCTTGGACGGGCAAAAGTGGGCTTTTTGAAACAGCTAGATACAAGTTAGCGCACCATAGGACATCCACATTAAATAAGGCACATAATGCTTCCAGGGGAGCAGGGCTCATCCCTATGTTCATCAGCTCGAGATCATCATCCCATCTCTAGGATGATACATTCAGAGCTTGGCAAATGTCCCAATTAAAAGTATCACCCAAATCAATTGGGGGTACGATCTCCAACTTGAAGGTGGTGTTCAAAATCAAGGAAAAAAACTTTACCAACCGTTATTACATGATCTTCAAAAACACCGAAAAAAGGGTCTGGCATCACCATTGGATAGCCATCAGCCGCCACTGAAAAAAAGGTCCCACTTCGCCGGGAGGCAATTCAGCTTGCCGTAAAGAGAAGCCAAAGATCGAGGAGGTCCAGTAGACCTGAGCTGGACAAGATCACAAAAATTGGGACAGAAAACCTCGGCGAATGGCTTGCAAATACAAAGCGGATCAAACATGATTTAAATAAGTATAAATCATGTTAAATCACGTTAAATCATCAAAAACATGATTTTCTAGTGTAGCCAATGGGATGAACAATAAATTAAACGTTAAATCCGCAAAAAACTGCCGAAAATCCCACGGCCAAGCACACCTGGGCAAGCTGAAAGAGAGCCAAGGTTAAGGTGTAGTCCTCGGAGAGCGAAAACGGCTGGGGCCGGGGGCCTGGGTCACCCATGAAGTTCAGACGAAGCAAAATGTGTTAGATAAATGTTTCAGTGTTTCAGCGTGGTTGGGAAACTCTGGCTCCTTGGCTCCCCCTTTGTGGAATATGGATACCTCTGGCTCCGAAGCGCCAGTCACTGGGCTTTCCGAGCGCGAACCAGATGCTCCCACCTGGATTGTCTGGTTCTGCTGGGCAGATAGCATTGTCAGTTCGAAGAAAACATACGTTGTCAAAGTTGGGTTCGGGTTTTTAAACAAAAAAATAGGAACCGGTTGCTGCTTTTTTTTTTAGTATAACCACTGATAACGATTGGCTTGGTCATGGTCCGCGGGCCAGTCTGACCTCTAGGATTGCGGTTGGTTGGATCGCCAAACACAACGGTCCGGTCGTACCTCACGATGCGAATCTAGTGCAGCCAAGTTGCTTCATCTTGATTTTCACTGGTATTTGCAGTGGTTTCAATGACATCATCTGGCTTTCCAGGTTTGTTTTTTCAATTGTTTGATCCAAATCGATCTGGCGCCACAGTTTCGTGCATGTCGCACGGGGCTACAGCAAAATGCAGGTTTTATTCCTTCGATCGTTGGTTCGCTACAGCGAAATGTCATTTTGCCGCCTTTTTTTAGTTCGATTTTTGGAGCTGATCAATAGAGATAAAACTAAGCATGTAGCATCAACAGCGTGCGGCAAGTTGCTAAGATAAAGCTAAGAACGTAGCATCAAGAGCGTCTTGGAAGTTCAAAGAAAAAGTTGAGAACATAGCATCCGTAGTGTCTTGGAAGTCGCTAAGATAACAGTTATAACAGTTAAGAGCGCAGCACCCAATAATTTGATCACAACAAACAAAAAAAACGTCCTTCGCCCAAGTTAACCCTGGGCCCCGAACGGCTGGATGAGGCTCATCACATACTGCTGGATCAAAGCCACTGAGTCCTGGGGCCCCAAAAATGAGTGGTTTCCTGTGGTTTTTGGGAGGTATTTTTGGTATTTTGCCTTGGGGCAAGGGATGAATGCACTATTTTGTCAGCGTGACTGCAGTGCAGAAATTCCAGACTGATTTCGACTTCAAGATTCAAGATGGGATGAGTTCATCTCATGAGAAACACTTCCTATGCCCTGCAGGTCTTTTTCAAAATTGAGACCTCAAAAAAAGAATCCAGGGTTGGTCCTACGGTCCTAAAAGCTTTCCCAGTAATAGTTATCATGTATATATAATTATATATGATCATATAATCATATAATCATATAATTATATAATCATATAATCATATATATGTATATATACACATTTCCTTGACAGGCATCACCTTTCCAGTTTCGGTCACCACAACCTCCCGAAATGTCCGGAAATTCCGTCCCAGAATCCCGAAAACTTCCCCCGGCCCAACTGATAGGGCACATTGGAATAAAGCTCCGTGGCCAGTGTCTTCAGCTGCTTCCGCGTTAAGCCTGGATGCAGTGTGAATCATGTGCATCGACCTGGAAAAACTCCAGGAATCATGGAGAAATCAGATATTATATTATCATATATTATCATACAGTAGTTGAAAAAGAGGGACTGAAGTATCGCCGCTAGATGTATGACCATGATTTGGATTCCAAAATTCAGTGCACCCGGAAATTGGAGTCCAGGGGACCCAGGAAGGTACGGCCTTCATAGCTTCCATTGGCGAAGAGAGGTACCTCGGAACATAGCCAAAAAAACACGAGCTTTAAGGGCCTACAACCCTGAAAGAACCTTCAAGATTCAAGGATCATTGCCGGGTTTATACTGTTTATACCCCACTTACTTACCCCACTTGCTAACCGCCACTTGAGATGCTCCTAGTTGTGCATCAACGCATTGATTTCAAGAAAGTGTTCCAAGAAAACATGGTGTTTACCTGGAAATGTCCTGTATGTAGATGTTTCGGGACGCTAATTCTGATATGTATTAGTTGATCAAAACCCAAGTGGTGCTGGTTTCATTACACGTTTTGCTGCAATCCGATTTTGAGTTGTTTCAAATCCTCAAATTGTTGTAGCTTAAATTCCCATGCTGGCTGCTTAAATCGCCACCGTTCGTAGTTAAACGAGCATTCTTCATAGTTAAACCATGTTAAACCACCAAGTTTGAGGGTTTAAACCCCGTTATGCTGCAAAAAAAAACATTGGCAGCTTCGAGCCTCCATCCTCTCCAAGGTCGACAGGGCTTCGAAACGCGCTTTCGCAGCGTCTCGGCCTCAGAAAATGGTGGGTGTGTAATATGGTATAATGGGATCACGGTATTTTGCGAACCATTGGTTTTGGCCAACAACCAACATGGAAAATTGGGCAAATGCCGAATGGGGAAAATGGGATAATGCTATTGAGATAAGTGTCAGTGTTGACCACAACCAATTTTGCTGAGATACATGGTATATGTCGCGATATATTATGATATATGTAGAGATATATGTGGGGAACAGCAGCTCTCGTTGGGAGTTGTTGGAAGAGCCAATTTGGGATATTGCCTTGGGAGATTGCTCTCTTCGTTTTGCCCGGGGTCTCGGGATTTGTGCACCAGAAAACGGTGCAGGTCACCATACATCATCCTGATAGTGGTACGTGCCCAACATGAAGATTTCTGGTAGTTGAAGCCCAGGGCAGCCAAGGGAATCAACAAACATCGACAATTTTTCAGACGACTCAGAAGGTCAACAAGGTCAGGAAAGTTCACTGGGCCAATGTCAAAATGTTTTGTAACCTGGGACTTGAAATGTGTCAGACTTTATCAATTCCCAAAAGTGGAGACAGAAAAAAACTGAAAATGACCAATTCTGTGGGTCCATCAATGACCCAATTGTGACCCATACATAGGTGCTGGCCATGGATCAAGACCTTAGTACTCATGTGAACCCCAAAATAGTTTATAATGGATGGTAGAACTGCTAAATCGTTGCTGGAAGCAGCATTTCAAAGACTAGAATTGCTTGGAGCTGTGTAACTTTATATCTGGTTGAGAAAAGCTGCGATTGAATGGATGCAAACGGGTTCATTCCCCAAAAATGGTCCTTGAGGTATCGAACCTTCCCCAAGTATGGCTGTAGCCTCAGATTTATCTCCATGGGTGAAGGGCTCCCATTTCCGAGCCGTAACCTTGATATCTTCAGGGCCCCACGAACATCACGACCCGAATTTATGGAAGGGCCATGTTTGGCGAACATCCCATGGTGTTGGGGTCATCCAATTCTGACCCAGCTACGCCCTGAAAGGTCAGGGAAGCTTGCACTGTCGAGATCCTGGAGACGGATTTCGGGATTTCTTTGCTGGGATGGATCCCATTCTGCCGATCTCGGCCGTTCCTGTAACGGGTGCTATCAGATTGTCTGCCGAACACGAAACATCAATGGGTACAGTAGCAGCCACTCAGTAAAGGGGTAGATTTCACCCAAAATATGAGCGAAAGTTGTCCGGGTATTTCACCAGCTTCATTTTCAAGCATCCCCAGTTTTGCGGAACAAATGTCATCAACTGAAAGCCCCCATCTCATAGTAGGTTTCTGGGTCCAGAATTGAACTGTTGATTGCCCTCTGGTAAGAAAACACGGAATTCGTGGACTACATCCACAATTAAACACCGAAGCTGCAAAAAATGGGTAAATATGGGACCCTGATGATTTTCCTACTGAATATGACCCTGAATTGGTTCCATCTAGGATTGGAGGTGTCGTTTCCCAAAATTGGCGACTTTCTATGGAGGTAGTCCTAGTCCAGCCTCAAAGATGGAGATTTCTTCTCGTGATTCTAATCAATCATCCATCATCCCAGATTATTGTCCCAGAGGTGCTATCCCCTTCTGGCTTACAATCATCTCTCCCAATGGCATCCCAATCATGTCAGCAGCTCCCTTGTTGGCATGTCACCCTCTCCATGTGATGTATATTCCTTAAGATTCAACCAAAACATCAACTAAAACCTCCACAAAATTCTATGTCACCTCATTTCCGAGGATCCTCTTCCAAACATGTCCAAAACTCACCCATTTTCCCAGAATTGGATGGGATTTGTTGGGTGCAATGTAGAAAAAAAATGATATATATATATATATGGTTATGAGTCAAAACCTCGGGACCCTACAGTAGGTACCCTAAGATCGTTTTGATACGTGGTGATTCCCCCAGTCATATGCTGGTAACTTGACCCATGGACCGAGCCTTCAAGGCTTGGAGTTCCAGCAACAACGCTCGGTCAAAGTCGGAGGGCCCCTGCAGCCAGGTTTCTGGGATGAGTTCACCTTGGGATATCCTACAGAGATAAATACGATCAATTCTCTCTTTAAAGATATTTGGTATGTTCATAAATTTGGAAAAAAACAAATATATATATATGTATATATAACATATGTATATGTCTCATGATGTATCCAGAAAATTAGATTAGGCATGATATAAATTTGTATAAACATGTATTTAGATATGGTATGTTTAGGATGTACCTAAGGAATCACTGTTGGCTGTTCTCAAGGCGAATTAGGGGAATCGCGACCTCAGCGATCATCTGGTCTGGTGATGTGTAAACTCCCCAAAATGGGACATTTACGCCCCCGGTTTAACATATGGACATACCATGAATATACGTAGAAACATGCCGTGAAATAAGTTTTCTGAGAAAAAGATGGATATGCAAAGACTGTATGCAAAACACTGTGATACGCTGTATTTTGTACGTCGCCTCAAAACATGGAGATTTGCGCCAGCAATGATGCTGGGGTAATCAATAAAAAAACCGCCACCACACCAGGAAAGCACAGGAAATTCATTTAACCACATGGCAGTGTGTCAAAACCTTGTACCCCTGGTGAACATCAAAATAGCTGGGATTTATGGATGTTCATCCCACCAAAAATGGTATCTATAGGTATTGATCCATACCCACATTGGTGAATGGTGAAGTTCCCTAAACTTAGGCTTTTCCAAACACCAAGCTGAAGCTGCTGGGATCATGGGCTGTCTGAGAGGGTCGTGCGACAGCAAGCATGCTGGTCTCCTTGAAGCAATGGACATGACGACTCAACAAAGAGCCAGAAATGGGATGTATATGTAAAGGACTGTAACGGGATGTGTAATTCTACATATATATATATTTATACATATGTACTTGTATATATATATACATATATATATACATATATAATATATATATAATATATAATGGAATGTCAAAATATTGGAGTTAAACAACAGTGAATTATTATAGTGACCAACGATAATTTGAAAAATGGGTGTTTAATGATATTATATATATATAGTTACATGTCATCGACAATATGATATTAGGTTTGGTACGTGAAAACGAGGTACCCCCCAGTCCGATTGACGGTAGCCCACCAAACAGCCACTGGGTGGCTGTATTTTTGATACTCATCTTGTGGACCAGCCCTTAAATCAATTGAACCAAACGATACTGCCACTTCTATGAGTTCTATGCTCTATTATATAACTGTACGTGTGTGTGTGTGTCTGTGTATGTATGTATATATATATGTATTATATATATATGCTATCTAGGGATATCTAGGGGTATGCTTTGTCGATTTGTCCAGCAAGTCCCAGTGTCAATCATCTGCGCATCAGTGTGGATCAACTATTCCTGGGCCCTTGTGATTTATTCATATCTGAGAGTGGTTTTCCCAATACTGTATTTGGCTGGTTGAATCCCAGAATTCCTGCTATAGGAGTCCCTATTCTTGTGATGTCGAGGCACATTTCTGGGCACTGCCACAGGTCACCAGTCACAATGCCTTCCCTGGCCTGGCCCCTCACTGGTACTTCTCGCCATGGCCTGGCAGATCTCGGGCAACGGTTCAAACGGGATGAAACTGGCCCTATCCTTGGCTGGAAAGTGGCCCTCTCCAGGACAAAGTCCACCTCAAAGAGTTAGGACCCAAAGGCACCCCAATCATCCACTGCACTGCTTGAAAATGTTTGGCGGGGATGATATTTACCACCCATTTAGGGCAAATATTAGGGATGGGTCCTACTTTTGTTGGGTTTACCGCATGTGTTTCGTACAAAACCCCACTTCCAATGAGTCTCCAATTTTGGGAAACAGCAAAACAACCACCCACCGCCGGTGATTCTTACTATTGCACCTGCCGGCGACAAAGTTCTCTAGGCAGGCCTGAAAGAGGGCCGTGGGAACATGTCAAAATGACGTAAAGTCGGGGTGTAGATCAACTGTACGTAGATGGGGTACAGGCTGGTCCAACAAATGGATGAGATATATACCCGAGACTGCGATTCTCTAAGGGGGAAATTGATGATAAACCATTGAAATCGGTATCCCAAAAATGTGCAGGCACATTTTTGCGTTTCCGTTTTCTGAATCATTCCCTGTCTTGGGAGATGGTGAGATTGATAGGTTCACTTCAAAGAAAGGGTTCCTGTGCATTCCAGCCAGTGGAGAAGATACTGTATAAACATAACTGGCGATGTCCATCTATGAGTGGGCTATGTTGGCACGTTATATCATCAGTTACACCTTACAGCCAAAAAACTAACTTTTGTCAATTGTCCCTTGCAGCTCACTTAAGAATGATTCCACAACTGGCAAAAAAGGCCGCACCTGCCGCCAGAGGCACAACAGGCCCACCTGGTGTTGGTGATTTTCGGGGGGAGCCCCTTACGAAGTATGATTCATGATGACGTCTTGGTGACGTCGTTTGAATTCAGCTCAAAAAAATGGATGGAAAATGTGTAGCCTTACGGTTCAGTGTTTTTTCGAACGCTTCAAATCTATGGGTCACAAGGCATTTTCACAACTAAACCCATGTCCTAATGAGGATTGGAAAGGATTTTTGAGTTCCAGCAGTGTCACGAATTTTGGGAACATCTTTTTCCACCTCACACCTCGTCTTTGAGAATCCGGCCTTCATGTTCACAATCCCCTGTGTTTGAATAGATATATATATATATGTGTGTGTATCCACAGGCTTGCTCCCAACACCCCAGATACAAGGGAGAAAACCTCGCAGATAAAGTAAAGTAACAAGTGTTCCCCACTTGTGGCTATCATTTACCCAGAACTAGTTGGAGCAACCCTGATCCATGGATAGCAAGTGACCACTGCTGTCAACCATTGAACTGAGTGCTGGACCAGCAGCATAGGCCGTGGCAAACGCCATGGATTCTGAGTGGCAGCTGGAGGTGGAAATCACCTTCACTAAATGGAGGTTTTAGTGGGAAAACATCTATAAATGGTGAAATGTCCGTTCCCGGTTAGGACTCCTGCAACCCAACTCTGGGTTCGTGAAGACTTAGAATTCGTGGGGACCTCACAGCTGATTTTCCTATCGGAATTCTTGGGGAGCTTAGCATTCACATTCTGGGCGGGTTGCACTTAATCCTGGGTAGCTAAAAGTTGTGGCAAAGACTTCGACTAGACACGAGTTTGTTACATATGAGAGTAGTGGTTGGTTTTAAGTCATTTTAAGTGTTTAACCCGCTGCCAGACACAGAAATACACTGCTCGGCCACCCACTGGAACATGGCGTTGCATCTCTGCAGTGACAACTCACTGGCGAGCTTTGGATACAAGCGAGATGATGGTCTGATCTTCTTGAAAACGGTGATTGATGATACATGTCTATGTACAATACATACATGGAGATATTAGTGATGTATTATGATATATTTTAATGTGTCCTCTTAGATGATGATCTGATCTTCTTAACCTGTTTGGCTTCCGTAGTTCATGTTGGCCTTGCCGGATGGCCGAAATCTTTTTCTTGGCGCTGCATCGCGCTTGAAACTACTCGAAACTTCGGCGAAGGGTTTGGTCAGGGAATCAACCGGTGGATTGGTCGCCAATGTGGAACTGCCAACTGTCGTTGGGTTTCAACTTGCTCTGGACATAAGAGATCCCAAAGCTGTTTTATGGCGGTGAAACATGGTGAAACCACTTGATCTTCACCATCTTGCCAGGAATCAGCCGGCCTGGAACCATTCGCCGAATTCCAGGCGAGTTCCAGGTTCTTTCCATGGCATCATGAACCATGGCTGCCATAGAAACTTTCTTCAGCATAGTTCTGCAATAAAACTTCTTCTCGGTCAAAGCTAATTCTAGCAAATCCCAGAGGCTTCCCCCATACTTTGTCCAAACCCTGTACTCCTGGTGAACATTCAAACTTGCTGGCTGTTCATCCCCCAAAGAAATATATTTATACAGTTTTAACATATGGAGGGTTCCTGAAATAGGGCTACCCCCAAATCATCCATTTTAGATTGGGATTTTCTTTTTTTAAACCTTCCAGCCATTGGGATACCCCCATTTATGGAAACCTTCGTAGGTATTGATCCATAGCCGTTTTGATCCACCTTCGCGTGCCATCTCTCAGCCGCCCATCTTGGGTCGGCCGGGTCGACGTCCTCTGGGCTTCCTACGAGGACACCTTGGTGGGTATGCAGGAAGCTCGCTTTGGCTTTTGTCCAGAAATGGGGTATGAAATTCAAAAAACGCAAAACAGCCATTGAATTGATCAACCATGGGATTTTGGGTGAGCTTTCCCTGTTCAGGTGCGAAACCGATCTGTCAAGAAGCCCAGAGGAAAACAGCGTGGCGCTCAGCGTGGCTCAGCACCTTTAGTGCATCCCCAGCGACAAGGGTGAAAATGTTTCATTTGAACATCACCCAAGCATTTTGGCCACTGAGATGCCCTCCGACGGAAAACTCCCTGTGCAGAAATCCCGGTGTCCATTTTTGGGGATTTCTAGAGATTCGACCAAATTTTATCGGATATACCCAAAGAAAAACTCAAATGGGATTGGCCGCTGATTGGCCTTGTTCATCAACGACACAGATAATATAAAGTATTGTAAAGTCAATCATGGCGTGCAACAGTAAGTAGCATTACCTTGTTCACCTATTATATGCCAAATGAGTTATAAACCATGGCTTACCCCCAAATTCATTGAATGTGGTTCATTGTTGAACAACATTGTTGAAATGACATGGAAATGTTGGACTTGTTGAATGAGTAAGTGCCACTTTGGATTTCATGAATGGGGCCCAGAATGGCACATCTTCCCATTGCACAAAAACGCGCTCACGTTCAGGAGCCACCGCGTGTGGACAATGACCTCGGAAGTGAATCTGGGTATGGATCAAATCATGCGGTTCGATCAGGAAAAAAAATGGAGGTGATTCGACATCAAACATACCCTGCTAATCTGCGGTTCCGGAATAGAAAAGGCCTACCTTGTCACTACCCATCCACCCCAGCCGCGTTCTTGGTGACTTGGTGACTTGGGCCCCAGAAATTAAACATCTTCCCCCATGGCTTCGCTGCACCCACTCTGCCAGCAAAGGGGCTTGCTCATGGAAGGAAGGTCCGCCTGGCAGAAGATGAAGCGGTTGACCAGCAAGAATGAGCCAAGCTCCAGCAACTGTGCAGAAGAAAACAAAAAATCAGGATAGGTCACCATCTAGGTCGAATCCAACATGAGGTATCCCAGAAATGCTGTACCTGTCACTTTTAACTTTCGAGTATATGGCGGCACTGGCGCAGCATTCTGCAGAATTTCTGCGCTTGGTATAGGGGCTCAATGTATTCTGTTTTGGGTAGAAAGTCCCAAAAAATCCCCTTGAACGCTTCATCCAGATATATCCAGATATATCCAGATCATCTCAGCTCTTAGATCACTCCCCCAAGCATCGATCAACAACTGAACCAACCATGGGGTCCGGCGCCTGCGCAGTTTTCAGCAATGGACCTGACTACCACCAGGCCGGCTGTTCAAGGGAAGGCTCACATCTTCAGATAGATCGAGGTCCAAATCCTGGTTTCTACACCAGAATTTAGCGGGTAGTTATGGATCTTAACCCACCAATATGTAAAATCACAAGTTTTGACCCACCAATAGTGAGTTCACTACCCCATTCATCAAGCCCCCTGCGCAGTTGAAACAAACACCCAGCGCTACCCATTCGACCCCAATCTCTTTAGACCCTTTTTGTATCAATGGAGTGGTCGAAGGGAAAATCTACTGGTAGGCAGTATTCTATCATCCAGATGTACGGGCTTCCTATACAAAAAAAACTGAAAACAAGTTCTTGGAAAGAAAGTAATCCATAGCTGACTTCCCAATCACAGGCTCTCACCTGCCGAGTTGGCGATGGAATCCAGCAAGCATCCATAGTCCATACCTGCTACCGAAAGGGCGAGGTTCAAGTCAGAAGCACATGGAATCACAGATGCAAACATTCTCCGAGTTCATGGCTTCTCGCAATCTTTTTCACACCATTTGTGATATGACCCATGTTGCAATCAACCAACTATCATTTGTTTGAACTATATCTCTGATCTTTGGCATTTAAAACCCATGTTTGATGAATAACTCCCGATTTTTTGTTGAAAATCACCCTTTTGAGTCCGGTGACCCAAAGACGTTCAAACCCAACACGCCCGCAACGCCAAACGCAACGCACGCCTCGTTTGCGGCCAATGAGCCAAACAGCCTGCAACTGGCAACTTACCCATTATTTGGAGGCTATTTCAAATCACCCAAAGGTAGGGATATACCCTATCAACTATTACTATATCGTGTTCTTATTGGATTTATTGGGTATATCCCTGCTTGAGTATATTATTGGCTTTGGTATTGGGTTGATACCCCTATTGCGGACCCCAATTGGAGATGCTTTTCTCTGAAAATAGGGTAGTTTAAACCCGCTGGTTAGTCGTCATTTTCCAAATATCTTCCCAGTTCAACATTGCCATGAATTTGGGGGTATACCCCATTTTCCCGCAAATGCATACAAGTTCTGCATCCAATTTCTCTGTTGCATGCTGGCTTCATGTCGATGCCTTCCCGTCCCGGAAAAATCAGCACCTCTTCAAATTGTTCCATGCCGATGCGTCGACCCCCTCGCGGACACACCTCACCATGAGCTGGGCAAATGTTGCCCCAGCTCACCAAGCAAGAGTAAGCGCACCCCACCAGAAACCCGGTTCCATCTGCTGGGATTGGGTTTTTAGATATTTTTAGAGGGGGATGAGATATTGTCTGTGTGTGTGTGCTAGTCTCTACCCTTTCTGCATCCCTGTGTATGTCAATTGCACTGTTTCACGGATCTACATGTATATAAAGCTTCTGTGGAAACGTGCAGCAGACTCAATCAAAAACACTATACCCCAGTCACATAGAAATCAGAAAATCTGAATTCACCCCAGTTACGACAACCAAAACTAGTGGGTTTCTCCTATGTGTTGCCAAATAATCTGGGAAGTTATGACGTTGAAAGCCTCAAATCCAGCTGGATCATGCTGGCTCGATGGCCTTGGCGAAGATCAAATCCGCATCAGCTGCGCTGAACCTCACGATGACCCCGCGTCATGTCACTGGAATGAACCAAGACATCTCTGCAGTGTGCTACAGCGGGCTTGATGCTTCACACTTGGCTTCAAGAACCCTCTTTTCAAAGTGGAAAGCAACCAGAAACCAGTGGGAGACTTTGAAAACTTGAGACAGATCTTTACCTGTCCAAAAGCTACCTGGAAACAAAAACCACAAGAAAAAGCAAGGAAAGTTCTACAACTCAGCCTTCTCCAAATCAGCAACCCCCCAGAAGCCTTCGATCCAACAATCCACAATCCTGGCAGCGGCTCACCGTTCTCACCATGAACTCACTAATCAACCAGAGTTGTTGAAACAACCTCTACCAATGATGCCAAAAAATCATTTTAAAAAAACATGAAATCACTGATCAACGTGTCGTTTTTTGAAACTGCCCCTCCAGTTTCGCAGCACTTTTGTTTCCATGAAATGGTCGGATCTCCTTGCAGAGCTTCGAGAACGCTTTGCCATCCATGCCACTGCGGGGACCACAAAAGGCCTGGGGAAAAAAAACCGCCGCGGCGTCCGTTGGGAACTTCGACAGAAAGAAAAAGCGGAAGATTCAGCCATGCAAATGTGGATATAAAATGATAACAGATAAGAATTGAGGTTGAACCTTAGACAATACCAACGAACAATCGGATTCACCAGCAAATATGTGTATTTAATCGTGGAAAAATGGAGATCCACCAAGAACTAATGAGGATATAAACAGGTATAACTAATGAATATATATATATATATATATATATGGAACCCGAAAAGTAACACTGACCTACACATTGGGGTACCAGTTTAGACTCACAAATGACCATCGGCATTTTGTTCGGGCCTTGAACCATCCAACTGTGGATGTCAGTCGATTTCTTTGTTGGGACCCTGGCTATTTCCATTGACCCCGACAGATTGGGAGTTTCACAGCCCATGCTCGGGATCCATTTTTTGAGATCCCTCTTGAGGATCACAACACTTGCTTCTGAAGTTCATGAAAACCTCCTGGGATCATTGATCCATTGATCTTTCAAAATCTTGCAGATCAGGCCACGTACCCAGCCTGAAAAACCTCCTGGTAGGAGCTCGTGCCGTCCTGCCAGGGGGCCAGGGGGTCAGGGTCTGCCACGTGGATACCAAGTCTTGGATCTTGGCGTCCGGGTTGTTGAAGCATTTCATGGCGAATATCATCCATTATGATCCCATATGGACGAAGACCAGACAATTATGCCTTCACCTGGCCTGTGGCATTATGGCACTACTGAAGCTGGTTTCATGAGAACGGCTAGACGTGAGACCCACTTTTTGTATCCTGATCGTAGGTAACGTTACAAGTGCCAAGAAAGACAGCAGTTGCACCCGCTCGGAGTGTGTCTTGCGAGAGAAACTGCTGGTCCCTTCACAGCTCTGCAGAGTTTCTCCATGCTGCATGGTATTATGGTGATTTAATGGTGATTTAATGGCGATTTAATGGGATATTAAGGGGATATACCCTCTGGAATTTCCAGTCTATGAAATCACCCCATAGAATCAGCGTAAGTTGCGAGGCCGTCACAGAACCTGCTTGAAGGACGGCGAGGCCACCACCGCCTGTGCAGCAGAAGCCAAGATCCTGACTGTGCAGGAACTGGGCATACCCTCTGGTCAGTATAGCTATGGAAAATGGACCATTTACAAATGATTTATCCTTACCCTCTGGTAGACTAACATAGCTATGGAAAATCACCATCTTTAATAGGTAAATCAACTATAAATGGGCCATGTTGAATAGCTATGTTAAATTACCAGAGGGTATTAAGGATTAAGTTTTTCCGTGGCTATGTTGGTTTACTAAAGGGTATCTCTTTGTCTTTGTCGCATGTACAAAGAATCATTGTCTTGGAAGTGTTGGCATGGCACTCACCAAAAAACCAAGTTAAACCACCATTCCAGCTTCTGGTTGCGTCGCAAAATCCAAAAAACATCAAAATTCATGGAATCCATTGGTCAAGAACTTCATTGAAATTCCATGGTTCATCTCATTAAAACGCATCATTATAAATCCCATTAAAAATGTCGATCGTGAGACTCGTGACACGTGTCTCCTCGGCCCAGTGCTGCGTGCTGAGGCAGGACCTGGAGCGGCGGATGGAAGAACTATTGCTGTAGAAGTTGGCTAAGTAATACAAAAACATAACATGATATAGTTGAGATATAATTATACTTATATATATATACACACACTATATACATACATGCTACATATATATATATACTGACTGTGTATATATATATACACATAATTATACGTATGGATCATAACAGACCCTATAGTGACTTCCCAAGATTGGCGGATCACGGGCCAAACGCTGGTCATGGATTGAATTTGCATGTTCGTCAATCCAACAATGGGACTACCGTTCGTCAATCCAACATGGCATTTCTAGGGGCAGATTTCCCATGGCACCGGTGGGTACTGCAGTCCCAGGAATGAAGCCAGGAATGTCGCCGCCCGGTTCCCCTTTGGCGAAGCAATCTTTGGAAATGCCACAACTTACCAACGTCGGAAAATCCAACTGGCAAGGATACGTTCCTTGTATCTCCTCATATCTTCTGTTCATATGTCTCCATAAACATGACCTTTCAGGGAGACAACGGCCAGCATTTCACAAGCATTCTAACATATTCTAACCATTTCAAGATAATAGTTTCAACCACCCGAAAATCAACAAATGCTGAACATATTACAAACCATCACAGAGCCTACCCAGTGCCATCGTCGCCATGTGACCCCCTGACGACGTGGAAACTGTGGATCCTTTGCGTTGCACCAAGGGACCTGACTGCGACGTGTTCAACGGGTTTTCCCCAGTGTTGCCCATCAAAACCTGTCCAACTGTTGATATGTGTTTGAAGAAGCTTTCTTTTCTATTCCCTATTGCTCCCACATCTAGTAGGGTTCTGGGTCTGAAAGTCCCAACCCATACCATGTTCCATCAGTCCTTCAAAACCTGTTCCAGATCGACCAGTCCGCCTGGTTTCTCATAGAGTCGCAGGTTCATCGTCTGCCGGGCCGCGACCCACAACCGAAAATCCCACCACCTAGTGACCTGGTGACTGAAAATCCATAGGATCGGCTGCCAACTCTGAACTGGCTTGTAACAACCAACATCTCATGGCTTCAAAAAATGCCGTTGCAAAACCTCACCGAATTGAAACAGAAACTCAAAAAACCAGCCCCATCGTTGAAGGAATTTCCCCTTTTTGTTGCCTTGGTGGCCGCTTGTGGTGGTTGGTATAGGTATAAGTCCAAAATGGGCACCGGGGCCATGTGAGTCTGTTCCCGATTCAAACTGGCCATATCTGTGGCAGTAAGTTCCCCATTCGAAGGGACAAACCCATATGATCTTGTTGTTGATAAATCCCATCATATCCAAAATCTGAAGATATTCCATCAAAGAAATATATATACCATCCAAACATATCCCAATTTCCCATTCAAATCTCCCCATCTCTCCCCATCTCTCCCCATCTCTCCCCATCTCTCCCCATCTCTCCCCATCTCTCCCCATCTCTCCCCATCTCTCCCCATCTCTCCCCATCTCTCCCCATCTCTCCCCATCTCCCGCTAGCGATTCATGCTCAGCACCGGCACCTTGGTTCCCGCCAACTTGGGACCTTCCGAATCAGCGATGTCCATCAGCAGCTCTTCACGACTCACCTGAGAACCAGGCGGCTCGGCGCTGAGGATGGGAATATGGGAAAACTCCGAAACAACAAAAAAAAAAAGAACGATGGAAAAATGCCAATCAAACAGAAGTCCAGGAAGGATGAACTCCAAATGGAAACCATCCAAAAATAAGAGTTTCGCCAGGAAAGTGAGCTGGGAAATGCCATATCTTGGCAGCTATACCTTGGGATTAATTTCCTCCATGACAAACCTTAAATGGCTTTTACTAAGAATCCCTTGGTAAATCCCAGGTTTGGCTGTGTCACCTTCATACAAATCACCTGATGATCCCTTGATAGTCCATTGATCCCCAAAAAATCTCTGTGATTCTTCAGTCGTTGCGTCACTGAGTTCTCCGGCACCCTTTTTGGCCGCCACATTGGCCAGCGCCTCCATCCCCCAACAGTTTTCGACCCTGAGAATCACCAGTTTCTAGAGGAAAGTAGTCTTCCAACCCCCCAAAATATGGCATCTGTGTTAGTTGGGGAGATGGTACCTTTTTTGAGGTGTGAAAGAGGAGGGATTTGACAAGCCTTTACAAATTGGGGGTTGCTCTTGGTTTTACCACATTGCGCCGACAGAGCCCTACTATCAGCTGCCGACAGTCCTTCTTATTCTTATGACTGCCCAAAAAGCCTTTCTGGATATAACCAATTCGGCATGCAATGGTCTTCTTGGCTTGACTGACTTTGCATGGTTCATGCTTGTCAAGCCTCATATTCCCTCTTTGCTTTGTCCAAAAATTGAGCTCCCTAATTTCTCCTACCGGTGGATCATGATTTTCTCATAGACAAAAAAACATAATGTCAGTAAAGCAATGTCATAAACCACCCATATAAATTGATGGGTAGAATCCCACCCATAAAAATAGAAAGTCCTTGGGGATGGGTGGATCTACTATTGCTTTGCTTCCCCCCATCCCTGGCCTCCTGAAGCTGCGGAAGGCTGATCCGCCGCTGGCCCTTCTTCAGGACCTCTCGCGGCTCGCCATGGTGCAAGGCGATGCCACCGTTTACGATAGCAGTCGTTGGTGCAAATAACTAGCTTAACTATGGTTTGCCCCCTGGTAATTTAACATAGCTATTGAAAATGACCATTTGTAATTTATAGTTGATTTACATATTATATAAAAATGGTGACTTTCCGCAGCCATGTTAGCTTACCACAGGTTATTATTGATATATCTGTAGTTAATGGATTTAGACACCAACTTATCACTGGGCTATAGGCTATATCCCACTAAGAAAGGTGGATGGTTGCGAAATCCTGCACCAGTTGATAGATGGTCTATTCATCCCACTATCTATAGGGTTGAAAAACCATCCTTTTGGTGGTGCAGGATTTTGCAACCATCCACAGTATGACTGGATTATGGTGTTCTGGTTATTTTGCCGACGACTCATGGGATGCACATCTAAGAATGAGATGGAATGGGGGTAGCCAATGACCCATGGCTAATGGGTACCTGAATTTTGTGAGTATTGATTCATGGCGATCATGATTACTAAACAGTCATGAATAGAGATAGATTGAAACAAATTGAATAAATCAATAATACCGATGATGATTTCTGCAAAGATGAAGAAAGATGATTTAATGTCATTTTTCCATACTAAACATATCTAAAACATGATACTCCAAAAACTTGCATGCATAGTTACCAAAGAATTTCTGTGTTTCCTAAGATGTTCCCAAATGTCAAAAATGGTGATAATATCCTAGGGCTAATTTTGGGATGACCCATGGCCCCGCCCGGGCAAAGATCAGGTCAGCATCCACGGCGTTGAAGGTGTCGGTGATTAGGCCCGTGTCTTTGCACAGTTTTAGGAAGGACCTCAACGGTTCACTGTCCACAAAAAACATGGGGTATATTGGCTATAATCGGAGCTAACTTGGACACCAAAAATTGAACTTATTAGGGGTTGGCCTCAACTGTTTTTTACCATCAAGAGAAACAAGGGTATATGGCAATATATGGTAATGTTAATCACCAAATGTTGACTGATCAGGATGGTTGTTTCGCACATGCTTTAAGGGTGTGGCCAATGAACTGTACCCCATGTTCACGCAAAACTACTTGGATGTGCATCCCCGGAATTCTACATGGTCAATTTGCCACCATTTCTTGGGGTTATCCGCTGTTGAAGTCACCACGATTGTTCATCAGTTGCGTAGATGCAATCAGGGTGTCATAAGCCACGAAAGACCCTTGGAAATGATTGCGTGAAGTGAGACTTCCCAAATTTCTGGCTATTCAGCGAATCTCAAAAACACCCATGTTTCCAAAAATGTTTACCGTTGCAAACCCAATAAAACCACTCTCCAATTCCACCAGAAATAGGTGACAAATAAACGAAGCTTCTTATTGAGTTTACCCCCTCAAGTAATCAACATGGCAATGGAAAATACTTTATTTACCAGTAGTACCGCACAAGGCAATGGCGGAAGTTTCAAAAATAAGAAACGTATAGGAGAGGTTGGTTGTTGTGAATCACGGATGGCAGAGCGAATCCACTGATGGACCGAAAGGTGGTTGAAGTTGTGTTTTTTGGAGTGGTTGCAATGGTTCCAGTGGACACCTCACCCACAACTGCTGGATGAAGTGTGGTGTAGCGCAGTTGTAGTTGTAATGTGTAATAAGTATGGTGTAGTTGCAGTTGCAGTTGTAGTTGTAGCTGTGGTGTGGTGTAATTAGTGTAGTGTACTGTAGTGTACTGTACTGTAGTGTACTGTGGTGTTGTGTACTGTAGTGTGGTATAGTGTAGTGCAGTCTAGTGTAGTGTAAGGTAGTGTAGTTGTAGTGTGGTGTAGTGTAATTGGTGCAGCTTCGTGTGGTGCAATTTAGTGGTAGTTACAAGTGTAGCTGCAGTTGCAGCTGTAGTTGTAACGCAATGTAGTGTAATTAGTGTGGTGTAGTGTAGTGTAGCGTAGCGTAGCGTAGTGTAGTGTGGTGTGGTGTAGTGTTGTGCAATGTAGTGTAGTTGTAGTTGCATTTGTATTTGTAGTTGTAGTGCGCTGCAATGTAATTACTGCAGTGTAGTGTAGTTGATATTGTTGTTGTAGCTGTGGTAGTAGCAGTTGTTGTAGTTGTAGTGTAAGTAGCGTAGTGTAGTGTAATTAAATATAATTATTGTAGTGTAGTGTAGTATCGTGTAATTAGTGTGGTGTAAAGTAGCGTAGTTTGGTTTGCATTTGTAGCTGTAGTAGTAGCTGTAGTAGTAGTAGTAGTAGTAGTAGTAGTAGTAGTAGTAGTAGTAGCGTAGTGTAGTGGTAGTCGTAGTGGTTGTTGTAGTTGTAGTTGTCTATCTATCTATCTGTCTACCTGCAAGCTTGAAAACGAAGCTATTCTACGAGACTTCCTCAATTTTTGACTTCGACAACATCAAAAACACATCAATTCTGCGAGACTTCTTTAAATTTTGAAGTTGACAACATCAAAAACGAAGCAATTCTGCCAGACGTCCTCAGTTTCCAAGTTGACAACATCAAAAATGAAACAATTCTGCGTGGCTTCCTTCAAAAATGGAAAGTTGAGTGCAGAGCTGACGGCCTCGTACCAATGCGCTTTGCTATTTTTCCACTCCACCTGTCTAAAGTACTGCGCCTGCCACGAAAAAGTGATGCCAGGCCATATGAAGTGCTGCGCCTGTCACGCAAAATATCTCAGCAAACCTGAAGATCTGATGTTCCAAAATGCAAACCCTCTCAGGAAATCGGCGCCCGGACCTCCTAACAGCTCCGATGAACGTGTCTCTTGTACTGCGCCTGCCACGGAAAATGCATCTTTGCAGATCCTCTGCATATGTCCCACGCCTGCCATCGTTTTTGAAACTGCCACAAAATCCTCACGTTTTGCTCACTTTTGACAAGGTGCACAATCATCGCCTGCCACGCAAAACGACATCTGAACGTCCAAAAGTGCTCCGTACCCCTAGGTTTTTTGCACTTTGACTTCGAAATGTGCTTCGCGACACAATGGAGTGCACTTTTTCGACATCTCAACTTCCAAAAGTGCTCTGAACCCGTCAGTTTTTTGCACCTTTGACTTCGAAATGTGCTTCGCGCCACAACGGCGTGCACTTTTCGACATCGCAACTTCCAAAAGTGGTCCGAGGCAGGTGTGTTTTGTACATATTGACTTCGAAATGTGCTTTGCGCCACAACGGCGTGCACTTTTTCGACATCGCAACTTTTAAAAGTGGTCAGAAGCTGAAGTGATTTGTGCGTTCTGACTTGGAAATGTGCTTTCCGCCACAAAGGCGTGCAACTTTTCATGTCTGACTACATGGGTCCGCACGCGCCGCTTTAGCAAGCCGACTTTTCGACCCTCCCGAGCCACAAATCATTGGAAAAACACAGTGTTTCGCGACTTTCCTACCTTTTCGCGCACCTGGATCTTCTTTCTTCTAAGACTTTCTCTTTTTTGATCTTCTTTCTTCTTCTCTGCTCTTCTCTGACTCTTCCCGACTCTGCTTTTCATCTGTCCATATTGTCGGAAGTTTGACTTCTAAACTTCCTTCGATGATGATTTTCCTATTAAAATCCCATTATATAAACTTGTTCCGTCCAACCCGGACGTTGTTCCACACTTACAATCATCCTCATCCTCAACCTCATCCTCATCCTCCTCATCCTCATCCTCATCATCATCATCATCATCATCATCGTCATCCCCATCCTCATCCTCATCATCATCATCATCATCATCATCATCATCATGGTCATCATCGTCATCATCATCATCATCACCAGTGTCAACTCATGTGGAATGGGGTAATACCATCAACTTGGAGGTCTTATATTCCTAAGGGATCATAAATCCGCCACCCCCTAAGACAAATATGTTGAATGGTGTAATCACATGAACTTATCTTCATCTTCATTAAAGATCAACAAATCCACCACCCCCTCTGACAAATATGTTGAATAAGGAATAACATCAACTTATCTTCATAAGGGATCAAAAAATCCAACCCCCCGCTTTAACAAATATGCTGAATCTGATGATAGCATCAACATATCTTCATAAGTGATCAAAAAATCCTGCACCCCCTATGGCAAATATGCTGAATCTGATAATAGCATCAACTTATCTTCATAAGGGATGATGATGATGATGACGACGACGACGATGATGATGATGATGATGACGATGATTATGATGATGATGATGATGATGACGATGATGATGCTCATCATAATCATAATCATCATCATCATCATCATCATGGATCACATATACATCTACATATCGAAAGTCCACCGACATGGTACTTCAAAAATACGCAACCCTTCCACAATTCCGGCGCGGAGCAACATCAGGGTTGCAGCGAACTTGTTAAAATCCCATTAAACTAGGATTTCCCATAAATATCCCGTTAAAACTAGGATTTCCAGTTGCCACGTTTGATTACCAAAGGGCACCACGTAAAACCAACACGTTGAAGTCGACTTGACACAGCCGCAGCGACACCGGGAGCCCGGTCTTGCCGTCCCACTCGAGACCTCGCATCGAGATATGGCCATGTGTACATTGATGATATCCTACTCATCGAATCTACTTACTATTTGTGTACAATACAATAGTTGACCTATTACAAAGATGTGCTCTAAAATTATGAACAACTATCGAATGATGTGCTTGTACATAGATCTAATTTTATCTATAGTTTACCTATTACAAGCACAATAGTTCATTTTATATTCATGTGTGATTTACATTTTATATGCATGTAACTAGTTGCCATGGGCGCTGCAGGGCGCCTGGGTGTTTTGTTGTCTTTTTGGCTTTTCTTTTGTGTTGTTCTGTTTTTGTTTGATGATGCGGTGGGGTGGGGTGGGATGTTAACGTTCATGTTCATGTTACTCTGATGGTGTTAGGGTGGGGTGGGATGTCAACATTCATGTTTATGTTACGCTGATAATGTTACGTTGATCATGGGGTGGGGTGGGGTGGGATGTTAACGTTAATGTTCATGTTACGCTGATGATGTTACGTTGATCATGGGGTGGGGTGGGGTGGGATGTCATGTTAACGTTCATGTTTATGTTACGCTGGTGATGTTACGTTGATCATGGGGTGGGGAGGAGTGGGATATTAAAGTTCATGTTCATGTTCCGCTGATGATGTTAGATTGATCATGGGGTGGGGTGGGGTGGAATGTCAACGTTCATGTTCATGTTCCGCTGATGATGTTACGTTGATCATGGGGTGGGGTGGGGCGGGATGTTAACCTTCATGTTCATGTTACTCTGATGGTGTTAGGGTGGGGTGGGATGTCAACATTCATGTTTATGTTACGCTGATAATGTTACGTTGATCATGAGGTGGGGTGGGGTGGGATGTTAACGTTAATGTTCATGTTCCGCTGATGATGTTACGTTGATCATGGGGTGGGGTGGGGTGGGATGTTAACGTTCATGTTTATGTTACGCTGAAATTGCTCCATGGTTGAAGTAGTTTTTGAGAGGTGGAAAAACAGGTGTGCAAGGCTGCATGCGCAGTTACATTGGGAAGTGCACGCAGACCCGCTTAAAACCACCACGCGCCTCTGCCGTTCCCTAGGTGCAATCGTTTTTTATCTATACACTCGCGTGTCATGTACACCTCCAGGATCCCGGACTCCCTGGCACACAGAAACTGTACAGGATCGTCTCTGGATTTTCCTCGGGGAAACGAAACGACTTCGGAGCCAGGTTCAGATTCCTGGCTGAAAAAAAACAACAGATCTTGGGGAACAGGGGATAAATCCATGGTTTTTGCGGTGTCAACATGTGCGGCCTCCATTGGATCCATCCCAAGGCCCTGAGTCCCAAACATCGGAGCCAGGCATTAAAGCAGCCTGCCATGGGCGACAAATTGCATGTTGTTTGTAGATCATGAAAATCCCCAAACCAACCAGTAGTGTTATCAGGGGACCAGTACAATGTACTCAATGTACTCATCACACAACCTCTACTCAGCTCTGGGGGCTCTGGGCTATGGGTCATTGGGACAAAGAAATGTCCTCATTGTGATCTTCCGTAGTCTTTGGTATTCAACTTCTTCAACATCATTAAGTTCATCCCCGATCTCCCGATGTTTGACCGCCGACTTTTAGCCACACTGGCGAATGAGGCTTTCGAAGTGATCCAGTCCCAGGCGATCCAAAAGCTGGTCCTCAGTGGTGGAGATGGTCATGCCACCATGGAGGGGAATTATACCATAAGAATTTCCAATAGGGATGAATACCAATGCAAATATATGTATAAATATACGTATATAATCATATATATTATGTTGTTCCATTATTTCCCAGGTTACCGAGAAGCGAGGCTAAAGTCTTGCATTGTACTGATGTGTCTGTATCAAAGTTGAGCCCCAAGACTCTCTCGCAACTGTCTCTTGAAGCAATTTGGGATTCGGAAACAAACTGCTGAGTACATTTATGCCGGGGGTCTGCTTGAAGAACTTGGAGAGAGTCCTAGTTAATAGCTCCACAATGGCACAAAAATGTAATCCGTCCCCAAAAAAACAGAAACTAAACACCACCCTTTCCCCTTCCCCAAAGAAGAACCGAAAAACTGGCGGGAAGATGGTTTTGTCTACAAATTAGGGGCACATATAAAATTTCATGGTTTACCATCATCTTCTCTCTTTAAATTACCATAAGCCATAAGATAATGTGTGTGTATATATATACGTATATCCCATTCAAATCGCACCCGTCAGCGAAGATGCATTGTGTTTGTAGATCTCCTGGGCTGTTGGATGAGGTTGCAGAGAAATAAGGTTTGAGTCGAACTAAGATCAACTGAAACCCGGAAATTTTGGGGGGGTTTACATTGGATACTCGCTGGAATGACCATCCCCAAATCAGAATTCGTCCAAGTTTTGAACACCTGGAAGATCATCCAGAATCCTCCAACATCAATGCCTGAAGTTGTTCATCCAAATTATCAAGTAACATCGAAGATCACTTTCAATATTATCAGTAAAATCACGTGTGAAAATCATGTTCAAAATGATCTTCAAGATCACCCAGCCTTATTCATCAACACTTGGTGTGGGTCAAAATGACCAAACTGTGGTCATTTTAAAATTGGCTTAAGATTCACCAAGGTCAAGAGCTGGGTATGTCTCAAAATGGGCTACTCCAATGTAGGCGCCCCATTCCAACCAATGAATCATTCATAGATTGGGGGTACATTATATACCCCCAATCTATGGATGATTAATATGTTATATTATGTTACAATGTCAAGCAAACTGTGGTTGATTAATCAGGCAGGTTACCTTAAAAGCTCATAATCTGCTAGTCAATTGCTTACCCCTTTTTCAGGTACCCTCAGCTATAAACTTCCATTCATAGGAGATTTTCCATTGCCACGTTTGATTACCGGAGGGTACCCCACCAAAAAAAAACTATAGATTCCTCAAGTAGTGGATTTTCAGCTGGAAAAAATAGCCTGGTCCAACCCACGAATCCGAATGCACGTCGCGTAAGACACTTTTGCGAAACAAGTTATTACAACCGTCTTGTGAATTCTTCCCCTGTTGCAGTACATTGTAGACTGTGGACCGTGCAGTGTGGAGTGGGGCACGGGTGCAGACTGTGGAGGGTGAAGTGCAGAGCGTAAACAGTGGAGTGTAGACTGTTGAGTGGGGAGTGTACATTGTAGAGTGATTGTAGAGTGTAGAGTTGTGGAGTGTAGAGTGTGAAGTGTGAAGTGTCTAGTGCGGAGTGCAGAGTGTAGTGTGACGTGTTGGCCAACCTTGACCTCCCAGACCCCAAGGGCCCCAAAGATCAACGGAAAAAACCCTTGGTTCGCCAAAGGCATTCGACGGGCGTCCTCCCGCTGCTCCGCGTCCACTTTGGCCAACTCCCCGCTGCGCAGCAGGTGCAGCACCGGCCGCGGCGCCCGCGCCAGCGCCGAGCGCCGCACCGAGGCCTCGCCACCAGCCTGGCCCTCCAGGGACTCCAGGGACCAAAGGATGTCGCTGCGGCGGCAGAGCACCTGGGAAGGGAAAAGCAATGAGTTTTTGACCAAAAAGCACCAAAGATGGTTGCGAAAAAACAAAAATGTTTTTAGTTTGGGAAAGAAAACATGATTTCCCTGTGTCGTGATGACCACAAAATGGGCGCAAGTCCTCCATTTTGGAGAAACACACTGGGATCATCCCAACCAAAAAGACTCGAAGCAAAGTCCTCCCAAAAAACTTGAAGCCAGGGTCCTTGGGGACTCAAACCCAGCGCCAAAAAACAATTTGAAGAACAACCAAATCATCAAAAACCAGTGCCTTCAAGCCCGCCTCTTGAGGCTCGGTCAGTGGCTGGATGGCCAAATCTTCGCCTCCGTCCTGGGTGGCAAGGGACCAAATATTTGGTATGTAGATGTAACCAGGTTGAAGCCCTGGTATATATCAAATGATAATTGAAACCAGGAAACCACTAGCCATGGCTAATCATACTCTGGAAATGGGTTGTGTAGCCCCAGTTTATGGCCATTTTCATTAGGTAAGTCATGGTAAATTATGATGATATACGAGTACCATGATTTTACCAGTGACCAGTGGATGAACAGCCCGCGATGCTTACCCATTGGGCCTCCGAGGAGGCGGTCTCCAGAATTTGCCCCAGCAAACGCAAGGACAGCAGCTCTTTGGACACGTCCTCCTGATGTGACCCACTTTGGCGTGGAGGCAAAAGCATCTGTCTGCCTGCCTGCCTGCCTGTCTGTCTGTCTGTCTGTCTGTCTGTTTTGGGCTGTCTGCCTGTCTAACTGTCTGTTTGTCTGTCTGTCTGCCTGTCTGTCTGTCTGTTTGCCTGCCTGCATGCCTGCCTGTCTGCCTGTCTGCCTGCCTGTCTGTCTGTCTGTTTTGGGCTGTCTGCCTGTCCAACTGTCTGTTTGTCTGTCTGTCTGTCTGCCTGCCTGTCTGTCTGTCTGTCTGTCTGTCTGTTTTGGGCTGTCTGCCTGTCTAACTGTCTGTTTGTCTGTCTGTCTGCCTGTCTGTCTGTCTGTTTGCCTGCCTGCATGCCTGCCTGTCTGCCTGTCTGCCTGCCTGTCTGTCTGTCTGTTTTGGGCTGTCTGCCTGTCCAACTGTCTGTCTGTCTGCCTGTCTGTCTGTCTGTTTGCCTGCCTGCATGCCTGCCTGTCTGTCTGCCTGTCTGTCTGTCTGTTTGCCTGCCTGCATGCCTGCCTGTCTGCCTGTCTGCCTGCCTGTCTGTCTGTCTGTTTTGGGCTGTCTGCCTGTCCAACTGTCTGTCTGCCTGCCTGTTTGTCTGTCTGGCTGGCTGGCTGTATACATGTATGTATGTATGTATACATGTATACATGCATCTAGTAGAATTTTTGATATGTGATTAGATATAGACACAAACGTTAATATTAAAATGATGTGGATAAGAAAACATGATGTATAGTCAAAATAGGTACCATCTTAATCTGTTTGATAGTGAGGTCCTGAAAAGATTAGGACCAGTGTGGTGAGATCTCCTGGCCCCAAGGGGTGTTGGGCAAGGTTTAGGGATTTTGAATTTATTCACCACTCACCATCTTTCTTGTGAGATTACCCCAGCACCAAAAAGCAAAGTGTCATTTCCAGCAGGGACTCCAAGCACACCCGGACATAAACCAGCCAACAAAGCAAGTCTGTTTCCGCCCATGAATCAGCGTCCTGGCTTTTCAGAATTTCTCATAGGGGTCACAAATTGAATCTCCAAAACCCTGGGTGGCTGCTCAAGAATTGCCAATCCAATTGACTCGGAATCTTCGAAAGTCTCCGGCCAGACCTCTCTTTCGAAATTACGGACCGTGAACTCAGCCGGCGAGGTCGCTGCTATACTTCACGCTCCAAAATCTCAATGGTTCAATATGGTCAAATCCATGTGATGTTGGAATCCCCATGCTTGTCTTCATTTTCCATAGCTAAATCCCCATTCTTTACGTCTAGATCATCCATTTTTGAGGTATAAATCATTATAAATCCCCATGTTTTACTTGCTAAATCCTCAGTTTTTCTCATTTTTAGAGGTTTCAAAAAACCTCATTTTTCCCATCCTCCAAGACTTCAGCCAACCACTGCTGGCCCTGCCATTGCAGCGCTACCTCCAGGCCCACAGAGACCTCGGAGCTGGAACCTCAGTTTTTGCACAGTGAAAAAAGACATTTAAGAGATTTAAGCCAATGATCCATGATAAATCGTCAATAGTATGACTTAGTATGATATGTTACATCAATCTATATATTTTTTCTGAACTGTCAGTGGTCAGTTATATCAATGATCAATGATGAACAATGGTGAAACAATGGATCATTGATCACTCTGGTGATTGGTTCATGGACAATAAATGTCAATAATGTGGGCAACCCGATGCCAATTAGTCACCACCCCATAAAAACTGTGTTTTGGGGGATGGTTTATGGCATTGGGTTTACCACATTTCGTGGGATGATTTAATGGGACAGAACAAACCCAAAAATGTCGATGTTTCAGCGAAAACGGTGCTCTGATGAGATATGACGGGATAGTTCGTTCATGAGGAAACAAAACTCACCAACGCAAAAAAAATGCCTTCTGTGGGGCCCTGCCATGGGTTCAGTCCTTCACCATCCAGTGGCCAGCCAGAAATCATTATAGCTGTGTTCTCTCACCCAACTATAACTATAAGTATCAGATCTATCATTCTCTTGAAAAAGACATTGGAAGTGGCCAGCCCAGCATCAAAGCACCTTGGTTTTTTGGTGGGATCCAGCAGCCCAGCAGCCCAGCAGCGCAGGCCCATTAGTTCATGTTTCCCGCCAGTCGAACTCATGGAAGCGGCCAAAGTCCTGGGAAAATGGGGGGTAGCTTGGCCAACCCCAAGGGTCATGGCAGTTGTGGCCATTGAATCATAGGGAAGTAATATGAAGTCACTTTCAACACCATGGGAATGGGAGAGTTTCTCCTAATTCTCAGGTGAAGCTAGCAATGAAACTATATAGTTGAAGGTTTGTAGGACCTTACAGCAAGCCGCCCATTTTGGGAGATGATAATTTTGACCTAAATCCACATGAAGTTGGAATGGGACTGATTGCAGACCTTCATTTCTAGGATGTGATGGACTCAACGCAAGGCACTCAGCAAACTTCTGTTTGTCGACGTGAACCTAAGGGCCCGAAAGAGTTGACCAATCTGTGGATCCCAACAATCTCAACATTCATATCGTTAGTGAAGTTGGTATGTGCTATAGTTTAGTGTACTAATTGACAATGGATATATCTATATATATATTACATATATATATATATCAACATTCATATGTCTTTGTGTTCACTTCAGCAACTTAGTGCCAGATGTCTGATCCGCTGTCACCTCGGGTCCTGCCATTCAGGCACGTGTGGGCACACCACCAGGGTGGTAGCTATCTCACCATCCGCTTGCAGCAGCTCCCCCTAAGGACGAGGATGAAATGACAAAAACCCAACATATCGGCATGAAAAACAAGAAATCTTAAGGAGTTTACAGTTTAAGGAATTTTAAGGATTTTTAAGGAATGTTAAGGAATTTTAAGGAATTTTAAGGAATTTGGTGAGGATTCACCATGAGATGTTGACAGACTTGGAGGGACCGTGCCTTACCCAAATGCCGGGGACCAGTTAAATACCACAAGTTTGGTGCGACTCCACATCGATGACACCAAGAACTAACTCTATCGCGTGGTTGGGAAACTCGATCCCTAGCCGCAACTGGCTCCAATTTTTCGTTGCTCCCTCCGAACAGTTCCCTCCAGGCTCCCTCGCCTCAGTCACCAAGTCCTCTAAGACCTCGTCTCCTGTCACTCCTGTACTGCTCACCACCTGCAGGTGGCGAAGAAATCTGAAAGTTCTGGGGGCATGAAACTAACCATGGTATGGAGGTATCATGGGGATATCGGGATATCATGTTTGGATATAGTTGGGTGTACAAGAAACAATATGATACAAATATGGTCTTGTCTGAAAATTGGCATTTACCTCCCATAAAATGGCCTTTTCGTGTGGGAAAAACCATGATCGACCATGACATTTTTGTGGTCAAGCCTAAATGGAATGGGATGCCGTGGCGACACAGTGGGCTACTAGAAATCCACCCATGTTCAACAGGCCATCTCCATATGGAGGTTTCAGTCATGTTGGATATCCCGGAAGGCATTAGGCGCTTGATCATCAGGTCATAAGCTTGGGGATCCCATTGAGGCAGACATCTAAAAATTAGCTGGTGCAATTCACAAGCCAATGGATCATCATTTTCCCCATGAAAAATACCATCTGTGAGGACACTCCGAATCTTTTGAATAACCCCAAATATCTTATTGGCTGGTTGTATAGTCCTATGATATCGGCACTAGATCATCATTCAGAATCATTCATATCACGAATCTGGATAAGTCATGAAAAGCTATCCAACCTGAACCAAAGTCATCTGTGAGAGTTTCCCTAAACCTTTCCATCATTCCAGTAGCAGTGACGTCCTTTGAATTCAAATATTTTCCCAACCAGTCTTATCCCATTACACCTCATTATGTGGTTGGTACATAATATCCATTTGTATCCATGTAATCCCACTATCGTGCTATGGATTTCTTCAATTTATTCCCAAAAAAACCAATGCCTTGAGGCCATTTCTTTGGGCCGCAGGCTGAGCAAAGGGGCAGAGCCGCAGACCTAGAATCATTGTGTCCACCTCAGTGCGTGAACAAACATGTGAACAAAAATTTTGAAGTCCGAGGAAATTTGGGGAACACGTGTGAAAAATCCCATGTTTTAGAAAGTATACAGTTTTAAAAAAAAAAAAGTTTCATTTGACATTTGATTTTGGGCGGGACTTTGAATCCAGCATTTTGAGACTAAGGCAGTTGCAATCCACACCCGGAAGTTGAGACCCTGTCAATTCAAACAGACGACCCACAGAGAGCAGCCCCGTCTAAAATTTAAAAGGAGACCATGTAATTTTGGGCTCAATAAGTTTGAAGCCAGGCAAAAATTGCAGGACGTTTACAGTGTCTTTTCAGGGAAAATGATGGACGACGGATGAAATTTCTAGTTGACTCCTTGTAAAAAATGATGGTTTCCTGAAATGGGTGTACCCCTAAATGGATGGTTATATTGGAAAATCCCATTCAAATGGATGATTTGAGGATACCCCTGCTTTAGGAAACCTCCGAATGATGGTTTAGGTTCAGTCGTTTAACCCAAAGAATGCTTCGCTCAGACAGGGTGTGTACCATTCGCTGCATAGTGGACGCCTACTGGCTGATTGATTGGATTCCCAGTTAGTTACTAACTGACCCCATGCTTCGACATGACCGCTTGACATCCCCAAACATATTTCTTGGTGAATCTCCCGTTGATGTGTTGCACCCAAAAGACATCTCTGCCGTGGGCCCTGGTGTTCACATGGGATAGTCAGTGGGCCCCTCATCCCACCATCATTCAATCAGGGATTCCGCAATGTTCATGCCCATATCAACCATAGTAACCTCTATGAATCCCTTCACAACTATGTTGTTGAATACCCCGCAAACAAAACCCTTGTGAAATGTCTTGGATTTGTTCATTTTGGGAGGATTTACTATTTGGGGGGAATGGGATTGGGGGATCACTATCCCCCTTTTTGTGGGTAAATCTTCCCAATTTTCACCATGGCACCCAGCGGCCTACGGCCGCAGAGTGCTGATCTTGCACCAAGGCCCGCCCCAACGCCCGCCGTTTCCTCGCCGATCCGCAGGGAACGGAGTGGTTTTTTTATGGGAAAATCGACAGGACACCTGGCGGACTGGGGGTTTGGAAGACACTCAAAGTCGAATCCATAAGTTTAATGAATTCTAGTCCATTCAGGTGGTTCAATCATGTTTGATATCCGATAAATTGTCAATATGCCTTCGAGTAAACCAACATAGATATATACGGAAAACCCATGGGGAGGACCAATTCGTTGGGTCCATTGCTACAGCACTAGATCGTTGAGCACGAAACGTTGGGAAATGATCTGTATTTATTGTGGGGTTTCCTGGATCTGAGTGTTGGTTTGGTGGAGGGTACCAGTCAAGCATTCTGTCTCCTTTACATGTTTTGTTTGCCTATGTTGGTCCGTTTTTCTTAGATGAATGGGAGAATGGTAGTTGGCTGGGCGAGCGTAGAAGGCCGCGTCACGAAAGAGTGTTTTTGCGGTTTGACGTGTGTGGCGTCACAGCGTGAGCGCATTTTTTTGAATTTCCATGTTTTTTGACTCAAGGAAACACATTTGTTTCTTATTGTTGGGTCCTTTTTTCGCGTTTGGGGGGTTGGGGTGGGGTGCGGCAATAACGTTCACTTGCATTTGCCCGCACACACACACACAAACGTGATGCTACGCACATACACGTCATGCTACGCTGCTGGGCATTCTCTTGCGCTTCCACATACACGTCATACTCTGGTACTGAACGTTCTCTTGCACTTCCACATACACGTCATGCTACAATGAAACACAAGTGCATGCCCAATGCCAGTTCATTCACCAACAAAACACAGTAAACTGTCTCAAGTGAAGTAATTATTTTTGACGGAGAAAATGGCACGCAAAGATAGGAACATGCACCTTTGAACCTACACTGATCCAAGTGCTTCAAAGATAACATGGTTGTGCGCAAAACCATACGGTCATCTATCACTGCCCGACCATGTCGGTGGGAAACTCTATATAAGTAGCTCCTTGGCCCCCCATTTTATAGAATAAATACCCTTAGCTCCGTAGCTCCCTCCAACCACTGGATTTTTGGCTTTTGGGCTTGATCGCAAGTGAGACTTGCGGCTGAAACAGGTCTGGAATCCGTACCTGTAATACACATACGTGAGGCAGTCTTAGATACATACACTGGGTTTCGCACCAAGATATCTTGCCGTGTACGTTACAAAGGTTGCGCAAGGAGACGTGAATTGCTCAAAAGGCTGGACGGAAGGTGAGCGTTCGAGCACGTATTTCTATGGTGAACTAAGATGACAAATGTTCCAAATTTTGCTCCAATGGAACTACGAATTCCAAAGTTCACGAAACACAGCTTAGTAAAACGTATTGGAATTGAAGCATATGTTTCACTTTGTGATTGGCCTTTGTTGACAAGGACTTTGATCCACGGCCAATTCTGGTGGACAGACTTATACCCATGTTATACCGTCCAAATCTGATAATTTGTTACCTACTAGTAGCTATCGAAAATGGCCAGAAATAGATGATTCATGAATATTCACCATGGATTAGCCATCCTTTTTCAGAGGGTGGTTTTTCCAGTTCGCAAACTGTTAAATGACCATGTTATACCCATGATACCTCCCATCCCTCGGTCCTGGACATCGCTCCAGCGATCATTCCAGCGATCATTCCAGCGCGATTTTCGCGAGCTGAGGCAGCTGGAAGACCTGAAATCCCCATGTTTTTGGTAACCCTAAAAGCCGAAATATATGGAAGACATTTGAATGAAACCATTCAGAGGGGAAAGAGAAACAAAAACCGTCCTTGAATGTGAAAAGCTATCTTTTCAGATATGTCCAGTGAGATCTTACTGGCACAAACACCTAAGTAGGACATGAATCTTTCAAACACGGGGAAACTTCACTGGAGATAGCAAATTGTGGCCAACAGTCCAGGATATGTGACTTTCACGCCGAGAATTGTGTTTCGGTCCTGGAACAACATATAACTTTGGATTTTGGTGGATCTGGAGTTCCCAATGTTCCCAGTGTTTGGATGTTGCTCCACTTGTCCCCTGCGTCTTTGTGGAGTCTTCCATCTGCAGGATCCGCCAACACTTCCGATCCGAGAACCAAAACAGCTGCACCGAGAGCTCCCGCATCCCACATAGTACTGCAACTGATTGTAGTAACTCATTTATGAAAAGCCCTTTTGGGATCATGAACACGACAATCATGGCTCACGGAAAGTAATTTACACAGATCATGAATTGTTGAACAGGAATATCAAAATAGCAACCTTCACCATGGTAAGTATCATTTCATTTCCATATCTTAGTCGCCAATCAATTGCTTCATCTCTTCCCAGCGAAGCCTCGAATCTGCAAAGCATTGTCACAATGGGCCCATGTCGCAGCGGTCGCAGCGGTCGCAGCACTCGCAGCGGTCGCGGCGTTAACCAGCAGTGCCATAATATAAGCGATGCAGAGCTGAACCCAACACACCTTGACGTCATGTATGAAAACGTATGGTATTTATTGATCTATGAATGTGCTTCTTATGTGTCCATTCATTGATTTGTTTGTTTTATCTAGCTATAACTATCCTTGGATGATCTTCCGGATAGAACGGGCATATCCACAGGTCCAATAAAACCGGTCCTGAAGCTTTGGCACAGCAGAGAGCTGGTGGTTGAGTCAGTGAGATCCCCACAACATGCGGAAGGAACAAACGAAAGCAACCACAATTGTTGGGAAATCCGAAGAACTGCCGACATGTGGGAGAAAACCTACTGAGTCCCTGAAGCTGGAGCCCAAGCTCTGAGCCATGTATCAGAATGGAGCCACTTCAAAAAAAATGACCAAAGTCTCCGCTTTTTTCAATCCCTTTCCGCTTTCCCATCTTTTCCGGGCCTTGGGGGTCGGAATTTTCGCTGGTCTGGTTGATGCTTACTGTAACATCTGGAGAATTCTGGAGAAACACCCACCCCAACATATCCCAACCATCTCTTAAAGCTCTCTGAAGCAAAACCTGCACTACCACTGACTCGGAGCTTCGGCACCTTGACCCTATGTGCCAGCGGTGTCTCATGTTGCGTCCAATCGAACAAATCTTCGATGGACACACGGCCATCCTCAGCGCTGGTCACACCATGTTGCAGGCAACTGGCTTTCCTGCAAATGTCCCCTGAAAATTATAAATTCTGGAAATATATATATACATATATCTATATATATGTATATATATATATACATACACAACATACATATACATATATATATACATATACATATATATACATATCTATATATATATGGGGTTACAAGATGCTACAACTACCCATAGCTTGCAGTCATTCCGTTGAGTTGTTTAGGGATTATGGTGCCATCCTGATTCATTTTGTCACTGGAAGTGCCACATTGGAGATAGCCCTCTGTAAATGATAGAGACAGTGATAATTCACCGGGCTTGTGGTGATATCTATATGCATCAAACCTTGACCTTTTCCAACGAATGTATACAGTATTCGATGTTACAGTGTCAATGTTGTTTCTCAGGCCAGAAATGGTCAAGACTTCACCACGTCACCACTTCCGAGGTTGTAGGTACCCTCACCCCCTCTGCTATCAGGCCATGCCAAGGGACCACAACGCCAACAGTTTCAAAGATATTTCTCAACTCCATTTCCTGTCAGATGGGATGAAAATGTCTTGGACCCGCTACTGTATGGGGCCCTTGGGGGTTTCCAAAAGCGCCTGAAATAAAAAACTTCAGGGAGGGAAACTCTTCCAGAACCTGGCTTTGCTCGTCATCGATTTTCGAGCTGCAAAACGAACAGAGTCCTAGTACAACTCCTGACCAAACAAAACCCATCCCTCAGCCAAGAAAGTCTGGCCAACAACCTATGGATCGCACCAACGTTCAGCAACCTCTTTGGTTTTGTTCCACCGATGTTCCACTTCCTTTCCAAGATATGGCTATGCCGCTAGGCTATGCCATTGCACCCAAATAAGCGGGTGCAGACACAGGATTACCCAAATGCTCCTGGGCAGGTAAAATTGGAGAAAATGCACTGGATCACTTTCAAAACGCAGACCCACTGCAGCCGATCATCGTCATCTAAGGGCCATTCGATTGGAACTTTGATGCCGACCCTACTCATGGGAACAGGTTTTCTTCAACAAAACTAAGCAAAATAAGTTTTAAAGAAAACTATTCCGCCCATCAAAAATGGCAGATAGCTATGGGATATGGGTCAAAATTGCAGAAGTTCTCCAGATTTTTATTCTGGTTAAACTCAATTCGTTCCTCCAACTGGTTCCCCGTGGTGGATCGACAAGTCCATCTGTGGCGCGTGGTCTTCGGTGCCCACCGAGGCCACCGATGCAAGTTCCAGGTCTCTATGGGACGATCTCCAATAAATCGGGTAGGTTAGCAACCCACTATGTAGATATATATATATACATACAGTTATATACAGTTATACATATATTTATGTATATACTAATATATATATATAATTATATATATGCATTGAGTTTGTAAATATATACGTTTTTATATACATATATATATATATGCCAATCGACCGGGGTATAACTCGAATGGTTCATTCGAACATGTCTTGACCTGGCTATCCACTGCTTTCATCGGTGGCTTCCACACGGTCGAAGAAACGGAGAGAGTGCCGTCTCGGAGCAAGTCTCACATGGAAAACTTGGGGCGAACATGAAGATCAAAAGCAGAAACAACAAAGCCAGTGGCACCCAGCATGAAAATATTGAGATCTGTGTTCAAAGAATCTAAGACCATGGCAACTGTGGCACTGAGCACCTACATTATTGTCTGTCACAGGGGTTGCCCAAAAAATAATTCCCCAGGAATTTCGATGGTTCGGTTTCTGGATGGGTCGTTTGCTGATGATTTACCAGCGAGGACCCTGCCTGGCATTAGAAGAAGTATTCCGGAGTGGCCAACCAGTCAACGAAGACAGGGCCCACAAAGTCGTGAAACCCAAACACTGATGGATTTCTAACTATATATGATTATATAATATTACGTATGTATTGCATGTTTGAAATATGTGTATATATTACATACATATGTATATATATATATACATATATATATATATATACATATACATATATATACATATACATATATATATGTATATATATATTACATACATATGTATATATACCTATATATATACATATATATATTATGTGTATATATATATATGTGTGTACATACATGTATGTGCATATGTATGTGTATATATATACATATGTATGTATGTATATATATGTATCTACATATATGTATATATATATACACGTAATGTATATATATATATACACACGTAATGTATATATATATGTGCTGTTTAGATATATATATATATAAGTTTAGAAACTATATGCATCTTACCAAACTTGATCATAATCGGGGCTTCACCAACTCTGGAGGCTCACTCTCAGCCTTCGGTCCTGGGGATCATCGGAAATCGATTCTGTCGTGACATGTGATACCCCTAGGTACTTGTATCATCTTGTGTCAAATCTATGCATCTGATATTTTTTGGGTACATTGCACCTCGAAGTTTCCAGGCGCTTCTTTGGTTCAAAGGGTGCAACTCATGTTAAACAACATATGTGTTTTTTTCATACCCATGATATCAGATTATTGTCACTACCAGGCCTATTAGATTACTCAAATATCCTCTAATTATTAGTCACAAGCTCTTGGGGAGGTTGTATAGCTGCCAAGTTTCCCTCGAAAAGGGATGTTTGAATTCAACCAAAGAGGCAAAATACATTAAAATACGAAGCCTTCTGGGCAATGCCACCCCCTAGTTTCCCCAACTCCTCGTCTGCTTTCTCCACCAAGGGACTACAGGTCTTTCAATTTCGCAAGGATCAGTGCACGGAGGTACTTATCTTGGGTGGCCAACTGCTGGAGTTCCCTTTGACGCTGGGGTTCCTGTCTGCGAGTCCCGCGACAAATCCCACAGAGCAACGTGGTCGATTCTACGCCACCAACAGTAGCAACAAAATATAACATATAACAAACTTTACCTTTGGACATGCGAAAACATGCGAAAACATGCGAAAGCATTTCCAGTGGCCGCAAATTCCAAATTGTTGTTGACGCACCTCCAACTCCAGAGCGCGTTCGATCATGTCTTTGTAGCTGTTCCGCAGGAATTTGCGTGGCCGTCCCTTCTTCAACGCGTGGTGTACATGACACAAGGCACATGTTGCCTGGCATCCACCTTGGTTCACGGAGTAGACGCAAGGTTCGCAGCCTTGAATCTTGCACACCTGCCGAGCTGCACGCAACAATTGTAAATGTTGATGAACTGTGTTCAACCTTCAAATTTCACAGTCCTCACAGTGCTCCATGGATGCAAATGGTACAATTGTTTCCTGCTGGTGGTTTCGACATGTTGAAACCTGAAAATGTCGAAAGTCAGGATCACCATACCGGGTAGGATTTTTAACCGGCTGAAACCACCAACCAGTGTTTCCACACCTCCCCCATGGGCCCCCCAATGGGCGAGGATATCTCCGCGTTCGCTTCCACGGCTTCAGCTTCCAATGCAAAGTTTCCTTCTACGAAATCTGCAACAACTAAGTCCACAACTAGGAAGGCATTTTGGCAGATCATAATATGATCATCCAATTTTTCCCCAAACAGTCTCTGGTCACAATAGGGGTTCTTACGGTAATGGTTAAGGTGTTGTTTCGATTCAAGGCTGGCGTGTCCGGCAAATTTGATGGTGGCCCTTACAAGAAAGTCTCATTTTACCAGCGCGCCGTGCTCCAATTTTTGCGCTATGTACATTTTGGGCAGACGTGGGACTTCCGGGGCATTTTGAGGTCTGGAAGGTCGTTTTTTTGCGTGACAGGTGCAGGACATGGACGTTTTTTAATCTGCGTGGAATTCGTATCACTTTCTGCACGCTGCTGAAACGTTGGCAGGCGCAGGTCCAAATCAGAAATGGTTTCGGAGGCAATTTTCCCTGGCAGGCACAATATTTGGTGAACTTGGACGATGTTTTGAAAAGCTCGAAAATCTTCTTTTGTGAAACTTTTGTCGCTTTGGATTTGGTACATGATGATGATTTCACGTGGCAAGCGCAGTGCTTCAGATGCTTTGGGTCCATTTTTTGTGGCAAGCGCCATACTTTAGAGACAACCTAACGAAAAAAATCGTGTTTCACATTTTACATTTTCTATGTTCATTTTTCGTGGTGCGCGCAGTATTTGGTGAAATTCTAACATATGCTCGCGGAAACCATCGGCGCTTTGCGCGTGTTAAATCGCTCTCGCCTGATCCCTCGCGCAGCCCTCTCGGCACTTTGTGCGTGTCAAATCGGTCTCGCCTGATCCCTTGCGCAACCCTCTCGGCACTTTGTGCGTGTCAAATCGGTCTCACCTGATCCCTCGCGCAACCCTCTCGGCACTTTGTGCGTGTCAAATCGGTCTCGTTGTGGCGCGGTGCTGATTTTGAGATTGCTCGCGCAACCCGGGCACTTTGGGCGTGTCATATCGCCCTCGTCTGCGGCACGGTGCTGATACTGTCAAAGAGGTCTTGCGCGGAGATCTTGACATGGAGATCTTTTGCAAAGAGGTTGCGCAGAGATCTTGACAAGAGATGACAAGAGATCTTTCACAGAGATCTTGCCAAGAGATCTCTTTTAGAGAGATTGAACAGAGATCTTATTTACAGATCTCTTACAAAGATCTTGCGTGGAGACTTCAAATAGAGACCTTGTGCAGAGACCTTGCTCGTGTAGAGATTTTGTACAGAGACCTTGCGAAGAGAACAGGTATTGCTATATAACATATTTTTTATACAGAGTTTGAGCAACTATTTTACTTAGAAATTTCTTATAGACATCTTGCGTGGAAAAATGTTTGTAGACGCCTTGTACCGAGAACCTTACAAAGGGATCTTGCACAGCAGCTTCTACAGAGATCTTGTCAAGGAGATTTAGCTCACGATCTTCTAGGGAGATCTTCACAAAGGGACCTTGCAGAATCTAGCCTGGTATCTCTTCATGTTCCTTGCGACACTGTTCCGGGTTCTTGTCGGGATAGTTGGTCATCCAACTTGAATTTTTGTTTCATCTCAACTTGACAACCCCGGGTTGATAAATTTTGACTATGAAAATTGAAGGGTGATCCCATCACATAGTTGTCCAAACGAATGTCCAAATAAATCTACATGACTATTCAAATTGGTACCCCCAGCAAAACCCCGGTTTTTTTTGGGAGCTCCTGGGGCTGCGGAGGTAGAGCCCCCTCAGACCATAGCTTTGCCATCGGCGCTCCAAAGGACCAACTCTGGCGTCGAGGACGGGGAAACTCCTGGAGGGGATGTTGGGGAAGTGGAGGATGAGCCTAACACGTTAAAATTGAAAAGAAGTCGTACACTTGTTTCATGGGAATGTGATTGACCTGTGGGTTCGGGGAAACAGATATTTATCTATATCTATATGTTTATGTCTATATATATGTATATGTAAATATATATATAATATTTAAAAGTATTATATGCAATATATATAATGTAAGATAAAACGTAATATATAATGTAATATATAGTGTAATATATACTGTTATATATAAAGTAGAGCTTCGCAAATGGGCGATGCCGTAAGGGTTATGTATAGTAGTGTGGGCGTTGGTGTTGTTCATGTGCTCGGCGTGTGCGCACAGGTGCAGAGCACAGTATGATGTGTTTTTCAAACCGCTGTTTGTAACACATTTTTTGTCGCATTTTTGTGTTGTTTGTTGTTTGTTTGTTTGTTTGTTTGTTTTTTTTTGTTTGTTTTTGTTTGTTTTTGTTTGTTTGTTTGTTTTTTTGTTTGTTTGTTTGTTTGTTTGTCTGTTTGTTTGTTTGTTTGTTTGTTTGTTTGTGTGTTTGTTTGTTTGTTTGTTTGTTTGTTTGTTTGTTGTTGTTGTTGTTGCTGTTGTTGTTGTTGCTGTTGCTGTTGCTGCTGCTGTTGCTGTTCTTGTTTTTCTTGTTATTGTTTTTCTTGTTTTTGTGTTTCTTGTTCTTCTTGTTCTTTTTGTTCTTCGCGTTCTTGGGCCCTAAAAACCGTCACATTGTTGGTGTTTTCGATTGGTTTGATAACTTTTGCATGGAAAACTTTATTCTGGCAACATGCTCAAAACTGCGCAAGTACAAGTGTTTTTTGGATGCTGGTGTGTAGAAACACTGTAAATAAAAAATGCCGGCGTTTTTGATGCGAAGTGCACGAAAAACACTACCTATTTGAAGCGTTTCAAGCATTCAATGATGGTTACAAGCTGCGCAATGTAAAGAATATTACGATGTCAGCGCGCCAGCACGCGCAGAGCTCAATATGATCAACGCTAACAAAATAACCCTTATCCTTCTGGCACCGCCAGCGTGCGAAGCTCTACAATTATATGTCCCATTTTTGCTCAAACAAATGCGTCGTAGATGGGTGCCGGTACAGTGGCTGTGGAATGTCCAAGAATTGTGACCCCCAGACGACTTGTTCTTTCCCTCCAGAAAATCTCGCACTGTTGGATGCATTTGCATCTTGCCTGGATTTTGGCGCAAATATCATGCCAAAATATGTGCCCATACAGTTCAAAGTTCAAAGGTCTTCACGTGAAACCTGGCCGCAAACAGAGTCATGAACTTCAACATAAACATGAGAGATGAGCCTACCATACTACCAGTACCCGGTCCGTGCCGGGGCGGAAGTTTCTAAAATAGGAAATGGCTTTAGGAAATCAATGGCCTATAGGAACGTTTCTGAGATGCAGAAGCCATGAGCGGTTGAAGTTGTGAGGTGCATCAACGAATGAGGAAGTGGTGGTTGTTGCGATGCCAGTGAAATGGCATGAAAGAATCCGTGCACAACTGACTGAATCAATCAATGAACCGATGAACCAATGAATCACTGAATCAGTGAAGTCATGAATCAATGAGTCAATGAAGCAGCGAAGCAATGACTCAATGAATCCACCAACCAGTGAACCAATGAATCGACGAATCAATGAACCAATGAACCCGTGAACGACTGAATCGGTGAGTCGGCGAATCAATGAACCCATGAATCGATGTTTCAGTGAATCAATGAATCGATGATTCCGTGAAACAACCAACCAGTGAATCGATGCGCGAATATTTCAGTGAGCCGTTCAATCAGTAAAATCAGCGCACCAATCAATGACTGAAGTAATGAGTAGATGAATCAATGAACCAACAGTGATTCAATGAATCAATCAAGCAATGAAATGAAACGATGCTTCAGTGAATCAATGACTCAATGATTCGGTGGTTCAATGAATCAATGAACCCATGCACGGGTGAACTAGTGAGCCGATGAAGCGATGAATCAATGATTGAGTGAATGAGTGAGTCGATGAAGCAATGAACCAGTGAACCAATGAATCAATGAATCACCGATTCAGTGAACCAATGAAACAAGAATCAAGTAATCAATGAACCAATGAACCAATGAACCAATGAATCAGTGAATCCATGAGTGCATGAATCAATGAACCAATGAATGAAGGGATGGATGGATGAATGAATGGATGGGTGAGCGGGCTACTTTTCTTTGTTGGGCTATTTCTTCACTGAGCATCTCTTCGCTGAGGCACCTCTTCTCTCAGCTACTCCTTCTCTGAGCAGCCACTTATCTGGGCTACTTCTGCTCTGAGCTGCGTCCAGCTTCTGCAACCCAATTCTTCTCTTCGCGCACCTGTTACAATGAGCCGCAATCCCGCTTGCAAGGAGCGTAGCAGCATCACTCATGCGTTGTTGCGCGCAGCCGTGCCAATGCGTTTTGTCATAGCCGGTTGCAAACCCACAAAGCAGGGGCGTCACGCCAAATCAACCAACCCTCGTGCAGCGCTGAAGATTGGCAAGAAGTTCCATTTTGTGTTTTTTTTTGTGAAATCGAGCTCTCGCAACAGTCCGGTGCACATTTTTGCCGACCTCATCTTCCAAAAGTGCTCCGAACCTTCCAAAAGTACTCCAAACACAACATTTTGAAATGCAAATCGAATTCTCGCTACAGTCTGGTGCAATTTTTTCCGACTTAATCTTCCAAAAGCGCTCTGCGGCTGTCAAGTTTTTGAAATGCAAATCGAGTTCTCGCTACAGTCTGGTGCCCATTTTGCCGACCTGATCTTCCAAAAGTGCTCTGCAGCTGTCAGTTCTTAACATTTTGAACAGCAAATCGAGCTCTCGCTACAGTCTGGTGCACATTTTGCCGACCTCATCTTCCAAAAGTGCTCCGCGGCTGTCAAGTTTTTTAACATTTTGAACTGCAAATCGAGCTCTCGCTACAGTCTGGTGCACAATTTGCCGACCTCATCTTCCAAAAGTGCTCCGCGGCCGTCAATTTGTTTAACATTTTGAAGTGCAAATTAAGCTCTTGCTACAGTCCTTTACACTTTTTCCAACAATGAGGCCCGCAACCGCGGAAACAGAGACCCTACTTCGGCGACGCCAGGAGCCTCATTACCCGAAAAAACACAGGATTTCGCGCCCGAGAGTGTTTTCACCCGTGAATTCACACTCTTCACACTTCCCAACTACTTGATGATGGGTGGTTGACATGGTGATGTGGTTGACATGATGATGTGGTTGACATGATCCATGATGGTAGAAATGCTAACCATGACAATCGTCCGTAGCTCGAAAGTTTTCTAACTAAACTTCCGTTGGTCAGTTCATGGTGGGAGTCACCTTGGTCTGCGTCCTCATGCTCCTCGGCAACACGAACCTCGATGAAAGTGTTCTTCACGCAGATCCTGGGTGAAATCATGCTGGGATATGCTGGGATCATGTTCATGACAATTGGAGAACCGGCAATTGGAGAGTTGGACCTTGTTAAATCACGTCTGGGGTGATGTGTGGTTTCCAAATCATCCAAGCTGGACATAGTTGTTGACGAATTGCAGTAACAGATGATGACAAATGCCTTGTGCATCGGAGATTTGCCAGCAATCAACATTTCAGCTTTGGACCGCTTCTTAAGTGGATCATCATCGCCTTCGTAAACCGAAATGTGTTCCAGGAATGCAAACTCAAAACTCCCCACCGAGAATCTCATACGTTTTCAAGAGATCCATTGCCGGCTGCACCATTGCACAGTTGTCGCTCCCCGTGTCTCAACACAGCCGTATCTCACGGGTTTGGCAAATGGCTGCTGGCAAGGACTGCAGCAAAGACAAACAGCCCACAAGAATCTGAAGCAGCATGCAGAAAGAAGGCTCTTGATATCTCTTGATCTATTTTCTGGATCTTTCTGGTGCCTGTTTTTGCGGTTTGACTTGTTGAAAATGTGGGCCTAAACCTTTGGGGTTCCAGGTCCATTGTCGAACGAAGAAACCAACTCCTTCGGTGCCTACAAACCACCAAAGTAGGTCACAATATGGGGCATCCTTGGTTTCTCTATCTGACCATTGAATTACACATCCTCGTCATCGTTGATTCACATCGGTGTTGCCGAAATCCTGGAATCTTTATTGAAACCAACGACGTGAAATGAGCAGTTTCCGACACTTGCCGATCCGTTCTAGTAACTGTAACAGGGATTTCCAGTTCATGTGTCATGATCAGCATGACCAGGCCCAATGAGCCGGTCACCGAAACCTCAACCATCGACCGACGCATCAACCGACCATCGTTTTGGCCAATATTGACCCCATATTTGCATCTTAAATCCCCATGTTGCGTTGCTTCGTCTACCTCTTATATATGTGCGTCAACAGCAACAGTCCCTCCTTGCAGGATCATCCCCAGAATCGTAGCTAGTCAGCACCCACAGCTATAAGTTATAGCCCATCTACAAATCTGGGATCTTTTTTTGGGCTACAACCCTTTGCGATCCCTGGCACATCCCCCGCCTTGAAACTTCCCAGTCGCTGCAGGAGCTTCCAAACCTCTTCCAGCGGCACCAGGCCGTCCTCATCTGGCGCCAGACCTCGTAGGCCCGGCTCAGAGGTCTTGCGCAGCCTGATGGGGTCCCGATGGGGGTTGAGTTCGGGGGTTCCAGGATGAGCCTCCCACCTTTGCTGTTGGGGATAGCACCTCGGCTTATTTTTACGACCCGGTTTTTGAACACGAAATGCCCCATATCATCCCATATCTAGGGACTGGAACTCCAAGAAAATACCGGATGGCCGGATGGTCTACATGTGGCTTGGAGCTGAATTGGTTGTTGCCCCAACTCGAATGTGTTCGTTCTGCCCCGTGACCTAACTGGGCTTCCAACACTTCTAATCAGTCGCAACTTCTCAACCAGGGGCCCATCTCCTTAGATTGTTGTGAATCTCCTGGATCCGCATCAGCACGGAATGTTCCGTTCCTGCCTCAAAAAGGCTGCGCGGCTGCGTTGGACAGCCAAGGCTGTTCTGGCCACTTTGTCCAT